CAAGTCAGATCTTGTAGTGCATTTTCGAACTTGAAAAATGTTGACAATTGAATGACAAATTATTGGCTTATGCTTGCCATTTTATAGCCACTACCAAGAGTTACGAATGCCATAACTTGCAGGTGCATTTTGCTTTACTGTTTTCCTCCATGACATTTTTGAACAAGTGTGAAAACAATGCCGTTTAAAGACATTGCAAATCGACAATGGCTGCGTTTTGACGCACCGTTTGTCGAATATCAGGCCACCAACATTTTCCAACAACATATATCCAATGTATATACAGTCAGGTTCCAAGAACTACATACTACTTGTGCGTTTCTTTTTGTTTGAAGAACGTATTTGAGTGCATTACAATTTAATGCTTTTTTAAAATTTGTTAATGATGTTACATTCTTAATATGTAGCACTAAGATAAATTAAATCAACATGATATGAGTTTGGTTAATTTCTTACATCTATTTAGATGTGTGTTCATTTGTGTTCATTCCAGTAGGGGAGTTCAAATTATTACATAAATATGCACAGTCTCGACCTCGAGTGATGCAGCAGGAAACCAGCAGAGTGTGCCTGGTGAAGGCCGGGAGCCCGCAAGCTTGTAACTGGGGATATGTTTTCTAGATGCACTTAAAGGTCGACGCCTGTAGCGACCTGAGCTGAGATAAACACTATCTGACGTTAAGAAAGATTTTTTGCCATGAACCAAGCTGGCTTAATGTACATGTAACCTAATATTGGTGTTATTTGACTACTACTGCAGAGTGGGTTATCACTATCAGGTGGAATTTGAAATCAGGACAGACTGACCTCTATTATATCAATAATGAGACATGATGACCGCAGAATAGTTTGTCAACAACAATGACCGCCCATGCACACTTACGATAAGTATTGCCGTGATAGGGTATGTCTCAAACCCCAAAATGGGTTTTGTTTTTAATCCGACATCAACTTTTGAACTACTTTCTTTAGGCAAGTGAAATCATTATTACATAAAGTGTGAAGACAATTTCTGGTAACCCTCGCCGTAATATAGATGCAGATAGGATAAGTTTTATTCCGTACTGAAAGGCCACAGGTCTATATAGTACAATTCTGTTTTCGGGAGTGGTTGCAGATATGTTTAACAGGTCATATACTAATTAACATAGCATGATAAATTACCATTGATAGTTTTTAGAGTATCTTTTATCAGTTGTTGACATGATCGATACTTTTTGTTGTTGAATGGGATGTACATGAAAAGGCTGTTCTATATATTTACTTCTTAAATAGTTGTATTTTGGACGGACTAAAAAGGAAAAGAAACTCGTCTTCAATCACATGTAAATCACATTGCTTACATATTGTCAATTCTGTAGCTATATTTCTGTGTCTGCCTACTTCGATCCTAAGAATATGAGAGCTGCATCTAAATTGTGCTAAAGTGATCTTTTAAAATTGATATCAAACAAATAGTATTCTGGGGAGATATTTGTCTTAAAAAGCATGTAATAATTGCATTTATCTGAACTTAAAACATGCGATGACCATTTTCGTAAGAATATATCATTTAAGTCTTTGGCGTACAGATACTAAAACGAATCTTGATTGATAGTACACATTGATTGTGCCAAACATGCCCATAGCTGCATTCATTTAATAACGACTTTACATCATATACCCAATTGCGAATTCCATGTTTTTCATACGATAACATCATATTATTGCATTTTCTTGGTAATCTGTCAATAGGCATTTTAAGAATTCTAACATATTGAAATATGTAAAGTGGCACTCGTCTGTACACGTCCACATTCACCATATACCATGACACTCGATGTACAGTGTTTTAAGCCAAGGAATCTTTTACGAGCAGATGTTTATTATCACTTTGGTTCGATAAGTAACTGTAACTTCAGAGTGAGGAGATACCTATCTCTTGTGGACGAAAGGCATATAAGTCCTTAGTTAATGACGGAAATGACATTAAGAGAACTACCTATGAAGAATCTGTTCGTTTCCCGATAGGAGACAGCTGGGCATCCGCGAGTATCCAGATCATATTTCTATTCACTTGATTAGCTTGTGTGAAGGCTTACCTATGCCCGACCCAGTATATTTTCGTAATAACTTATATATTAAATATATATTACAATGTTTCTCGTGAGCTGCTTGACCAAAGCATTTGCATGGACAGCCATTTGGTAAAAAAAATACACCAGTGTTTGAAAATGGGTCACCATGCACCGGCTGAACACAATAATAATCAAATATTACGAATAAAGAATTCAATGTTATTTGCAGAGGTCAAATTACCAAAGAAGTACAAACGAACAATCCTAAAAAAAGTCCCCATATGAAAAAACGTTTTGATAAAAAAAAATATTGTTTGGGTTTATATTAAGGCCAATATTGGAAATCATAGTATGTTTCTATAGGTTTTTTTAATTAATATCTGGTAAGCAAATCGGCTTGGGTCAAAGATGTGTATGTTCAAATATGGAAGCAACCAACAACCCCTAAGATCAGACTTATCCACATAGTGTCGTTTTAACTCCCAGCTGTGCAAGTATTAAATTGTTATGATAGTCTATTTCCCATTCAATTAACATATCTATTAACTTTCATAATGATTTGCAAACAGATTAAGGATCATTAAGAGGGTGGGGTCATGAAAAAATGACAAACACTCATTTATTAGATTGGTTAAACAGCTCTACAACTTTTGTTACGACCAGGTTCAAAAGTTCAGGGGTAGATAACTCTCATTGCTGGAACATCCAACATGGCCACTGTCAACACTTGGGTCGCGAGGGTGGCAGATTTTTTGTTGGGGAAGTTTCCCTTCATTAATGCTCTTTCATTTCTGATGCTTCTTGCTGAAAGATCAAAAAGTGAAAGGTATTTAGAATGTTAGCGATTGAGTCGCATAAATGAAGCGTCAATGACTAAATGTCCCGTACGAGTTCTACGTCACAACCCTCCACCTGTCCACAGACATACTGGTGTGGCATCACTCCACTTAGTGTGATCTGCTCCAAGACCTGACACACTCTCAAGTGAAATTATCTCAGGATCAAATCACTGTCGTCTCGGGATCAGAACACTCCCTTCATGACATAATGACCAATCCACGTTAGGATGAAATCACTTTCCCCGGAAAGAATGCAAAATACATAATATATATTTGGAAATAATGCAACTGAAAGGGGACACAACATACCACAGCAATTATCAACAGGGGCGTTACCATTGTATCGTGTGTGTGTAGGTGGGTGGGGTGGGGGTGTATAAATGAAGTAACTGAACTGTATATACAGCCAATTTAAGGGTTTGGAGACGTAATTATTTAGGTAGTCCTGCATCATGACCATGGAATATATTTATTTTATGAAAAAAATAATAATTTAGAAATGCATACAAAAGCAAGTCTAGCCAGCTCAAGCTAGCTCTATCTGAAATCAGCATAGGGAATTTTTATTTATTTTTAGAGTCAACAAGGATATTGTGTAATATAAGATTTCAGAGACTAAATGTTAGTCTATTATTTAGGACAAGGCGCTGCTTATGGCCAATACAGAAGGCAGAAAGTAGAAGTGGAGGTTTCACCCCAGGGAGTTTTCATCCTGCAAAGAGGGAGTGTTATGATCTTCTGGGGAGAGATTTGATCCTGGGGAGTGACCTGATCCTCCTATACCAGCCTGTATTTCCGCTGATCCTGTTTTTCAGTTGTTCCCTAATTTCCTAAGCTTTAAAGTACGTCATATAATTTTCATAAAATATTTACCTAATGAACATGTATGTAAATATTTCTTTAGATATGAAGATATGAGGCAGAATTAATATTGTGTTTGTGGACTCTTTTCCACAATATGATTTATGAATTATTTAATATTATGCAAACTAATTTTAAAGACACCCTCATTTGCAAGGGTTACCTATTTTAGAGATCTGTCAGAGGAAATGAAAATGACCAATGTTTGATACAGATCTTCACATAAGTCATTCTTATTTATCAGGCTTACTTTCTTCAGTTCATTTTGGATAATGCAACAATAAATTAATGATTTTATGTACATGATCCAATCTAGGGCACCTGTTGAAATTGTTTAAGAGAAATAAGTTAGGGACATGTTTTTGTTAAAAGCAAATGATATAATGATAATATGATATTACTGAAGGGCTGTAGTTAGCTTGTTCTAAGCAATGGTTATGAAAATTAAATATGATTTTCTGTTTTGCAAGAATCATGTTATAACTCATTTGAATATGATATTTCACCAATCAAAACAACACCCCATCAATCTCCATCGCGGCCATCTTGGATAACATACACAAACCCATCAGAACCATCTCTATGTGTATAAAAGTAATTCCTTATTCAACCATTTCAAACAGTCAGTATTATTGTCAGTTGCATTTTCTCTCATGTATGTTTGAAGCATCCTTGTGTACCCTGTGTATTATATCTCCTTGCTATTAGTATATGCTGTGAACCCATTAAAACACTAAAATGCTGTCCAAGGAAATTACGACCCGTGAAGATCCGGGGTAGAATAGGCCTTCAGCAACCCATGCTTGCCGTAAGAGGCGGCTATGCTTGTCGTAAGAGGCGACTAACAGTATTGGGTGGTCAGGCTCGCTGACTTGGTTGATGCATGTCATTGATCCCAATTGCGTGGATCAATGCTCATGATATCAATCACTGGATTGTCTGGTCCAGACTCGATTATTTACAGACCGCCGTCATGTAGCTGGAATATTGCTGAGTGCGGCATAAAACAACAAACCAAACCAACGAAACCAACCAACCAAGGAAATTATGCTTATGTACCACAAGACAAATCCTGTGGAAAGTTATTGATGGAAGAGATGGGGATGGTGACATCATTTCCCAAACAAAGCAATGATAGTGAAGCTCAGGGTATTAATAGTAGAATGGAGATCTTCCACAAGGAATAATAGAGGATGTATTCTATACCAGCATGGAAGTTTTGAAATCTCTCTTACTGTTGCAGCATGCCACCCTTACCCCCTCAGCTGATCTATGCTCATATGGGAGGGTTCCTCATCTGTGGTTTCCTCATGTCTGCCCGCATGGCCAAGAAGGAGGCGTCACTGGTATACGCAGGTCAGCTGATCTTCTTCTCCTATAACTTCTACCACAACAAGAAGCTCAACTACGGCCAGTGGCAGAGGGTAAGACAGTTGGGCTTAATGCTTTCTTTTTGCAAGCCGTTTTGTCGAGATTTCTCAGAGAATTATAAATAAATGATGCTTATTGACAGAAAATATTCCAATCTAAGCTATGGAAAGACTGCTGTGAATGTTGATATTAAGGTGGTGCAAGTTACTTTCAGAGGCAGGAAGATCAACTCAACACGTTGACATTGAATGACCAAGCCTGAAGTTATCACAATTGCACGTTCCCATTATAGCTGTGCCGCAGTTTCTTGTCTACCAGTTGTCCTACATGCTCACCTGTTACGACAATAACTGTTGCTTTTCATGCCCCCGGCATATTATACGGGGGATATAGTCAATGCTTCCTCTGTCTGTTTGTCCATCCGCTGTCTGTCCATCCGTCCATTATCATTTGTTTCCGGAGTGTAACTGAACAAAAATTGTCAGAAATATTAAACAGGTCTGAAGTGGTGCCTATTGCTATTTGCCGTTTAGGGCATATCTTATTTTCTCGATTTCCATGGAAACAATTTGGACTTAGTCTCAAAAGGGAGGGGTAGGTGTCATTTCCGGAGCACAACTTGAAAACTGTGAAAGACTTTTAATCCAAACCTGGTACATGTAATAACCATGGGTTGAAGTGCCTTTTGCTATTGAGGAATTTATCCCCGTTTCCATGGAAACAAGCTAGACTTAGCTGAAATGGAGAAAGGTGTCTTTCCGGAGCAGAAATAACTACCGGGTATTCAACATTTTTCATCCAAACTTGATAGATGTATTAATCAAAGGCTGAAGTGGCAACAAGTTGAGTGTTCATAGTGGTGTGTTTGTCCGCCACATATCATCTTCTGATGACTCTTGTTCTATATGAAATGACTGAGAGTCCGGTGTGATTGATCAAACTAACTGACCGTGCGAATGAATAACCCTAGCCATTTCACATTTTGTCACAAAAGAGGATTTCAAAAGTGTTTATGACATCTAAACTTGAGTCGATGCCATATTGTAAACAAATTGTGCCAAGATCGGTTCCACATGTGCTACCTCGACCCCAGCTTCTGTCGATGATACACACGATGCAAAAATAATACAACTACTGAAAACATCAACTTAACTTCTAACATGTCTAATACACATTCCACCAGGAATGTACTAGATTCCACTTTGAGAGAAGCCACTTCAGTATCTCAGTTTAAAAAAACTTTATAATTATGGTAATTCGGAAGTGCCTGACATATTTTAAAATATTGGTTCACTTGTAAATCAGATAATCCACTGCGAGTTAAAGGGGCACTGATCTAACGCAATTCCCCGGGACTGGTTTTTGCCTTTGTTATTGTTTTTTCCCAGTAAATACCCGGATGTATAGCAGAAATCTAGACTAGTTCGCGACCTCTGCTGCGCCATTCGTAAGCGCGTTAGTCACTTTTATGGATAGTAATAAGGGCGTATGGTCACATTGATCAACAAAATGAAATACAGTTTTCGAGATAATAAGGAAATGTAGGTATCTTTGTGAGTAGCATCGGTAATGGTGACGAAGTTTTGATAAGTCACTTGCTTGGTAATATTGCGATTTTCGTTTACACTATTTTGACTTGCAACACAAAGTATATATTTCACCTGAGCATATGCTTTTTTTATAGTGTGTATATTTTTTTACTGTCAAATGTGTAACAAATTTATTAAACGTCTAAATATTCAGTTTTTTTACAAAGTGACTGAAAAACATTTCCATCTGTATTATTATGACAACGAATTCCAAACATTTTGATGTTTAATGTCATCACCAAGAGACTGAAAATGTAACGTTGAAAAGTACATTTCTAAGTTGTTTGGCTTTTAATCCTACATAATAATCTGTTGTGATGTTTGTAGGCCCTTTTGATCGTCTTGATCAATCTGGACAGATTTTTTAGTCAAAATGACTGAAATATTTACACATTTTATAAATTGCCTGAGAGAATCACATTTTACAAATTGACCGTTATATATACACGCTTACAAAGGGAAAGACCTGTGACAACAACGTCTATCGCGCATTGACGAATTTCCCAACCAAGACGTAGAGAAACAAGAACGAATCGGTTCAAATGAAGGAAAACAAAATGCAGATATCATAATTACAACCTACCAAATTTATGTGTATACGTTTTAGGCAGCTTCCTTGTTCGAGGAATGTATCCGTGAATATCCATACAAAGGAACAATATCCCACTCGTCTGCAGCTGTACAAAGAAACTTATTCGATGTCACGTGTCTCAGTAACAATCAAATATTTTAAAAGATATATATCGTTTCGGGATATTATAACCCGTGTTCGTTTCTCAACTGATCACTTGGATTGTTTCAGGTGTTTTACATAGGTGTCAAGTCTCAATGGTCGGCTGAGAAAGCCCACGTGACAACTATTTTCATAGCGTCCACGGTTCCTAATAATTCCATTGAGTGATAGATAACAATGATCAATCAATCAACGTATTATCAGTTAACCCTTTGAACAAAGTATGTTGTTTTTACATCGGCACTTTGCGCCATGATATGAGTGTATTCCCTTTGTTTAAGTAAACCTAGACATGTAAACACTCACTTTTGACATATCCACTGTGCAAGATAACAGTGATTAATCAATCAACGTATTTTCTGTTAATCCTTTGATGACTAGGAACGTTCCGTTGATTTACAAAAAAATAAATCAACTGATCATTCATCTCTTGCTGGGCTGCCACGTGCATATTACATAACACACATTTCACCTCACTTCAAACCTGGATTTTGATTGAATAATTACCCCAGACACAATAAATGCCAAATGGGAACCTTTGTCAGGTAATCTAAGTGGTGCTACCACTAATTGTACCTGTAATAAATTCATTAACTGAGCATCAAGTGAATGACGACAAATACACAAGTGTAGGGTTATACGAGAAAACGTGGATGACAACAAGGGAGTAGTAATCGTATTATCGACGCAAGCCGAAATCCGAAAATGCTTTCACTGCATGGATACTGTTTTTAGTATTAAACTATAACCATCTGGGGTATTTCCAAATGACGACATCCGATGAGCTCTCTTGTTCTTTTTGTCTGTTTGTTTAGGCTGAAGAAATGAATTAACATGCGCCCTTTGTCGAAATCTTTATAGATCACAGTTAACCAATCAGTGTTCAAAAATGCGTAAAACAAGTATTGCCTCCAGCCTCCAAGTTTATTAAGCTGTCCTTGCAGACGGTACCCCAGTCTCTGGTCACGCTCAGTTGCGTTGCGTATCATCCGGGTACTCACGGGGGAAAAACAATAACAAAGGCAACAACCAGTCCGTTAGATCAGTGCCCCTTTAAGACTAGGATCCAGTGATTAAATGGTCACAAATTGAAAGATATGTTTTTTCAATGGAAGTGCTTTACACTACCTATTTACTTGTCCAAATTAAACTGAGATTAGATCTGAAAGCTGTCATTATGTTAATGGATATGACCTTCGAACCGTGTTGTTTGGCAACGTCATCTAGACAAAGAAATACTTCTTAATATCATTGATTCTGTACATCTTTTCTTCTCTGTGAGCAAACGATTTGTATAAACATTCACTCTTATATATATCTCACCAACACCTGTTTACCTTTGATGTACCTCATGTGACATAATATCAAGTTTATACTACAGTAACAAGTCTCTAAATAAAGCAAGCTGCTCTGTCTTGGTTCCACACGTAGCAGTAACCATGGTAACTGTCACTTGTCTCACATGCATCACAATCACACGGGGGTCAGGACAGTGACAGTGTATATATGTCTGGTAATCTCTAAAACAGTGTATATGTCTCTGGTAATCTCTAAAACAGCGTATATATCTCTGGTAATCTCTAAAACAGTGTATAGATCTCTGGTAATCTCTAAAACAGTGTATATATGTCTGGTAATCTCTAAAACAGTGTATATATGTCTGGTAATCTCTACAAAAAACAGTGTATATATGTCTGGTAATCTCTAAAACAGTGTATATATGTCTGGTAATCTCTAAAACAGTGTATATATGTCTGGTAATCTCTAAAACAGTGTATATATCTCTGGTAATCTCTAAAACAGTGTATATATCTCTGGTAATCTCTAAAACAGTGTATATATATCTCTGGTAATCTCTAAAACAGTGTTCATAAAGGTCAGTATGACCTGTAATCTAGGCTTCTGTGCGGCCAAGGAAATCAAACTGAGTGACAAAAGTCATGAATCATTTTTGTTATAAGGCCAGGAACATTTCAGAAGAATTTCAGCTTGAATTTTGTATTGAGACCAGATATGTTTTAAGCTACAGTTACAAAACCAGATATCATTTTAATTTAACTATGAGCCTAAATATTTTTCTACATCAATGTATTTTTTGTGGCAGATAATTTCTTGTTTTTCAACAAATAAGAAGCATAATTATTTTTTTCAAGAATTTTTGGAGACCACTTGTTTTTTTCAATAAAATCACAACCCCCAAGAGTATCAAATGGTCAGCCCCTTACTCATTAGTCGTCCTACAAATACCGTATTTTCTTGAGTATAGTGCGCACTTTTTTTCGAAAAAACACAGCTGTGTAGAAGGGGGTGCGCATTATACACGAATTATGAGTTTGGATGTTTTTTTCCCCCATGGAAAGACATTACCGTGAGCACAAAAACACCGGAAATACCGTGTCAACAAATCCATACTGAAGTACGCAAAATAATCATGTAATTACACTGTCTGGCTATAAAAAGTGTTCTTTGTATATCTGGACTTATGTTTGTAACTTATTTCATTAATTTTATTCAAAATTCCTTTTAATATTATTTTTATTAATTTCGGCGAAATCGTGTGTGAAGCGATCGGAAGATCGCACAACTCACCGTTATTAACAGCAACCACGGTCAGAATATCGCTATTGATGCCTTGAAACGAACTTTACTTGACAGAGAATGGATACATATATCATAAATGACATACTTTGACTCGTTAAAAGTCATATTTGTTTTTGATTATTTGTACTGTTTGATTGTGAATCACAAGATTGTGTCTGTATTACAGCTTCAGATGGCAGTGCGGCAAGGGGGCTGTGTGGGTGTGTATGTCCTAACGGCCTTCATCCACACCAAGAAAGAGAATCGATCAGAGCAACTTCGGCGGGTCGGTGAGATCATTATGGGGATCTATCTGTTCGCGTACGCCTATATACTTAACAGCAGCAGCGAGTACAAGCGTGGCTTCCTGCATCACTTCCTGGACAGCGATTGGTTGAGATACTTCATCACCCTGGCAATAGTTGCATGTGCGTTGTGCTTCCTGTCCAGTTACTTTGTCCGTGATATGAGCGTCTGTGCAGCGCTCATGTTGATCACCGTTACCATAGTGATGGACCTTGACTTTGACTACTGGACACGTCGTGGTGTCCACTTCTGGAACCAGGCCCGGATGTTGCTGGACAGTCTCACTGCTGTTACTGGATTTGCTTTATTTTCTCGGGTTTTTGAAAATAGAATTAAGACTGAGCATTATGAATGATGTAACATGTTATTAAAGTATTTCACACAAGTGCAATTTCCCAGTACTGCTGTTAATGTTTTGGTGAATGTATGGTTGTTTTTGCATGTAACTTCTGCTCAAATCTTGACCACTGTATAAATGTATGTATCTGTTGTGAGTGATGTGTTCATGTGCCATGATGACCTTGACCTGCTTGTTTGTCACACAGACATAATAGGAAAATCATTATTCACTATATTCAGATTTATATATATATCTATGGAACAAAATTCCAAACCAATTGAATGTATCAGTCCAGAAAGCTATTCGGCCACTGTACTTGTTGACTGACATAATGGACAGTTTAACCATCATATTCTCAAGAACCAGAAGGTGTAGAAAGCTGCAACAGTCTGTTAATGATAATGACCATAACTGGATTGGAAGTTTGTTCAAGACATCATCAACGACATTAAGTTTTGGCGCCGTTGTCAATGTGGCAGTGTTACTATTTCTTCTTTTATCTCAGTATCTATTGCCCCTAAATTCAACCTGCTATGAAAAGGCTTTGGTCAATGTCACCATTCAGGTTATCATTGAACAACGATACGTAGAGATTTATCACCCTATGGTTTTCTATATCATGCCGGTATCATCCAAAGAGGCCATCAGCCCATATCAGACCGAGGCCATGATATGGCCCTGGCCTCAGTCTGATATGACGTAACAGCCTCGGTCTGATATGGCCTAACAGGCCCAGTCTGATATGGCCCTTTCCTCGGTCTGATATGGCCTAACGGCCCCAGTCTGATATGGCCCTGGCCTCGGTCTGATATGGCCTAACAGCCCCAGTCTGACATGGCCTAACAGCCTCGGTCTGTTATGGCCTAATGGCCCCAGTCTGATATGGCCTAACAGCCCTAGTCTGATATGGCCCTGGCCTCGGTCTGATATGGCCTACTGTCCTCATTCTGATATGGCCTAACAGCCCCAGTCTGGTATGGCCCTGGCCTCGGTCTGATATGGCCTAACAGCCCCAGTCTGATATGGCGTAACAGCCCCAGTCTGATATGGTGTAACAGCCCCAGTCTGATATGGCCTAACAGCCTCGGTCTAATATGGCCTAATGGCCTCGGTCTGATATGGCCTAACAGCCTCAGTCTGATATTGCCCTGGCCTCGGTCTGATATGGCCTACTGTCCTCAGTCTGATATGGCCTAATGGCCTCGGTCTGATATGGCCTAATGTCCTCGGTCTGATATGGACTAACAGCCTCAGTCTAATATGGCCCTGGCTATGGTCTGATATGGCCCTGATATGGTCAGGCCATATCAGACCGAGGCTGTTACACAGGTTTCTGATATTGGTCGAGGGTTGATGCCAGCGTGATATGTAAATGAATAATGATATAAAGTGTTTATCACTTAATACTGACTGAGCCTTTGACATTTTCATGTTTATCTTCTTTATGTCAATGTATTTCAGTTGGCCACTATATCAATGAGTATCACTTGTAGTCCCTTCTGAAGTATTTTCAATTTCAAGAAGCCAGTTTGTCAGTTTTTTTGCATTCTCGTCGCATTCAGGCTTCCTGTTAGTATTTATATTTTTCATACTCTTAGTGAATTTGCTTGTTTGAAATTTTGAATGAATGTTTTTAATTTTTTCATTTAATTGGTCTTGTTCAGACACTGTTACCTTCATGGGTATTGAAACTCGATCTTTATATCGAAACAAGTCCTTCAATATTCGGCCTGAGTTCAGAATCCTGGAGCACTGATGTTGGAGACATACCAAACAATCTGTCAACTTCTGACAGCACAGGCCACAGTTTTTTTCAAAATGGTGTCACAGACCAATTTTAGTGATATTGTTGAACAGTGTTAATGTAAAATATAACAGTTTATTATAGAAGTACTGTAATTTTACAGTCAGTCGAAGGGTCACTGATTGGACAGCGAATTTAATATCATGCAATCATCTGCACCTGAGGGGAATACGGCTAAAACTGCAGTATGATACAGTAGTTGTGTTGGTATATATGTATTGTAGGTTAAATCCAGATCCTATCTAGATTATACAAAAGCAAGTTTAACCATCAGCATCAGGAAAATAGTTTTTTTAGAGGAGAGAAATGTAGGGCCTATTGTATAATAAGATTTCATAGACAACATGTGGCAGTGCCATATTTCTTTATATTAGAATCATGAGTTAATAAAGAAAGGGGGGGGGGGAGGACAATAATTTGTCATTCAATATGTAATAATCCCACACCGTTCTCCGATTTTGAACCAATTTGGCATTTATTTCATCACTCTCTTACTTTCTCACATGTAATCAAGCAAAATGTCACTACAATACACATACATATATATTTTTATCATTATCGAATTTTATGCTTCACAGATTCCAGTCTGTGACCTAGCAGTGAGATGTGCACTATGGTAACCATGGTAACACTCAGACTTGATGAGCTCATGACATGAAACCCTGAATGTTATGCAGTTCTATAAATGAACTTCTTCCGTGGGTCATTATGATGTTGTTATGATAATGTACCCATATCAGTTGTCACTATTATATGTACACATGGAGATCCGGGTTAGAATAGGTCTTCAGCAAACCCATGCTTGTCATAAGAGGTGACTAACGGATCAGGTGGTCAGGCTAGCTGATTTGGCTGATGCATGTCATCGTATCCCAATCACATGCATCAAAGCTCATAATGTAAATCGTTCGCTCGTCACGCCGAAGACCCGGGTTCGATTCCCCCCATGGGTACAATGTGTGAAGCCCATTTCTGGTGTCCCCCGCCGTGATATTGCTGGAATATTGCTAAAAGCGGCGTAAAACCATACTCACTCACTCATAATGTAAATCACTGGATTGTCTGGTCAAGAATCGATTATTTACAGACTGCCTTCATATAGCTGGATTATTGCTGAACGTGGCGTTAAACAACAAACAAACAAACAAATGTAACTATTATATTAATGAAATGACACTACCTCACCAGTCTGTGTGTGGACAGTGTGTACACTACCTCACCAGTCTGTGTGTGGACAGTGGGTACTCTACCTCACCAGTCTGTGTGTGGACCGTGTGTACTCTACATCACCAGTCTGTGTGTGGACAGTGTGTACACTACCTCACCAGTCTGTGTGTGGACAGTGTGTACTCTACATCACCAGTCTGTGTGTGGACCATGGGTACACTACATCACCAGTCTGTGTGTGGACCGATGGGTACACTACATCACCAGCCTGTGTGTGGACCATGGGTACACTACATCACCAGTCTGTGTGTGGACAGTGTGTACACTACATCACCAGTCTGTGTGTGGACCATGGGTACACTACATCACCAGTCTGTGTGTGGACAGTGTGTACACTACCTCACCAGTCTGTGTGTGGACCATGGGTACTCTACATCACCAGTCTGTGTGTGGACCGATGGGTACACTACATCACCAGTCTGTGTGTGGACAGTGTGTACACTACCTCACCAGTCTGTGTGTGGACCATGGGTACACTACATCACCAGTCTGTGTGTGGACCGATGGGTACACTACATCACCAGCCTGTGTGTGGACCATGGGTACACTACATCACCAGTCTGTGTGTGGACAGTGTGTACACTACATCACCAGTCTGTGTGTGGACCATGGGTACACTACATCACCAGTCTGTGTGTGGACAGTGTGTACACTACCTCACCAGTCTGTGTGTGGACGGTGTGTACTCTACATCACCAGTCTGTGTGTGGACCGGTGGGTACACTACCTCACCAGTCTGTGTGTGGACGGTGTGTACTCTACCTCACCAGTCTGTGTGTGGACCATGGGTACACTACCTCACCAGTCTGTGTGTGGACCGATGGGTACACTACATCACCAGTCTGTGTGTGGACCATGGGTACACTACATCACCAGTCTGTGTGTGGACCATGGGTACACTACATCACCAGTCTGTGTGTGGACAGTGTGTACTCTACATCACCAGTCTGTGTGTGGACCGGTGGGTACACTACCTCACCAGCCTGTGTGTGGACCGATGGGTACACTACATCACCAGCCTGTGTGTGGACCGATGGGTACACTACCTCACCAGTCTGTGTGTGGACCATGGGTACTCTACATCACCAGTCTGTGTGTGGACAGTGTGTACACTACATCACCAGTCTGTGTGTGGACCATGGGTACACTACATCACCAGTCTGTGTGTGGACAGTGTGTACTCTACATCACCAGTCTGTGTGTGGACCATGGGTACACTACATCACCAGTCTGTGTGTGGACAGTGTGTACTCTACATCACCAGTCTGTGTGTGGACAGTGTGTACACTACCTCACCAGTCTGTGTGTGGACCGGTGGGTACACTACATCACCAGTCTGTGTGTGGACAGTGTGTACTCTACATCACCAGTCTGTGTGTGGACAGTGTGTACTCTACATCACCAGTCTGTGTGTGGACCATGGGTACACTACATCACCAGTCTGTGTGTGGACAGTGTGTACTCTACATCACCAGTCTGTGTGTGGACAGTGTGTACACTACATCACCAGTCTGTGTGTGGACAGTGTGTACTCTACATCACCAGTCTGTGTGTGGACAGTGTGTACTCTACATCACCAGTCTGTGTGTGGACAGTGGGTACACTACATCACCAGTCTGTGTGTGGACAGTGTGTACTCTACATCACCAGTCTGTGTGTGGACAGTGTGTACTCTACATCACCAGTCTGTGTGTGGACAGTGTGTACACTACCTCACCAGTCTGTGTGTGGACCATGGGTACTCTACATCACCAGTCTGTGTGTGGACCGTGTGTACACTACATCACCAGTCTGTGTGTGGACCATGGGTACACTACATCACCAGTCTGTGTGTGGACAGTGTGTACTCTACATCACCAGTCTGTGTGTGGACCATGGGTACACTACCTCACCAGTCTGTGTGTGGACGGTGTGTACTCTACATCACCAGTCTGTGTGTGGACCATGGGTACACTACATCACCAGTCTGTGTGTGGACAGTGTGTACTCTACATCACCAGTCTGTGTGTGGACCATGGGTACACTACCTCACCAGTCTGTGTGTGGACGGTGTGTACTCTACATCACCAGTCTGTGTGTGGACCATGGGTACACTACCTCACCAGTCTGTGTGTGGACCGATGGGTACACTACATCACCAGTCTGTGTGTGGACAGTGTGTACTCTACATCACCAGTCTGTGTGTGGACAGTGTGTACACTACCTCACCAGTCTGTGTGTGGACAGTGGGTACACTACCTCACCAGTCTGTGTGTGGACGGTGTGTACACTACATCACCAGTCTGTGTGTGGACCATGGGTACACTACATCACCAGTCTGTGTGTGGACAGTGTGTACACTACCTCACCAGTCTGTGTGTGGACCATGGGTACACTACATCACCAGTCTGTGTGTGGACCATGGGTACACTACCTCACCAGTCTGTGTGTGGACCGTGTGTACACTACATCACCAGTCTGTGTGTGGACCATGGGTACACTACATCACCAGTCTGTGTGTGGACAGTGTGTACTCTACATCACCAGTCTGTGTGTGGACCATGGGTACACTACCTCACCAGTCTGTGTGTGGACCGTGGGTACACTACATCACCAGTCTGTGTGTGGACAGTGTGTACACTACATCACCAGTCTGTGTGTGGACCATGGGTACACTACATCACCAGTCTGTGTGTGGACCATGGGTACACTACCTCACCAGTCTGTGTGTGGACCGTGTGTACACTACATCACCAGTCTGTGTGTGGACCATGGGTACACTACATCACCAGTCTGTGTGTGGACCATGGGTACACTACATCACCAGTCTGTGTGTGGACCATGGGTACACTACATCACCAGTCTGTGTGTGGACCATGGGTACTCTACATCACCAGTCTGTGTGTGGACGGTGTGTACTCTACATCACCAGTCTGTGTGTGGACAGTGTGTACACTACATCACCAGTCTGTGTGTGGACGGTGGGTACTCTACATCACCAGTCTGTGTGTGGACCATGGGTACACTACATCACCAGTCTGTGTGTGGACGGTGTGTACACTACATCACCAGTCTGTGTGTGGACAGTGGGTACACTACCTCACCAGTCTGTGTGTGGACAGTGTGTACACTACCTCACCAGTCTGTGTGTGGACAGTGGGTACACTACCTCACCAGTCTGTGTGTGGACAGTGGGTACACTACCTCACCAGTCTGTGTGTGGACCATGGGTACTCTACATCACCAGTCTGTGTGTGGACCATGGGTACACTACATCACCAGTCTGTGTGTGGACAGTGTGTACACTACATCACCAGTCTGTGTGTGGACGGTGGGTACTCTACATCACCAGTCTGTGTGTGGACAGTGTGTACTCTACCTCACCAGTCTGTGTGTGGACGGTGGGTACTCTACCTCACCAGTCTGTGTGTGGACCGTGTGTACACTACATCACCAGTCTGTGTGTGGACAGTGTGTACACTACATCACCAGTCTGTGTGTGGACGGTGGGTACACTACATCACCAGTCTGTGTGTGGACCATGTGTACACTACATCACCAGTCTGTGTGTGGACCGGTGGGTACACTACCTCACCAGTCTGTGTGTGGACGGTGGGTACTCTACCTCACCAGTCTGTGTGTGGACCGTGTGTACTCTACATCACCAGTCTGTGTGTGGACCATGGGTACACTACATCACCAGTCTGTGTGTGGACTGGTGGGTACTCTACATCACCAGTCTGTGTGTGGACAGTGTGTACACTACATCACCAGTCTGTGTGTGGACGGTGGGTACTCTACATCACCAGTCTGTGTGTGGACAGTGTGTACACTACCTCACCAGTCTGTGTGTGGACCGATGGGTACTTTACATCACCAGTCTGTGTGTGGACAGTGTGTACTCTACATCACCAGTCTGTGTGTGGACCGGTGGGTACACTACCTCACCAGTCTGTGTGTGGACCGGTGGGTACACTACATCACCAGTCTGTGTGTGGACAGTGTGTACTCTACATCACCAGTCTGTGTGTGGACCGTGGGTACACTACATCACCAGTCTGTGTGTGGACAGTGTGTACACTACATCACCAGTCTGTGTGTGGACCATGTGTACACTACATCACCAGTCTGTGTGTGGACCGGTGGGTACACTACATCACCAGTCTGTGTGTGGACCATGGGTACACTACATCACCAGTCTGTGTGTGGACCATGGGTACACTACATCACCAGTCTGTGTGTGGACGGTGTGTACTCTACATCACCAGTCTGTGTGTGGACCGGTGGGTACACTACATCACCAGTCTGTGTGTGGACCATGGGTACACTACATCACCAGTCTGTGTGTGGACCATGGGTACACTACATCACCAGTCTGTGTGTGGACGGTGTGTACTCTACATCACCAGTCTGTGTGTGGACGGTGTGTACTCTACATCACCAGTCTGTGTGTGGACAGTGTGTACACTACCTCACCAGTCTGTGTGTGGACCGATGGGTACACTACATCACCAGTCTGTGTGTGGACAGTGTGTACTCTACATCACCAGTCTGTGTGTGGACGGTGTGTACACTACATCACCAGTCTGTGTGTGGACCGATGGGTACACTACATCACCAGTCTGTGTGTGGACAGTGTGTACACTACATCACCAGTCTGTGTGTGGACCGGTGGGTACACTACCTCACCAGTCTGTGTGTGGACAGTGTGTACTCTACATCACCAGTCTGTGTGTGGACAGTGTGTACACTACATCACCAGTCTGTGTGTGGACCGGTGGGTACACTACCTCACCAGTCTGTGTGTGGACAGTGTGTACTCTACATCACCAGTCTGTGTGTGGACAGTGTGTACACTACCTCACCAGTCTGTGTGTGGACGGTGTGTACACTACCTCACCAGTCTGTGTGTGGACAGTGTGTACTCTACATCACCAGTCTGTGTGTGGACCGGTGGGTACACTACATCACCAGTCTGTGTGTGGACAGTGTGTACTCTACATCACCAGTCTGTGTGTGGACCGGTGGGTACACTACCTCACCAGTCTGTGTGTGGACCGTGGGTACACTACATCACCAGTCTGTGTGTGGACCGGTGGGTACACTACCTCACCAGTCTGTGTGTGGACCTTGGGTACACTACCTCACCATGATTTTCTGAACCCTTCAAATGCTTACTTTCTCATTTTGTCTTTTGAAGGATTGATCATTTTATTATTTTAAGAAATAAACCCTTTTTCCCTTGTTATCTTACAGTTGTTTGTTTTACAGCATTTGATGACCATATAACTTCCAGTGTGTGATCATGTATAGGTCTTACTCTCAAGAGAAGGCGAATTATTGCTATGATATGGCCCTGGCCTCAGTCTGATATGGCCTAACAGCCTTGTTCTGATATAATGGCCTCGGTCTGATATGGCCTAACAGCCTTGGTCTGATATGGCCTGGTGTCCTCGGTCTGATATTGCCTAACAGCCGCGGTCTGATATGGCCTAATGGCCTTGGTCTGATATGGCCTAACAGCCTCGGTCTGATATGGCCTAACAACCTCAGTCTGATATGGTCTAACAGCCTCGGTCTGATATGGCCTAACAGCCTCAGTCTGATATGGCCCTGGCCTCGGTCTGATATGGCCTAACAGCCTCGGTCTGATATGGCCTAACAGCCTTAGTCTGATATGGCCCTGGCCTCGGTCTGATATGGCCTAACAGCCTAGGTCTGATATGGCCTAACAGCCTAGGTCTGATATGGCCTAACAACCTTGGTCTGATATGGCCTAACAGCCTCAGTCTGATATGGCCCTGGCCTCGGTCTGATATGGCCTAACAGCCTAGGTCTGATATGGCCTAACAGCCTAGGTCTGATATGGCCTAACAACCTTGGTCTGATATGGCCTAACAGCCTCAGTCTGATATGGCCCTGGCCTCGGTCTGATATGGCCTAACAGCCTCAGTCTGATATGGCCTAACAACCTCAGTCTGATATGGTCTAACAGACTCGGTCTGATATGGCCTAACAGCCTCAGTCTGATATGGCCCTGGCCTCGGTCTGATATGGCCTAACAGCCTCGGTCTGATATGGCCTAACAGCCTCGGTCTGATATGGCCTAACAGCCTCAGTCTGATATGGCCCTGGCCTCGGTCTGATATGGCCTAACAGCCTAGGTCTGATATGGCCTAACAGCCTAGGTCTGATATGGCCTAACAACCTTGGTCTGATATGGCCTAACAGCCTCAGTCTGATATGGCCCTGGCCTCGGTCTGATATGGCCTAACAGCCTAGGTCTGATATGGCCTAACAGCCTAGGTCTGATATGGCCTAACAACCTTGGTCTGATATGGCCTAACAGCCTCAGTCTGATATGGCCCTGGCCTCGGTCTGATATGGCCTAACAGCCTAGGTCTGATATGGCCTAACAGCCTAGGTCTGATATGGCCTAACAACCTTGGTCTGATATGGCCCTGGCCTCGGTCTGATATGGCCTAACAGCCTAGGTCTGATATGGCCTAACAACCTTGGTCTGATATGGCCTAACAGCCTCGGTCTGATATGGCATGTAATCAAGCAAAATGTCACTACAATACACATACATATATATTTTTATCATTATCGAATTTTATGCTTCACAGATTCCAGTCTGTGACCTAGCAGTGAGATGTGCACTATGGTAACCATGGTAACACTCAGACTTGATGAGCTCATGACATGAAACCCTGAATGTTATGCAGTTCTATAAATGAACTTCTTCCGTGGGTCATTATGATGTTGTTATGATAATGTACCCATATCAGTTGTCACTATTATATGTACACATGGAGATCCGGGTTAGAATAGGTCTTCAGCAAACCCATGCTTGTCATAAGAGGTGACTAACGGATCAGGTGGTCAGGCAAGCTGATTTGGCTGATGCATTTCATCGTATCCCAATCACATGCATCAAAGCTCATAATGTAAATCACAGGATTGTCTGGTCAAGACTCGATTATTTACAGACCGCCTTCATATAGCTGGATAATTGCTGAACGTGGCATTAAACAACAAACAAGAACAAATGTTACTATTATATTAATGAAATGACACTACCTTACCAGTCTGTGTGTGGACCGGTGCGTACACTACCTCACTTGTCCGTGTATGGACCATGGGTACACTACATCACCAGTCTGTGTGTGGACCGTGGTCTCAGCCTCGGTCTGATATGGCCTAACAGCCTCAGTCTGATATGGCCCAGGCCTCGGTCTGATATGGCCTGCAGCTTCTAAAGTTTTTGGGTCCCGATTATTTCAAACACAGACTTACAGAAAACACATGATATAGAAGAGTTATGTTTCATGTCTTTTGAATCAAGTTTACTTTTTTCTGCTCAATCTCTGGCGACAAATTCAACTTGTGTATGGTTTTAATAGCCCCCCACTTTGTTAATTCTCAAAGTGCCCAGGGCACTTATTATGGCGAATACCAGTAGTTTGTTCCTTGAAAAGGCATTGGGTACAAGGGACCCAGGCTGTCCTTGGGGTCGTATGGGGTACTAAGGAAAGTTATGTGCTAGATTCCCTTGGATGGCTTCATACTGGAAACAGTTTCGGGAATGAGTGAGTATGCAATTTAGTCACTTGTTCAAAATGCCAATTTTAATAACAATAGTGGTAACGTTAAGACATAATTCTTCTCAAAATAAATTTGGGCTAGTAATGAAAAAAGGTTTTGGCTCAGACACTGAATGTTGTTTACACTACCGTCAGTAGTATTCGTACAATATCACGGTGACCTGATAGATTAAGAAAGTTTAGAATGATTTGGCAAGTCTAGATTTCATCAGCTCTACCTGAAATTATAGAGTGCCCTGGGCTCCATTTGGGTTTTTATTTATTTTAATTTTGTAGATACCTATATAATTTTGCGGAAGATAACTTTATTTCTTGGACTAAAGGTCAGTCTAGGTAACCAGTAAATATTCAAGTCTGGACCCGATAAACCATTGTCAATAGTTCATAGCTTTGTAAAACTTTGTATTTATATCTTATCACCCATTAATACAAATGGCTTTGCAGTCGAATAGGTATTTTAACCTCTGTCTGGTTACAGCGAGAGGACAACATCATGCCAGTGCTCAGACCAAGGACCACTCAGATTACATTGCAAAAAGGCTAAATAGGCAATAGTAGGGATTAAACCGAACAATGCAGTGGTTGATATTATGACCACCATCTGAAATCACCAAGCTAGGATGACATGCAACTAACTGTAGCCAAACATGCAACTAACTGTCGCCAAGCTTGACCACAAGGAGTTCCCCACATGGGAAATATTTTTATGTGTACATTGTTGAGAAACTGAACTGCAAAAGTCACCTGTCTACAGCCAGGTAACATTTACCTGTCTACAGCAAGGTAACATTGACCTGTCTACAGCCCTGATGAGATGGAGTTGCCAGGTAACATTGACCTGTCTACAGCCCTGATGAGATGGAGTTGCCAGGTAACATTGACCTGTCTACAGCCCTGATGACATGGAGTTGCCAGGTAACATTGACCTGTCTACAGCCCTGATGACATGGAGTTGCCAGGTAACATTGACCTGTCTACAGCCCTGATGAGATGGAGTTGCCAGGTAACATTGACCTGTCTACAGCCCTGATGACATGGAGTTGCCAGGTAACATTGACCTGTCTACAGCCCTGATGACATGGAGTTGCCAGGTAACATTGACCTGTCTACAGCCCTGATGACATGAAGTTGCCAGGTAACATTGACCTGTCTACAGCCCTGATGACCTGGGGCCAGTTCCACAAAGCCATCTTAGCACTACGACTGACGTAAGTCTGTGTAAAAGTATGGGAGTTACGATCATCTTAGCGCGACGATCGCTTTGTGGAACGGGCCCCTGAAGTTGCCAGGTAACATTGACATAGGAGTAAAACTAATCCAGCAGGCAGGGCAAAGAAGTGTGACAACGATTCAGCAGGCTAAAGATTAATGATGTCCTGAATGTTATGTTTATTTACATTTGAATCTGAGCTGTAGCCAAGAACAAACCTATCCAAGATCAGCTGGATGGCTCCAGAACTTGGCACTGCATCACTCTGTTTGTATTTTGTTACATCTTTGCTGCCCTAGCTGTGAGTCCAGTTTAATTAGCTGTTGTAGGAAACCTGTATTTGGGCACACCTCTCGATGGCTCCTGACCAATCGGAGAGCATCTTTGACTGTCATGTGACGTTTGAGCATCAGGAATGCCACAGCCAGTGTGGCAGATCGACTTACTCCTTGTATACAGTGGACCAAGATTTTACCTGCAAGTCAATTGTATGCATTTAAACAAAATACTACGATGATCTTTTGAAACTATTCCATTCTGATTGGTCAATCTGAAGATTCAAATCATCACTATAATCACCCCTGATTATATTAGGTTTCTAAGTGCACAACACATTCTTAATCCCAAAACCTGAAATTTGGATAAGGATATGTATTAAAACTGCTTTTCAAATACTCAGTTTTGTTTAGTGCACATTTGTAAAATGACATTTCCAAGAAGATAACAGATATGCTATAACAGGCCTTGGCGAATGTCATAGGTGCTTCATTAACTTGTGTAAACAAACGCGGGGAGAGACACTAAGTCTACTGCTAAATTACATAGTAGGGACCCACCATTTGATAAAAGTCTCTTGAAATTGTCCCTGAAAATTCTTGAAAATACTAATTATACTTCAGACTGTTGAAAAAAATAATTGAATGCCACAAAAATTACATTGTTGCAAGGTTTCTTTAAAAAAAATTAGGCTCATAGTTTAAGATAAAAAAATAAAAACTGTAGCTTCAAAAATATCTATTCTTGATACAAATCCCAGGCTCAATTAACTCAATGATTTACATTAATTTCACGATTCAAGGGGGACAAAATAATGATAACGGAAAAGATTGCATCATTAGTCTATTATAAACGTCTCATATTGCAAGCTGCAGAGGTTGAAATTAAGAAGGTTTTTAAATAATGAAATGGAGAAATTTGTTAAAAACAGTTTCCAAACAGGATAATATATAAACAGTTGAACCTCATTGTGACAAACTCGTTGGGACCTGGAAAAAAGTTCGAGTTCTCTGGGGATCAAGACGTCAGGGGAAATTTATGCCTAATATGAATACTTTGGACTGCCAAATGAGTTCGAGACCACCGGGAATTTGACACATCCAAGCTCGACACAACAAGGTTTGACTGTATTCAGTCAGGCAAATGGGCAGATACATTAAAAAGCCTCTCTCTTTTTGAGTGGGACAATAATTTAGGACCATTGGGAGATGAGAAACAAACAAAACCTTCAGATATTTAGTATTCTCACTGCTAACTGTTAACAATGGATCCTTGGCTATCAAAAAGCAATGGTTGATAGCATGAGCAATGCAAGCAATCAGCAGTAACACAACACAACCTTCCAATCTTCAGTAGTCAGCTCTCAAAATCCTGGGGTACCGGGTACCTATTCTTTTCTTGACACCAAACTTGGATACTGTATGAGAGCAGAATGGTACTATGTTCACTAACTTCATGCACTCCGCCGTGTGGGTGGAAACTTACCCCCGTTGTCCAATGCCTTCTCTATGAAGTCAGCTGACTCTTGGAAGAAAGGGTAAAGGTTAAAACTCATATGATCGATGGCTTCAATGCCCTTGAAAGTAACCTTGATCTTCATATACATGTCCTCATTGGTGTTTACATGGTAGATATCAACGCCATGGGCAGCATTCAGGATGTGAGTGACTCCGAGCCTTCGGAGCTGCACCAGATCACGGGCGATCGACCTTCAATAAGAAAGGGTACTTGATGATTCACATGGAGGTCAATGAGACTGCCTAACCAAATCATGTTGGTTGAAGCTACTCATAAGGTGACCTATTAGTAATAATAGTATTACTCTATCCTACATAAACATTTGATTGACTCTTGACCTTGACTCTTTGTTGAGACCTACACCCTGGTTGGTTGGGTTTGTTGCTTAACGCCGCACTCAGCAATAGTCCAGCTATATGACGGCGGTCTGTAAATAATCGAGTCTGGACCAGACAATCCAGTGATTGATATCATGAGCATCGATCCACGCAATTGTGATCGATGACATGCTTCAACCAAGTCAGTGAGCCTGACCACCCGATCCCGTTAGTCGCCTCTTACGACAAGCATAGTCGCCTTTTACGGCAAGCAATGGTTGCTGAAGACCTATTCTATCTTCATGGACATTCACCTTACTCAAGAGAACTTCAAATGGTCCAAGAACTACTAAGGTATCGGGTTTAAGTAAAATAGCGATGAAAACAATATTCCAATATTTCTTTTGCTAAAATATAATCCCACTTTTTAAGATTGATACATTATCCAGTGACTTTGACCTTTGGCACATTGGAGATTCCTAATTAAATTACCTGGCAAAGCATTTTGTTTGATAGCTTTCAGAAAAGAATTTTTTAATATATTTGGAATTAAAGTGAAAGTGTCATGAAAATAGTAATAGATTTTCTTATATAATTTACAATACGATGGCCAAGAAAAAAAAGGCATGAAAACGTAAACTCCATTAAAAGTATGTATTTTGAGGTCTTTATTTGTAACAATCCAAACAAATCTTAAAAGTGCAAAGAAGGAGGTGGGGCTTAATTAGCACGACTGGCTAGGCTTTTTTATTTGTTTGTTTGTTTGTTTGTTGTTTAACGCCTCACTAAGCAATATTCCAGCTACATGACGGCGGTCTGTAAATAATCGAGTCTGGTCCAGACAATCCAGTGATTGATATCATGAGCATCGATCCACGCAATTGTGATCGATGACATGCTTCCACCAAGTCAGTGAGCCCGACTACCCGATCTCTTTAGTCTCCTCTTACAATAAGCATAGTTGTCTAAGCGTTGGTTGCTGAAGACCTTCCGGTATTCTACCCTGGATCTGCAAGCTGATTGGGTATTACCACCAGCCGGGTACAGAATACATGCGATCGTTTCATTAGTTGTGGGGAGACATGTATATATACTCAACAACAAAAGTTCCTGTGACACCAATATTTTAGAGTATTTTTCAAAGTAAAAGTAAAGTTTGGCTTTCAATATTGTAGTACATGTATGGAATCAAGTCACAAAAACGCAACTGCAACAGAAAAGCATGCATTCCATGCAAAAGTTGACTTTTATGCAAGCCTCATGCATTTCACTACCCAAGAATGGGTATAAAAACATGTGCGTTAACGGAATTCAATATGCATTGTTTAGCATCGTGCTGACAACAACCACTCAGAAAAACAATAAAATTACGCAATTATTCAACATTACGAAATGCCACGCCTGTCTGAAAATGAGCGTCTGCGAGCCATTGGTATGCTTGAAGCAGGATCGAGTCAACGTGATGTTGCAAGACAATTTAACGTCCACAGAAACACCATTTGGTGTTTATGGCAACGTTGGCAACATACGAATGCAGTCACAGACCATCCTCGGAGTGGCAGGCCACACGTAACCAATAATCAACAAGACAACTGGATTTGAACAACACACCTATGTAATCGATTCCAGCCAGCAAAAGTGACTGCAAGAAGCATCCCTGGCCTTCGACGTATATCTTACCAAACCGTACTTCGTCGCCTCAGATGTGCAGGGATTGTCGCCAGACGTCCCATTTTGACAGGAAACCACCGTCAAGTGGTGCAGACAGCGTCTACGCTGGACGGCCATGCAGTGGGGACAAGTTCTATTCACTGACGAGTCTCGTTCTCACCTCAGCCACGGATTCGAGTGTACCGACGTCGAGGTGAACGTTACGTCAATCATTGTGTCATGGAAGAAGATCGGTTCGGGGGTGGCAGAGTTATGGTATGGGGTGGGATTACAGCAAGACAGAGAACCCGTTTGATAGTGGTAGAGGGAAATCTCAATGGACAGCGCTACCGCAACAAGATCATCAGCCCTGTTGTTCTACCGTTTTTGCGTCGTCATGGCCCAGGCATTACCTTTCAACATGACAATGCCCGGCCTCATATTGCTCAACTTGTTCAGGATTCTCTTCAACAAAACAACGTGAATGTTATCCCCTGGCCAGCATGCTCCCCTGATCTCTCACCAATCGAGCACCTGTGGGATGAGATGGACAGACACTCCAGGAACTTAGAAACATGCTCCAGCAGATATGGACAGATATCCCACAGGACTTTGTTCGACGCCTGGTCCATTCCATGAGACGAAGATGTGTTACTTGCATCGCAACCAGAGGTGGCCACACGCTATTGATTTGTAAATTGACATTTTGGCATGTTCTTGTTTTTTATTAAATCACGCATTTTTTGAAGTCAGTATGGCAAATTAAACCATATGAACACTTACAGGAGTCTTTTATCTGTTGCAAACCGAAATTGTTTCAGATTTGGTAAAAAACTTAACTTTGCATTAAATCTTATTCAATGTCACAGGAATTTTTTTTGCTCAGTATTTAATACTGGTATGGATTCTATGTTTGTCAAGAGTATGGCTAGTGGGGATGTGTCAAGTAACCTTGATTTAACATGGATTATATAATTCTAACATTGTAAAATATTTTCCTTTTCAATTTTAGGTGTGAATGTTCAATCCATTGTTTTTCACCGAATATTGACCTCAGTATATAAATGCCCTTGTCACATTTCGGTTGTTGAAAGAAAGAGTAGTATATTTTAATCCTTAAATCCCACTCATACGAAGGAAAGTACAGTGTACAAGTGGTCATTGCTAATTGTGGAAAGGAGAATGTCTAAGGGTTAAAAAGGGTGAAGAACAGGGTAGTTCTGCTGAGAACGTGTGCAGCAGACCATGACCGTGAATGGAGGCTGGGCTGCTGGAGTGCAATCAAGCGTGTAATTTTGGAGGTAATTTCCTCCAACATGACCATATATGGACCCTCTGTATATAAAGGTATATTGGTTTGTAAAACACCACTACAAATTACACATATCATATTGCATTTATTTATATAAAAAAGATGTCAGCGTAATTGCTAAATATTTTAAATACTCAAAAACATCTTTAACAAATTGAGGCGTTCCCCAGATATATGATGATAAATTTGAGGAGGAATGTTGACATAGTGCCACATGACGCCCTCCTTATTTTCAACCCTTCAACACCAAGATATCCACAATGTACAGGCACACCTTCGTGACTGGGGATAACTGTATATATATGAAAGTTCTTTGATAACTTGATTATTTGATGTACTTTATCCGACAATCTCGCTGGGATGTAATACACATCATGGCCTTCATCTGTCCACATGACCCCATACTGTTTAGTGAAGCAGATTGAACATATGTCACCAACCACAAGATAAAAGACCTTGTGGGGAAAAATCATGTTTTGACTCCTCATTATTTTTTAAAACTACAGTATCTTAGGACCACAAAAATACAATTCATAACCTTAAATTCATATTTATTAAAAAGATACATGACATCAAACATATGGACTTATTTTCTGCAAAGTCCTTTTTTCAGAATTATAACTGTTTATGTGATGACTGCAGTTTTCAGATATAATGTCTGATTAATTGAAATTAGACATGTATGCTGAAATGTTTGGAAACAATGTTTTTATTACATAACAAACTAAAGAGAGAGAAAATAAGATATTTTTGTACAGTCCACACACATTGCGATTTATACAGAAGTTGGCGTCAAACGTCTTTCCTTATGATGTCCCAGCACAAATGTATCCCAGCACCAATAAGGTCCCTCTTCTACTGCTGGGTCACATATGATCCTAGCACCCATAAGGTCCCTCTTCTCCTGCTGGGTCACATATGATCCTAGCACCCATAGGGTCCCTCTTCTACTGCTGGGTCACATATGATCCTAGCACCCATAAGGTCCCTCTTCTCCTGCTGGGTCACATATGATCCTAGCACCCATAGGGTCCCTCTTCTCCTGCTGGGTCACATATGATCCTAGAACCCATAGGGTCCCTCTTCTCCTGCTGGGTCACATATGATCCTAGCACCCATAAGGTCCCTCTTCTCCTGCTGGGTCACATATGATCCTAGCACCCATAAGGTCCCTCTTCTCCTGCTGGGTCACATATGATCCTAGCACCCATAGGGTCCCTCTTCTCCTGCTGGGTCACATATGATCCTAGCACCCATAAGGTCCCTCTTCTCCTGCTGGGTCACATATGATCATAGCACCCATAAGGTCCCTCTTCTCCTGCTGGGTCACATATGATCCTAGCACCCATAGGGTCCCTCTTCTCCTGCTGGGTCACATATGATCCTAGCACCCATAAGGTCCCTCTTCTCCTGCTGGGTCACATATGATCCTAGCACCCATAAGGTCCCTCTTCTCCTGCTGGGTCACATATGATCCTAGCACCCATAAGGTCCCTCTTCTCCTGCTGGGTCACATATGATCCTAGCACCATAAGGTCCCTCTTCTCCTGCTGGGTCACATATGATCCTAGCACCCATAGGGTCCCTCTTCTACTGCTGGGTCACATATGATCCTAGCACCCATAAGGTCCCTCTTCTCCTGCTGGGTCACATATGATCCTAGCACCCATAGGGTCCCTCTTCTCCTGCTGGGTCACATATGATCCTAGCACCCATAAGGTCCCTCTTCTCCTGCTGGGTCACATATGATCCTAGCACCCATAAGGTCCCTCTTCTCCTGCTGGGTCACATATGATCCTAGCACCCATAAGGTCCCTCTTCTACTGCTGGGTCACATATGATCCTAGCACCAATAAGGTCCCCCTTCTCCTGCTGGGTCACATATGATCCTAGCACCCATAAGGTCCCTCTTCTCCTGCTGGGTCACATATGATCCTAGCACCCATAATGTCCCTCTTCTCCTGCTGGGTCACATATGATCCTAGCACCCATAAGGTCCCTCTTCTTCTGCTGGGTCACATATGATCCTAGCACCCACAAGGTCCCTCTTCTCCTGCTGGGTCACATATGATCCTAGCACCCATAGGGTCCCTCTTCTCCTGCTGGGTCACATATGATCCTAGCACCAATAAGGTCCCTCTTCTACTGCTGGGTCACATATGATCCTAGCACCCATAAGGTCCCTCTTCTCCTGCTGGGTCACATATGATCCTAGCACCCATAAGGTCCCTCTTCTCCTGCTGGGTCACATATGATCCTAGCACCCATAAGGTCCCTCTTCTACTGCTGGGTCACATATGATCCTAGCACCCATAAGGTCCCTCTTCTCCTGCTGGGTCACATATGATCCTAGCACCCATAAGGTCCCTCTTCTCCTGCTGGGTCACATATGATCCTAGCATCCATAATGTCCCTCTTCTCCTGCTGGGTCACATATGATCCTAACACCCATAATGTCCCTCTTCTCCTGCTGGGTCACATATGATCCTAGCACCCACAAGGTCCCTCTTCTCCTGCTGGGTCACATATGATCCTAGCACCCACAAGGTCCCTCTTCTCCTGCTGGGTCACATATGATCCTAGCACCCACAAGGTCCCTCTTCTCCTGCTGGGTCACATATGATCCTAGCACCCACAAGGTCCCTCTTCTCCTGCTGGGTCACATATGATCCTAGCACCCACAAGGTCCCTCTTCTCCTGCTGGGTCACATATGATCCTAGCACCCATAAGGTCCCTCTTCTCCTGCTGGGTCACATATGATCATAGCACCCATAAGGTCCCTCTTCTCCTGCTGGGTCACATATGATCCTAGCACCTATAAGGTCCCTCTTCTCCTGCTGGGTCACATATGATCCTAGCACCCATAAGGTCCCTCTTCTCCTGCTGGGTCACATATGATCCTAGCACCCATAAGGTCTCTCTTCTCCTGCTGGGTCACATATGATCCTAGAACCCATAAGGTCCCTCTTCTACTGCTGGGTCACATATGATCCTAGCACCCATAAGGTCCCTCTTCTCCTGCTGGGTCACATATGATCCTAGCACCCATAAGGTCCCTCTTCTCCTGCTGGGTCACATATGATCCTAGCACCCATAAGGTCCCTCTTCTCCTGCTGGGTCACATATGATCCTAGCACCCATAAGGTCCCTCTACTACTGCTGGGTCACATATGATCCTAGCACCCATAAGGTCCCTCTTCTCCTGCTGGGTCACATATGATCCTAGCACCCGTAAGGTCCCTCTTCTCCTGCTGGGTCACATATGATCCTAGCACTCATAAGGTCCCTCTTCTCCTGCTGGGTCACATATGATCCTAGCACCCATAGGGTCCCTCTTCTCCTGCTGGGTCACATATGATCCTAGCACTCATAAGGTCCCTCTTCTCCTGCTGGGTCACATATGATCCTAGCACCCATAAGGTCCCTCTTCTCCTGCTGGGTCACATATGATGTTTGAGCATGCCCATGGCCCAAGATCTGTTTCTTCACCTAAGCAAATCAGCTTGGGTCCAAACTTTAGAAAAAGGTTTCCTTAAAACTTCTTACTCATCCTTCATGACATATATTAGCCTTGTCTTTACACTTAGTGTTGTCAGCCCTAAACAGGGAAAATGGGAAAAGTCTTATTTGTATTTGAATGAACTTTGATAATGACTCCTAAATGTTTTGCTCATTTTTTTAAATATATAGATATCTTGTGGGCCAAAAGGGTCCTTATCAATATCCTACATTGTCCAAATCTACACATCAATATTTAAAACAGGGACATAAAGACAACTGTATAACTTCATTGGAGTATGAACTTTCATGGTTGTACACATCATCACGGAGTATGAACTTTCATGGTTGTACACATCATCACATCATAAAAGTGGCATCGTTCCTTGTGCAAAGAAGTATGCCATTATTGCAAACAAGTTTGAATTTGTTTTCTGCCTACTGAGAAAGAACATGAATAAACATAGAGCCAAACATAGTGTAGCTCACCTGAATGTTTCGGAAATTTGAATCTTTAGAGCTGTGGACATACAAGCTAGGCAAGAAGAACAAACAAATGAAATAACAGAGGTCTCCATACAACAGACATCATTGCCTCATGTTCAATATATTTCACATCCATACATAACTGGCTATATTGGAGGCTGCCTTTTGCACACAGACATCATTGCCTCATGTTCAATATATTTCACATCCATACATAACTGGCTATATTGGAGGCTGCCTTTTGCACACAGACATCATTGCCTCATGTTCAATATATTTCACATCCATACATAACTGGCTATATTGGAGGCTGCCTTTTGCACACTGACATCATTGCCTCATGTTCAATATATTTCACATCCATACATAACTGGCTATATTGGAGGCTGCCTTTTGCACACAGACATCATTGCCTCATGTTCAATATATTTCACATCCATACATAACTGGCTATATTGGAGGCTGCCTTTTGCACACAGACATCATTGCCTCATGTTCAATATATTTCACATCCATACATAACTGGCTATATTGGAGGCTGCCTTTTGCACACAGCACTGTGGTATGCACTGTGGTATGCGGGACACAAATACAACATAGAGGGCCAAATTGAACTTCTGAAATGCTGAATAACAAAATCATAATATAGTAACTGGCACATGTTCACTACCTGTCTGATATGCATGCAAAGTGTCATGAAGGAGTAGTGAACAGATTTTGTTGAATCCTGTTCAAGAACAAACAGATTTTGTTGAGTTCTGTTAAAAAAACAAACCACACACCCAACTGAGTCCATCAGAATTCAGTCAGCACCTTTTTCAGAATCACTTTTGCTGGAATGATAATCACATCTTAGTTTCACAAATCCAGTTGTACATCTTTACCTGATTAAAGTATAGATGTTAAGATAAAAATATATAGATACTCAGAAAAACATTACCGGTACATACTCTATTTCCCATATACAATGCTCACATTAAGCCTTCACAATACTTGAACACAAAATGGCCGCAGTGGGAGCAATTAGAGGGTGAATAACAATAATGTGAGCAAGTGTAAGTCATAATATTTCTGAAGAAAACATACAAAAACAACCGTCAAACCCAACTTGTCATTCAGATTTCACTGTATTTTATTCATAGCTTATGGGACCGCCTCCGTGGTCTTGTGGTAGAGCGTCCGCCCGGAGAGCGGAAGGTCCAGGGTTCGATCCCGGGCCGCGTCATACAAAAAGACGTTAAAAGATTGTACTTGTTGTTACCCTGTCTGGCGCTCGGCATTAAGGGGCTAAAACAAGGACTGGTCGGCTCGGAGTCAGTATACTGTGTCTGAGTGGGGTATTCATGTTAAACTGCGGCATGGTATCTCAGTGAGCTAGCACTATAAATCAGCATCAGTCCGGACTAGTACAAGCAGCCACACACACACATACACGTGCATGCACGTCACTATATAAGTGCAATAATCTTGGACACGACGTTAAACCCAATTTCACCTCACCTCATAGCTTATGGACTAGTTTAACTAACAATATATATTATGTTTCCAGGTTTGAGGTAAATGTGTCACACCTGAGTCTCTTTTGGCATTTGTCCCACGTTAAAAGCATCTAGTTGGACTTTGATACCCATACCTCCTAATATTAATAACGAAACATAGTAATGATTTTATAAGTTACAATGAAATACTCAAACAGAAAGAAGTAACGAAGAAGTAGATTTCAACCCTCGACCATATTGATGTCAGCAACAGGGCCACATAAAGATTATTGGAGGCTACCTATGTATATTACTATTTTTTCATGAAGTCCAGCTTCTGAATACTTCATTACAATCTAAGAATGACTAAAGTACAGACAGGGTCGAGGAACATAGAGAACAATGAACAGGCCTTGGCACAGGATGGCTGAAACCTTCAGCTGGGCCAAATGAATATTTCTGTTTGTTTGTGACTAGACTGTATTGAAGAGTGCACTTACTCTTCCCCAACAAGGAGATTGTCATACACCTCGTCATATGCTGTGTTGGGCAGCATGGTCAGTCCGCCAGCAGGCTGGGTGATGATGTCATCAAGCTCTTCCACAGTGCATGCAGCAGCAGCTGGAGCGGCAGCAGCAGCAGACTCCATGGGTGGCTGCAGGTGTACCACAGAGTACACACCTCCACTTCCTCTAGGTAAGAGAAGGAAACGGGTCTGACGTTGTTCCTCATGATTGTGTTAGTGAACATGTTTTACACAGCTTTTAGCAATATCATGTCTGAGAGAGAGAGAGAGAGAGAGAGAGAGAGAGAGAGAGAGAGAGAGAGAGAGAAGAGAAAGAGAGAGAGAGAGAGAGAGAGAGAATTGATGGATGTCAAGTTCTTAATTTTTTAATGAGAAACACATAATAATAAGTCAGTCAGTCACGCCATATATTGGACCCATGCCCCCAGGAATTAAATTTTTGACATTCATTGGGAAATGAATGCAATAACACGTGACCAATTCAGCTAATCAGAATGCAGGAAATTCAATGAACACAACGAAAATGTAATTATTGATTATATGATTATATATAATTATTATATGGCTCTGCCTACCGTGGCTGCTTGTACTAGTCTGGAGTTGTGTCAGTTTCATAGTGCTAATTAACCCACTGAGATATTATGCTTCATTTAACATAAGTACCCCACTCAGACACAGTATGTACTGACTCAAAGCCGATCAGTCCTTGTTGTATTCTCATTAGCGTTGAGTGGCGTCTAGGACACAGAGGCAGTAAAATGAAAACAAAACACCAGGATCCTCTGTTCATGGGTTTGAATTCAACAACATTATTTGTCTTGCTTCCTGAGGCAAGGGAGTTAACTGACTATGAATGTCCAGTTTCCACTCTTGGAATTTCTAGGCTCGATTGTAGCGCCCGAGTGACTATTACGAGTTACCGTATGTCCCTACTATGTCCATCCTACTGACCAATCAGATTTCACCTCTCATATCACTTGCATTTGCTTCCAACAAAATGGTCATGCCCAGTCAAGACAATAAAAACATGAAAACATTTGGGAAATATCTGTTGACACTGAGCTGACGGTACACATGCTTTGCAAATCTGCAATTCAACAAAATCTGCACTGTAATTTACAAACCAGATGTTGATTTCGTTAAGCGATTTTGATTGGACAATGCATAGACTTGTTAGTCCAGCCAAAATATATCTCAGTTTGCCCTACGATCAAACAACAAAATTCCAGCCTACTTCAGCAAGGGTGGAAACCAGACTTTTATAGTCGGTTAACTCCCTTGCCTCGGGAAGATGGGTTTGTCAGCACCTGACCCATGCTTGAGGGTTTCATGGAAGTGGCAAATATCTACATGTCAGTCCAGCCTGTCCTCACACATTGTGCTGACTCTGTTCAAGGCAACCCCATCACTGTCACTCATCGTCTTGAACTAATGGCCTTGTTGACAACATGTTCCATCTCAATCCATTCAGTGGTTCTAGCATCCAAAATGTGAAATATTTACTGCTACCAAAATGTTCTTGTAAATGAGGATTATTGAAGTTTTTTCAAAATTTGTTCATGATCGGCACTCATTGTAGACAATATTCCAAACAAAATATTTCTCCTTTTCATTGTTTAATTCTATTTCTCACCCAATACCGGACAAGTCAACATCTTTTTCGGTTTGAATTTTCACCAAGAAGAGCAAAATGGCATCTGTGAAGAAGAAGTTCACCAAACCAGACTAAACTTCTGTAAATGGAGCCTCCATACCATGTGAACACTGTCCACAGAGAGTGGGATCACTTCATGACGAGCATGCTGACATGAACAAGCGATCAAAGTTGTTTTTTTTGTTAGAGAGATAAGCAGCTCCTGACATTGATAATGTAGGAGCCAAGACTAAGTTTTTAGGAGCCAACCTTTTTTTCCAAGGAGCAAGGCTGAGAATCTGAGATAGGACACATATTTCCAGAGGTTTCATTGGAGACAGGACACGTGTCATGGAGGGGCTTCACGGTGTGAAGATGGGTATTCAATCGTAATAGACAGATACTTTAAATAATAATGTAAATATTTCCCTTTGGTACAATATCACTTTTGTTCATGCAAATACAACAGGGTTACAAAATACCCCAGATATCAATGAAACATTGTTTTTAATTATTTATTCAGCATTGGCCAAACACAACTTGGTAAACTAGATTTTCAATTACTATCTGTTTAGATCTTAAACAAATATTGTCGCAATTTATGTTATAGTTACAACACACCAAGACGAGTTGTTTGGGCAGTAAGAGCACGGTTTGGCTTGGCATTTGATTGACAGACAAAAGGACCGAGGGGCGGAGCCAAACCGTGCTCTTACTGCCCAAACAACGAGTAGGTGGGTATTGTAAGTGACTTGTAGCACGGGTTGCGACGGTCATTCCAAAATTGTGCGAGTTTGTGTAAAATATAGTGACTTATAATATGACGTTAAATAAGACGTCATATGCTTTCTGCCTTCGAACCCTTTTTAACTTTTAATCTAATTGTGAAATCAAGTGTAAACTTTGGAATTTTCAAAGGCACATTAGAAATTTATGCGTTCTGTGTCCAGTTGTTTTTATGTTTGACAATTACATAGTAATCTTTTAATAAAGTTATAAACATTTCTATTGTTTTTTGTTGTTTATTTATGTTATTACTCTTGAACACTGTGTACAACACTAAAGAAACATTGTTGTAAGTTTGAAATTTCTCAAGATAGTAGGCGGGGCTTGCTGATCTTGGCACCAGCCAATGGTAATAATCTTTAACAAACCGTGCTCTTACTACCATGATACAGCACAGTAAGATCAAAGGTACCGCTCGCAACCCGTGCTACAAGTTTATTGATAGGTAGCCAAGGGGCGAACAGTAGATAAATTGCATGAACAAGAACACAAATATGCACAGCTTACTGTGAATACTCCAGTAGAGACTGCAATGTGGCTAGACTCTGATCTGGTGACAACGAAGGATAGTTGTGTTATATAAATGTACCATTATTGTCTTTAATGCGAAAAACATAACTTTCTGTAAATCATAACACACATATTTTCCAAATAATTTCATATAAAATACCAACAGAAGTCATTTCAAACAAAATGTTATTTTATTGATCATAGGTTGGATGTATCTTTTCCAGATCAAAAGCAAAAAAATAAATATTCTCCATCCTGTGACATAACCTGACAGGCAGACAAACAAACATAAGTAATCAAGCAATGAACCCACTGGTGTGGAACAACGTCAGCCCACTGCAGTAATCATTCCAACACAATAATGTACCACACACATGGCATAAACACAGATATACCGGTAGTCACGGTCATACATCTGAAGCAAATCTTCACCACTTCTTCTGGACCACTTTTTAAGATGCACAAACTATCAAAAGTCTAAAGATTGTGTTGTAAAATTGCAGGAGTAGCTGGCAATGAATATTAAAGGCACTGTCCACATCAACTGTGTCCCGTGAAGATCTGGGTTAGAATTGGTCTTCAGCAACCAATGCTTTTCGTAAGAGGCGTCTAACAGGATCGGGTGGTCCCAATTGTGTAAATCGATGCTCATTAGGTAAATCACTGGATTGTCTGGTCCAGATTAGATTATTTCACGACCGCAGGCATATAGCTGGAATATTGCTGAGTGTGGCATTAAACAACAAATCACATCAACCGTAAAAAGATTTTGATAGATATGCCATTAACATTTGAGGCTGTAGAAAAGCAAACATAAAGTCTCATGCCTGTAGAAGTAACCATGTCTCAAAACCTGACAATGACATAAACAGGTTTTACAAACCTTTAAAGCTCACCATGACCATCGACCAGAGCTTCAGATAAGCAGCATATTTGCATAAAATACCCCCCCCCCCCCCAAATAAAATATTAAAAACCCAATTACTTTCATTAACTTGTGTACAGAAACCGATGCATTAAATGAAAAACATGATGTATAAAAACAGCATGCGTAAATACTCAATGAAGCTTTTTCAGCATGTGTACAATGGAGCTAATTTCTGAAGCACAATTATGAGCTAAGTTACTTTCCAAGTCAAGCCTTTAGTTAGAACCCTTATATATATCTAAAACATTATTTTATTTATTTTAAAACCCAATAGAGTGATGAATAGATGAGTGAAGAAATAATGAGAAATGTAATACATGTAACCCAATTAAAATAGAAACCTTCAAGTAAAAACTCAACACTGCTCAAAAAGTTATCTGGAGCCCTGATAGACTTATCTTCACCAAAACATTTTCAACACAGGAACCCATTCATGTCTTAATCTAGAGACCTTGACATGCCATGAGCCACAAGTCCCTAACATTGGAACATATTCCCTAAAGTCAATAACATTCGACATGACAGTTGACACGAGATACAACAACCGGGGGGTGGAGGTCAAATTCAGGCTAAACTAATACTAGTCACGTTTCACAGAAAGTGTGTGGTATGAACAAGTGTTGTCAAGTTAGGAGGAAATAAAATCAGACAAAAATATTTTTTTACACCATTTAATATGAAACAAATAATTAGTCTTAACATGAAACTGTGTCCATGACAATGCCATGCCAGGGTTTTCACTCTGTGAACAATAACAAAACAAGCAAAGTATGCGTTCCAAGTGAACTTGATAAAACAAATATGGTTACAAGCAATGCTGACATGAGAAACAGCATTCTGGCATAAGAATGACAACTGGAAAAAATCCCTCTAGTTTGTGCCTGAAATACTGGCCCCAAACTGAGCCCAGCATAATGTCTGTCTTTGAAGGACCAGCAATTCTATCCCACAGGGAGAGACACGGACACTAGGCCATTAGTCCAAGACAAATGAAACTCTAGAGGGACCAGTGGTTTTATCCTAAAATCTAGTTACTCCACGTTACTCATTTGTGCAAAATGATGTGTGGACCAGTTGGATATGAACAATGGTGTCTACCCCTGTTCCACATGTTAAATAGCAAAATCTGCTCAAAAATTCATTCTCAAATAAGTAGGAAAGTTTTATATTCTCTAATTGAGGCATATATATATAACACAACAAAATAACAAAATGTTCTTGTCATGGACAATCCCTGCCTCCAGGCTAGACTGTCGTACATGGACAATCCCTGCCTCCAGGCTAGACTGTCGTACATGGACAATCCCTGCCTCCAGGCTAGACTGTCGTACATGGACAATCCCTGCCTCCGGGCTAGACTGTCGTACATGGACAATCCCTGCCTCCGGGCTAGACTGTCGTACATGGACAATCCCTGCCTCCGGGCTAGACTGTCGTACATGGACAATCCCTGCCTCCGGGCTAGACTGTCGTACATGGACAATCCCTGCCTCCGGGCTAGACTGTCGTACATGGACAATCCCTGCCTCCAGGCTAGACTGTTGTACATGGACATCACTCCTGCACACAATGCTCAGCAGCTTTCATCATGAACTGTTCCCGCCGAAGAATATTCTGGATCTTGTCTTTCTCATCACTGCTCTTACACAGGATGACAAAGTGGCTGTCCTTCTTCCTGGCCCGTCCCCGCATCTGTACAAGCGTGGTGACTGTGTTGGGCGGGTTCATGCAGACCACCAGCTCACACTCGGGGATATCCACGCCTTCCTCTGCTACAGATGTGGCTACGATGATGTTATACTTCTTGCTCTTCACTCCATCAAGCACCTTCTTCTGCTGCTTCACCTTCATGCCACCATCAGCCTGACCAGATCCATGGCCAACCACCGATGTGATCTTCAGACTGTTGGCTGATGCAAATTGTGTCTGCTTCAGGAAATTGCTCAGTCTGTGTGCATGTGCTCGCTCCCGGACGAGAATCAAGGCCATTGCATTTCTGCCAGCTTTCCAGTTGATGTATTTATCATTGGTGAGAGTAGTGAGTAACTGTGTGTACAGAGTGATATGAAGAGGGTTGTCATCAAACTCCTGCTGGACATGAGCTGAGTGAGCAGCTCTTCTCATGGCATCTTGCAGCTCTTCACACTGTATCCCCATCCCCTGAGCGTGCTGGAAGCCACTCTGTGCTGGAGTCTGGTCGAACGTCTTCAGGTCAGCTACAGCTGTGGGTATCCCAACAACATCCAAATCAGACAGCGCAATTAAAAGTATCTTGCAATGATTGACAAGGAAGTCCATATTCATTTTGACTTGTGGTTGCTGGGATTTGGCCTGGCAGTTCCCAAGAGCTCGGACAAACCTTTCAGTAGCAGCATTGTCCAATCGCTCTACCAAGTCTTCCAAGTCTTCTCCCTGCATCCTCTCCACTCCCCACTGACAGTCAGTGTCAATAGTGCACAACTCCGACAGCTTCAAGTAACACTGGTAAATGTACACCAACAGTGTCTTCCGGAAAGCTCTTTCTTCATCCGAAAACGGCTCATAGTTGATCTTCAGCTTAGCACTTGACTGATAGCGCTTCAGTTCTCCCACACAATCTCCCTGGACGATGGCAATGCTGGCTCCCCCAAGGTTATGGAATAACTCGTGCAGCATGCTGACCGTGCTCTCTACACTGTCGCGCCCCGCAGGGGAGGCGGTCAGACCTAGCACTTTGGGTCTGTGTTCTGGCTGGCATGGGCGGTGGTACGCCTCCAGGAGGCGATTGAAGGGGTGATTCTTGGCACAGTGATGAGCTTCATCAAACACAACCAGTGAGAAGTCTTCCCAGCGCAGCTGCTGCTTCAGTAGTAGATTGTCAGCATAGGCTACAACACAGATATACAACAGATAGACTACAACAAGGATATATAACACTGTTAGGTTACAACACAGATATAACACAGTTAGTCTACAACACGTATATATCACAGTCTACAACACAGATATATCACAGTTAGCCTGCAACACAGATATATATCACAGTTAGCCCACAACACAGATATATCAGTTACCCCACAACACAGATATGTCACAGTTACCCTACAACACAGATATATCACAGTTAGCCCACAACACAGATATATCACAGTTAGCCCAGAACACAGATATATCACAGTTAGGCTACAACAAGTATATATAACACTGTTAGGTTACAACACAGATATAACACAGTTAGTCTACAACACGTATATATCACAGTCTACAACACAGATATATCACAGTTAGCCTACAACACAGATATATATCACAGTTAGCCCACAACACAGATATATCACAGTTAGGCTACAACACAGATATATCACAGTTAGGCTACAACACAGATATATATATCACAGATAGCCTACAGCACAGATATATCACAGTTAGCCCACAACACAGATATATCAGTTACCCCACAACACAGATATGTCACAGTTACCCTACAACACAGATATATCACAGTTAGCCCACAACACAGATATATCACAGTTACCCTACAACACAGATATATCACAGTTACCCTACAACACAGATATATCACAGTTAGCCCACAACACAGATACATGTATATCACAGTTAGCCCACAACACAGATATATCACAGTTAGGCTACAACACAGATATATCACAGTTAGGCTACAACACAGATATATCACAGTTAGCCTACAGCACAGATATATCAGTTACCCCACAACACAGATACATGTATATCACAGTTAGCCCACAACACAGATATATCACAGTTACCCTACAACACAGATATATCACAGTTACCCTACAACACAGATATATCACAGTTAGCCCACAACACAGATACATGTATATCACAGTTAGGCTACAACACAGATATATCACAGTTAGGCTACAACACAGATATATCACAGTTAGGCTACAACACAGATATGTCACAGTTACCCTACAACACAGATATATCACAGTTAGCCCACAACACAGATATATCACAGTTACCCTACAACACAGATATATCACAGTTACCCTACAACACAGATATATCACAGTTAGCCCACAACACAGATACATGTATATCACAGTTAGCCCACAACACAGATATATCACAGTTACCCTACAACACAGATATATCACAGTTACCCTACAACACAGATATATCACAGTTAGCCCACAACACAGATACATGTATATCACAGTTAGGCTACAACACAGATATATCACAGTTAGGCTACAACACAGATATATCACAGTTAGGCTACAACACAGATATGTCACAGTTACCCTACAACACAGATATATCACAGTTAGCCCACAACACAGATATATCACAGTTACCCTACAACACAGATATATCACAGTTACCCTACAACACAGATATATCACAGTTAGCCCACAACACAGATACATGTATATCACAGTTAGGCTACAACACAGATATATCACAGTTAGGCTACAACACAGATATATCACAGTTAGGCTACAACACAGATATATCATAGTTAGGCTACAACACAGATATATCACAGTTAGGCTACAACACAGATATATCACAGTTAGGCTACAACAAGGATATATAACACTGTTAGGCTACAACACAGATATATCATAGTTAGGCTACAACACAGATATATCACAGTTAGGCTACAACACAGATATATCACAGTTAGGCTACAACACAGATATATCACAGTTAGGCTACAACACAGATATATCACAGTTAGGCTACAACACAGATATATCACAGTTAGGCTACAACACAGATATATTACAGTTAGGCTACAACACAGATATATCACAGTTAGGCTACAACACAGATATATCACAGTTAGGCTACAACAAGGATATATAACACTGTTAGGCTACAACACAGATATATCATAGTTAGGCTACAACACAGATATATCACAGTTAGGCTACAACACAGATATATCACAGTTAGGCTACAACACAGATATATCATAGTTAGGCTACAACACAGATATATCACAGTTAGGCTACAACACAGATATATCACAGTTAGGCTACAACACAGATATATCATAGTTAGGCTACAACACAGATATATTACAGTTAGGCTACAACACAGATATATCACAGTTAGGCTACAACACAGATATATCACAGTTAGGCTACAACACAGATATATCACAGTTAGGCTACAACACAGATATATCATAGTTAGGCTACAACAAGGATATATAACACTGTTAGGTTACAACACAGATATATATATCACAGATAGCCTACAGCACAGATATATCACAGTTAGCCCACAACACAGATATATCAGTTACCCCACAACACAGATATGTCACAGTTACCCTACAACACAGATATATCACAGTTAGCCCACAACACAGATATATCACAGTTAGCCCACAACACAGATATATCACAGTTAGGCTACAACAAGGATATATAACACTGTTAGGTTACAACACAGATATAACACAGTTAGTCTACAACACGTATATATCACAGTCTACAACACAGATATATCACAGTTAGCCTACAACACAGATATATATCACAGTTAGCCCACAACACAGATATATCAGTTACCCCAAAACACAGATATGTCACAGTTACCCTACAACACAGATATATCACAGTTAGGCTACAACACAGATATATTACAGTTAGGCTACAACACAGATATATCACAGTTAGGCTACAACACAGATATATCACAGTTAGGCTACAACACAGATATATCACAGTTAGGCTACAACACAGATATATCATAGTTAGGCTACAACACAGATATATTACAGTTAGGCTACAACACAGATATATCACAGTTAGGCTACAACACAGATATATCACAGTTAGGCTACAACACAGATATATCACAGTTAGGCTACAACACAGATATATCATAGTTAGGCTACAACACAGATATATCACAGTTAGGCTACAACACAGATATATCACAGTTAGCCTACAACACAGATATATCACAGTTAGGCTACAACACAGATATATCACAGATAGCCTACAGCACAGATATATCACAGTTAGCATAGGTTGATAAGTGTGAAGAAATAGGGGTTTTTAAAAGTTCAAAATTAACAATAGTCGACTAGTAAGTAGAAGGAGACTAGTCAAACTACAAAATAATTTCTAACACTCCATACATCAAAGAGTTATAGTAAAGTGTTTCCACTTAACAAGTGTGCAGCATGTACCTGCCGTGCTGACGATGACGTCATGCTTGTAGAGGGGCGTGGTGTCTGGAGGCAGTATGTTCCCACACAGTGTGGCTATCTTCAGCTCACGCTCCTGCTCCTCCCCATCACTTGTCATGCTGGAAGTAACATGGTATTCTACCATGAATTTGGGAAATACTCAATTCTGATTGGTCAATCAGAGGTATCAAATGACAATTACCACCTCTGATTGAAACGGCTGATTTTATCGACCACAAATAGTTAAGTACTTCTTTCTCAGTCAATGTCAGCAGGGATTTAAAATAATTATTTGTACAACTATAGCTTATAAAATGCAGGGGCCGTCGGGTAGCCTTGTGGTTAAAGCATTCGCTCGTCACGCCGAAGACCCGGGTTCGATAACCGACATGGGTACAATGTGTGAAGCACATTTCTGGTGTGCCTTGCCGTGATATTGCTCGAATATTGCTAAAAGCAGCGTAAAACCATACTCACTCACTCACTTATAAAATGCAGATTTGTGGTAACCACAACATTCAAAGTATGTGTAGCAATACATTTTGTGCAGAAAACTCGATAGAAATTGAGAGAGTATCGTTCAGCTTGAAATTTGAGCTTTTCTATAGCTGACTGTGACATATTTTCTGCATCACAATGAGTGTGACGTCGTAATAGCGACATGGACTGTAGAACAAAACCTTGCAAGACTTGAGTACTCTTCTTTAAAGGTGCCCACTTCATGCTAACTTATGTAATAACTGTGCTACACCCTTTTGATGCCTTTCGTATATGCAAATCCTTTTTGGTAAAATAATAATGTTGAAGAACATTAAGTACTAATATTTGTTTAAAGCAGGGTTAGAACTTAACACTAGCCTGCTAGCCTGGGGCTAGTACAAAGTGCTGTGGGCCAGAACAAATTTCCAAATTTCCACCTCGTTTTACCCTTACAAGGGCATATTATCCTTACCTGGGCTAGTAATGCTTTGGAGTTCGGTTCTAACCCTGTAAAGCTGGTATCTGTTACCTCAAACATCAAATATTTTCTTTTCTGTAGTTACATTTTTTTACATCAAGTTGAAAAGTTGGCATTTGTTATTAAAAGTTTTGTGGTAAAGAGAAACAAGTCTATACCTTTTATGTAGCCATAGCAACCAGCAAACTAACAACTCTCAGTAGGAAAAGCATTTCAGTTTAGTTAACTGTCTGTGTTTTAGAGTCTACTGTCCCAAACTTTTCTGTCAACATCATTTTCAGTACATTGTAATGTTAAAATAGCTAAGCTAAAGATGTTTTACTGAACTCAGGCATTTGACGAGTGGCTAACGCACAGGCGGATTTATGCTAACAAATTCTATTGCATTGACATGCTGGTACATGTGTACTTTCTAACCCTTAACATGACTTCAGCACTTCAAGCAGGTCTGTATTCTGTTTCTGGAGATGTAAACAAAATCGGTAACAGAATTCTTGTGTGGCAATACTGGATTTTCTCCTCAGTTCACTGATCATGTGACAATGGGCATGCAAAAGAACAAAAAAGCTACTGTAAAGCATCATTGTCAAGTATATCATGTTGACTTCTTGATAAGTATGCGAAGTCAACGTCCTCCGTGGGCCAGCAGGTTACTGACACAATGGGACTCAAGCAGGGTGCAGACAAACTGCACTATCTCCAGCGCATCTTCCTTCTACTACAGAATGGAGGCCATTTTGTAAGGATAGCATATCCTGTGTCACATGATAGCAACAGGTACAATAGCGGGAGATTTCACTGACCGGAATATGGATGATAACCGATAATACATCAATGTCTGAAGTACCTTTACAATGTATACATTAACTCTGTTGGGCGTAATTCTGCATTTCTATATTTCAAAGTGCATTATTTCAAGTGGGAAGAAAGCTCCATATGAAGCAGGTAGTAGACGTTTACCCTCAAGCTTTGGTTACACACCAAAGACATTAATTAGGACAAATTATTGACAACAGCCAACAAATAGCTGGTCCTTGTATGGCTAGGGGACACAACTATTGAGGGTATCTTACGGCATCAACATTCTGGCAAAATATCATATAAGAAGATATAAGTGTCAGTGCATACTGTGACTTTTGTACACAGAAATATACAGAGACTACTTACCGCTTGTACTTCCGATTCCCAAGTTCATTGGTGATATACTTTGACTGCTGCAGCACCAACAACACCTTGTCCACCAGGAACAAAACTGGGCGCCGTGGGTTCCGTTGCAGCATACAGCTCAGCGTCATCACCGACACCAGCGTCTTCCCAGTCCCTGCAGCAGCAAACATGTCATGTTGCATCGTGACATCCGAGAGTATCCAATATCTTATAGCACGATTAATACTAAAACTAAAGAATGACAGTCTTCTCCTGATTGAAACAATCGTCGATATCACCAATAAATTCCCTCCCCATGTCTGTTAATGATCAGGCAAACATCTTTCAAGAAGGCTTGGCGGCACACAACGGCCGGGAGATATAACACACTGGACAGCTGATTAGGCCAGCATGGTAGTGCAGGTCTATCTTTAACATGTTTAAATTAGCATAGTCAAATATTTGTTTCCAATGCATTTGATACAGATACTGGAAAATGGGAATTAAACAGTTTTGCAGTATGAGATTTAAAGAAAACAGCAGTGTTAGAAACTTACATTTTTAGTCCACTAGTCCTTATAATGATAACATATAGCAAAACCCTTTAAAATGGCAAATTTCTATTTATCCTTATGATGCCTTAATTATTGGGCAGTATGGGCAGTATGGCAAGGAGTACAGGACTAATAGTACCAATTTCTAATGCTGAAGCGTTGAACGAGAAAACCACTGACTCACCTGTTGGCAAGAAGATGACCTTGTCGCCTTCCATGGTTTTGCAGAACAGATCCACCTGGTAGCTGCGAGGCATGGTGTTGGTCACATGATAGGCTGCTTCCTCCGCATCATCGATACTGAGCACCCTCTGTATCTGTCCCAGGTTCACCCGGGGAGCCTCCACTTCCGCTGCCCGCTGTCGATGAGCTCGACTCTCCAGGTGAGCCTGGTAGTCTTTATCTGTGTTCATCGGCCGATTACAGATGTCACAGTAAAATTTGTAATATCCACTAAAAGGGTTCTTTGGTGGCACCTTTGGTATTGCACCTATACCAACATGGCCACTGAGCAGCTCAAAATTAGAGGATGGACAGATACTTGACTCAGCATCTGTCAGGAGAGACATGTTTCTATCTTGTCTTGGAGCTATGGAATGGTTGTGATCAGTGGTACTGGAGCCCATAGAAACATGTGGTCCATCATTGAGAATACTGCTAGCATTTGTGTTGTAACTGATTAAACTGTCAGCCTCACCACCAGGCAGGTCATCATCCAATGGCAATGTCTTACTTCGAGTAGATTCTTCTTCATCTGAATCCAGGTTTTCAAACACATCAAGAGGAACTTTATTTCCTCTGTTTCGGACAGTGGTCTGGTTTTTTAGCGGGTTGTGAGTGTTGGGTCGCCTACTTCCACCTGATCCCTTGACATTATCTTGGAAGTCATCAGTGTCTCCAACGTCGGTACATGTCGGTTGAGTGATCGCTGCTGTTCTCATCCTCAGAGGCATCGCATCTGTTGTGGTAATGGTTGGGTTGACAATGGTGGATCCCCTGCCCATGCCTAGTTTAGCTAATGTAGTGCTTTTGGGGATAACATTTCTTAAAGGAGTTATTTCTGTGTTAATTCTGTTGTCCTTGGAATACGTTTCCTCGGCTGCAGCCGACATTCCTGGGCTTCGTTCTCGCTCCGTGCTAAGTGTTTTGCTGGCACTATTTGTACTTGATAACTTTCTCACACCCAAACCAGCTTCACTCACTCTTGTAGACTGTCTCCCATCAGTATTAAGATGTTCCCAGGGTCCGACTAGATCGGAACTGACATTTGATGCTGTAGTGATAGGAACTCTCCTGGAAACTGAAGAGATTATTTCCTTCACTTCAGTATTTGGAGTTACGCCTTGGACTGCAGTGACTTCTCCTGTACGAAGAGCTTCCCAGACATCCTTGTAGCTCCCCTGCTTGGATTCTGTCTTTTCCTGACTATCTTCAACACTAGACTCTCTGCTATTTTCATCACCATAAGCCGATAGAGCCACAGCGACATATCGCTGCTTCTTTTCCACAGTCTGTAGATGCTTGGGACTTTTCTTATGGATTGACAACTGTTCAAATGAGTTCACTTGGCACTGGCATACCTCACACACATAGATGTTTTGTGGGGAATGGCCTACCGAGTTCTGTCTGCCTGGTGAGTACAGGCCCCCAGCTTCTATCCCGACCTGATCCAAGGAACCCTTGGTCAGCCCTGCCTTGCTTATATGTTTGGCAGAGGCATAATGCTGCGCAGCACTTTCTTGTCCACTGAATGACTTGAGACACACCTTACACTGGAGTGACAGTATTCCATTCTGGTTGATCATCTTCCTCTTTTCCTCAGCCCTGGCGTGACTCCGACCCTGAAGGTGCTGGGTGGCGTGCTGTGGAGATGTGAGCTCTATGTTACAAACAAAGCATCGCCCTCTTCCACCAGTAAACACATACGCTGGCTCCTCCATCGCATCACCAGGCTGGGACACTCCAGAAGAAGGGTCTCTATGTGCATCAACTGCATCAACCAAATTCAATCTCTGTACAGCCTTTTCATGTGGTTTCCCGGCTAAGTGTTGACTAGCATGTGCCTTAGAGGTAAGTTCAATGTTACACACATTGCAGAAGCCTCTCATTCCATTGAACTCGTAAAGCCTTCGTTCTGCAGACTCCTTTGATTCCTCATGTCTGTTTGTTGCTTGCCATCGTGCTAAAGCATTTGTGTGATTCTTACCGTTGAGATGCTGTTGTGCATGTTGAGAAGACGTTAGTTCGATGCTGCAGACGTTACACCATCCTCTGTTGCCATCAAACCGATATGGTGGATGAGGACTGGTAGATGGTTTGACACCAGCTGTTCTCTCACTGACATCAGGACCATTGTTGACCAAAACATCACCAGTACCTGCTGAATGCAAGCCTTTAGCTTTTGCATGCTTCTTACCACTGAGGTGTTGGTTCGCATGTTCACGAGACGTCAGTTCAATTTTGCAGATGTTACATCGTCCAGTGCTCTCATAAAAAATATATTCCTGTTCTTCTGTTACGTTTTCTTGAGACAAAGGAGTTCTTTGCATTTGTGTATTCTCTGATGAATTGTTAGAATTATTACGATCAGTAATGTCGGGGACATGTTGATTGACCATGTTTAGATTTTGTAGACATGAATAGCTACCCAGAATTGGAACATCTGTCAAAGTTCCTCCATGAACAGATAAACACAGACTACCTTCATTCTGATTACTTACAGTCTGTGGCAAATAGCCTGTTGGCCCAGCTGAATATGTCAGTTTGTTTTCGGTGGGAAGCATAATTTGAGCTAAACTTGGAGCTTTTGGAAACTGACTCACTTTGGGTTCTGTCAAAGAATTAGACTCCAGCTGGATGTTCATTGGCAGGCAGGTCTGAACGGTAGCACCTGGAGCTGCAAGTGGGTTATTTACCAAGGTCATTTTCTGGGAAAGCTGCGGTTTCTCCTGCTCCTGAAGTGTGAAATTTGTTGTGGGCAGCTGTGACCTCTTCTTGTGTCTATCACTGTCAAAGTGTTGTTGGGCACTCTCAGGGCCGGAGAATACAACATTACACAAGTCACATTTGAGCACCTCACTGGCAGATTGTCCAAATTTCCATTGCTTCTCTGCTTTCTTATGTCGGGATCCATCAAGATGTTGCTGGGCATTTTGAGGAGATGTAAAATCCACATGACAGACATTGCAGTAACCCTCCTTTCCACTGAAAGTATAAGGAACATTGTATTCATTACCATCACCAGAACTAGTTTTCACAGTATCAGATACTAACATGTTTCCAACTAGAGTAGAACTAGTTGTCAGTAATGGTGCCATTGTTTGACTTGGTCTAGTTTCAGGCATAGAACTACTGTTGCTGTAAACTGGGACATCAGCAAACAGTCCAGTACCTGTCTCTGAGGGGGGTATTCCCAACCTTGTAGGGGCGTTACTTGGCTGTGAGATGTTTGAAACACCATACAGGGGAGAGCTACTGTTGAAAACATTGTCCTGTCCCTCCATCTCTCTCTTCTTCTTCAAGTGCTTTGCACTTGCAAGATGTTCCTGAGCATTGCCAAGACTGGTAAATGGTACATTGCAAATCTGACACTTCAACACATTGGTGTTGTCCTCTCCAGCCTCCATCTGTTTTTGTTTCTTCTGATGTTTGGATCCACTGAGATGTTGCCGGGCATGTTGTGGAGAGGTCAAGTCAATGTCACAGAGATGGCAATAACCTCTAGAACCATTAAAGTCATATTCCTTTCTCGCGGTTTCACTGGACATCTTGAAAGGTACTGTCTGGTTAAGCCCCTGTGTGGGACTGCTACCAACATGCTGTACCCTCCCAGAAAGGAGAAGGTTTTGAACTGGTGTTGCAGCTTGGTATGCGAAACCTAAACTTCTTCTTACAGTCTCTGTGTGTCTAGGGCTGACAATGTGTTGTTGAAACTGTTCAGCTGTGTTACATTGGACATTGCATGGCTCACACCAGTATGGTCTTGTGTTTCCCTGAAACACGGAATTTTTAATCTGGTCTTCTTTTTTCCTGTGCGCTTCACTGATGAAATGCTGCTGAGCTGGTAAAGCACCACTAAATTGCTTTGAACAAATAACACAGTAAAGTGGAACAACTTGTTGGCTGCTCATCTCTGCTCAACAGATAGCTAAATCATCTAGAAAAGATATTCAGTTTAGTACAATTCCTGTTGAAAGTGATTATCCTTTGGGTGTATAGTCCAAAAGCAATATGTTGCACACAGTTGTTCGTTGCGTCGTTAATCACGCCACGATTTCCAGGAAATCACATTTCTAATTTTAGCATCACCGGGAATACCAACTTACTTTCTTTCGACGTTCGTGTGAGACAATATTCAAAGGGGGTATTTTTGTCAGGTGATGATAGTCAATGCGTGACATGTGTACAAGGCCTATTCCTGGCAACACGGACAAAACGATGTGAAACTTGAATAGGGGATTCCCCTAGCATGACGTCATATCGCGGTAAATCACAAACTGATCACGTGGCCGCATCAGAAGAGAGGCACAGGCCAAACCTTCCTCGGGTCTTGCCTCGTCAGTTTTTTTACGTAACTTCGTCATAAGGATTGAGAAACATGCACGGCATATACAGATAATTCATTGCATAATACCTATCACTATTTTCATTGCTGTCCTCAGTGCAATCAACAAAGGTCGAACTGGACCGAAACTCGGCTCTTGAACAATGAAACACTGCTGATGAAAATTTGTGCTATGATATGACTATATCTGCGTAAGGATGATCTGCGTCAATTTATCACACGATGTTTGTTTCCAAAATAGTTTTAAAATACTTACAGAAATGGTTACCTCCCTTATGAAAAATATTTGGACTGGGTTCCTGTCTACGTAAACCAGTATAAATCGCGCTAAACTTGCGTCGCGTACCAACAAGGGAACCAGTTTAGAAAAAATATGTTAACAAGGGCTTTGGTTTCGAATATTCTGAATGATTCAATCATGATTACAATTTGTGAAGCTATCAATGTATAGATAGGGGTTTTCATAGTATTGATACCAATACCAGCCTGGGTTTTTGTTTCATAAACTGGTAAAAATCAGCAGGGTTTGATCATTTTGTATAAATGCGAAAGTTTCGCAAAATCGCTTTACGTCTGTTATTTTAGCAACCAAAAACATGGCCGCCAGTGAAAAGGTAAGAGCGGAGCATATGTGTGAAATGCAGATATTTTGCTGGAGACACACGATATTTTGACATTTTCATTTATGTCAGCAACTTTTGGACCCAACATTTTATAAGAAATTCCTCTTTATCATAGTAATATCATTGGGACAGTTTAGATGGCAGTACATCATTAGGCCTAATATCCATAAACAAAATATTGAAATGAATGAAAAGGTAAGCTTGGTGATAGCATAGTTTATCAAACAAATGTGTATTTACCGTTCTGTCATTCTGTAGACCTGTTGGCTATTAGTCTTGATCATCCGAACCTAATGGCTCTAGCATTCATTACATCTTGTTTATTGATTGTTGATTGTGCATGTAGAATATATGTTGCTGACTAGATGATCCACTTTTTTCAACAGGTTTTGAAACAGCTCTTAAGCAATAGAAGGATCAGAAAAGATAAAGATGTAGAAGAGCTCTACCTTTCTGACAAGTGAGATTAATTATTTTCAAAGATGCAGAATGGGATTTGCACTGAGAATGTATTTTGTATATGACCCTGTTTTTTTCTTTACTTTGTCTGCCCCTGCCCTTTATAATTACCCTTAGTATCTATTATCCAACATAAGAATTAAAAGAGTCTTAAATACCCTTATGCCTCCATTTCACTTCGACCACGAATATCCCAAAACAACCTGAACAGGAAAAGTTTTATGTTCGTAGATAAACCTCAATCATTTCTTGAAGTTCTTAAATGAATCTTATTTTTTTCCCAAACATTTGTACAGTTTGCGGGAGTTTGTCGAATCGGGTCCCCAAATTGCAATTTCGTGGCTGTATCGTAATCCATTCGTAATTAATTCTTATGTTCCGTAACAGCTTTGTAATTGATTCTTTTGCATTCTTGGCTATTCTTAGCTATTCATGGCTCCCAAAATGTCTTGTCCTCAAACCGAAAACATCCCGAAACAGCCATGAATGTCCCGAGTCAACTACAAATCATGCAAGAATTAAGTAAGAACAACATTCGGCATATTTGTAACTTAGTCGTAGGTGATTCTTACAATTCGTGCATGATCCGTACATGAATCTTGTAATTCATACATGTTTCTTAACCCATTCCTGGCATTCTTCATATTTTTCAACCCGATTAGCCAGAAAGTTTGCATTATTAGCCAATTCATCACGAATTTCAAAAGTTTCCGATTCAGGGTTATTCGGGATATTCGTGGTCATAGTGAAAGGGGGGAATGACCCAATATACAACTCGGCTTATGCATCACTGTATTATACTGTCTGCAACCTAGCATGTTTGTGCATGGCTGATAAATAACAGTGTCAAAATATGAATAATAATGTAATTAAATTAAACAAAGTTACCTGGTAAGACTTCCACGCGTATCCCCCCCCTAAAAAATATATATGATTAAAAGGAATTAGTGGCAATGCATACATATATTACTTTTGGAGGGGGATACAGGCTTAAGTCTTTACAAAACTATATCTTTATTTATGAATATGAAAGTAATTTCAATCTGAAATATTTATATATTGTGTTGCAAATCTCTGCCTCTCTGGCCTGATGGACCTGCATAGTGGCAACTTAATCTGTGAGGACATCCTTAAACATGATTAAACTGATCTTCCATTTGTGCAATTGGCAAAACAAACTTGTAAGAAGGGACTCAGATGACATTGGACTGTCTCTGTGGTCTAGTGTAGAGCGTCCTTTAGTCCATACATGATATTGTTTTATGGTGTAAGATACCAAGTGATTTCCTGCATGTTAACGATGATCTTATCCAAGGAACTGTGTATATACCACCAGAGCAAAGTAGATTTCATTCACCGGAAATTTTTACAACACTAGAAAATTATATCATTCGTATGTCAAACTGCTAACAGTACATGTGTATTGTTGGTGATATGAATTGTCATACTAAAAATCTACCGGATTTTATCATTTTGGACGAATATTTATGTGACAATGATATTATTGACGAGGAATTATTGTTTTCAAATGTACAACTTCTAGTGTAAAGTTATATAGAATATCAATGTATACTGAAACAAACTGTAACGGGTATAAACTCCTGGATTTATGTAAAAATAACGGATTGTATATTGTAAATGGGAAATTAGGCAAAGACAAGGGTATTGGTAAACTGACATGCAGAAATGCCAGTGTTGTCGATTATTGTATTGTATCAGCAGAAACATTCCCATTATTAATAGATTTTGAGGTGCAGGAGTTTGACCCGATCTCGTCCGATGTACACTGTGGCTTATCGTTAACGTTAGATTGTACAGCATAACAACTGTCTCCAGTTGTAGATGATGACAAAGATGTACTTGTACATAAAGTTGTAAAAAGATGGGTTCCTGATAAAAGTGAAACATTTTTATGTAATATCGATAAGGTTGCCATTACCCATCAGTTTACAGAATTAGATGCATGTAAAGACCAAATAGAGCCAGATGACATTAACCAAATTGTAAATAAACTCTCTCAGACGCTGGTTACTGCGGCTGAAAAAACTCTAGGTACTGTAAAAAATTCTAGACACTCTGTACATAAGCACAAGCATAAACCCTGGTTTGATGAAAAATGTAAATCATCACGTAGATTTTACCACAAGCGTAAACGTATATAAGGAAGGACTAAAGACAGTAATATCAAAGCTATGTACATTTCAGCAAGTAAGAATATTTGGGAAATTTTAAAATCATTTGAACCAAAGAAAACAGCAGAAAAAATCAGTATGGACAAATTTTTAGAATTTTTTAAAGATCTTAATCAAAGTTCTGATGATAATGACAATGTTTTTGCCAATAACATAAACAAGTATTTGTCACAAAGTGACGAAATGTCCCCCGCCTGTATATACACCATAGTACCAAATATGAAGACAATCCAGCGATTAGTTCTTGAGATATTGCGGCAACACCGTTTTCCAACTCCAAAAACAGATTTGCCTGCTGTGACCTTGAAAATGGGGTCAAGGTCACCAAAACCGACTGGTGTATGCGATGTCTGTATATACACCATAGTTCCAAATATGAAGACAATCCAGTGTTTAGTTCTTGAGATATCGCGGCAACAACGTTTTCCAACTCCAAAAGCAGATTTGCCTGCTGTGACCTTGAAAATGGGGTCAAGGTCACCAAAACCGACTGGTGTCTGCGGAGTCTGTATATACACCATAGTTCCAAATATGAAGACAATCCAGTGTTTAGTTCTTGAGATATCGCGGCAACATCGTTTTACAACTCCAAAAGCAGATTTGCCTGCTGTGACCTTGAAAATGGGGTCAAGGTCACCAAAACCGACTGGTGTCTGCGGAATTTGTATATACACCATAGTTCCAAATATGAAGACAATCCAGTGTTTAGTTCTTGAGATATCGCGGCAACAAACAGGTGGGACGTACGGACGTATGGACGTACGTACGGATGGTCGTGAATACTATATCCCCGCTTCGCGCTTTCGCGCGGCGGGGGACAATTATGATAATCATGATGATATTTTAGATTGTAGGATTACAGAAGAAGAAATTATGTCAGCGGTCCGTGCATTGAAGAACAATAAGGCTTGTGGGTTGGATGGTATTTACGATGAGCATTAAAAGCTCAATTCATGTCATGCCGGTTTACGTAAGGCTTTTTAACCTCGTTTTGACAAAGGAGTTTAACCTGAAGCTTGGCTTGTTGGCAAAATAAAACCAATCTACAAAAACAAAGGAAACCAAGCTGACCCAGACAATTACAGAGGCATTCTATCCTAAGCTGTTTAGGTAAATTGTTCACTACACTATTGAATAATCGTTTACAAGCTTACTCAGTTCAGACTAATCTAATAAGCGAAGCGCAAGCAGGAGTAAGCTTTCGATACAGTATGGAGGTGTGGTCTGTGGACAAAAATGATAAAGTCTAATATCAAAGCAAAATGTTTTAATGTCATATATAATATGTATCAAAATATCAAATCTTGTGTTTCACATAATAACAAGGTGTCAGGTTTCTTCCCATGTCAAATTGGTGTAAGACAAGGTGAAAATTTGTCACCTTTCCTGTTTGCTTTGTACCTTAATGACCTTGAACAATGATTTTGAAGGACTGCATAATGTAATAACCTTTTAATAGATTCACTTGAACTGTACATAAAACTTTTTCTCCTTTTGTATGCCGATGATACTGTTTTAATGGCCGAAAGCCCAGAAGATTTAAGAAAGTGTCTCACTATATTTGAAGAATATTGCACTATCTGGAAACTTAAAGTCAATCTTGACAAAACGAAAGTTGTTATTTTTGCCAAGCGCTCCACAAATAGAGTCTTCAATTTTATGTTAAATGCCTCGATTCTTCATGTTGTTAAAGAATATGTTTACCTTGGTATTTTATTTACAAACACTGGTAGATTTTGTAAGGCCCTAAAAAGACTGACAGATCAAGCATCTAGAGCAATGTACGCTGTATTTCATAAAATTAGAATATTAGAAATTCCTATTGACTCTCAATTGAAATTATTTGATCAACTTGTTCAGCCAGTATTGTTATATGGATCCGAGGTGTGGGGTTTTGAAAATGCTGTTGTCATTGAACGTGTACATCTTAAATTTTGTAAATATATTCTCAAGTTAAAACAGTCAACACCCGATTACATGGTATATGGTGAACTAGGGAGGTATCCTCTCAGCATTTTCATCAAGATAAGAATGATTTAATATTGGTGCAAGCTAACATCATCACAAACTAGCCTTTCTAGTATAGTATATAAACTTATGTTTCAAATGTCCATTGCAAATCCAGATTACCATTTCCCACTATTAAAAGAAGTAAAATGCATTCTTCAAAATATAGGCTTTAATTACATTTGGTTGTCTCAAACCTTTATTAGTGCCGCATGGTTGAAACAAAATGTGAAATGTGATAATTTTCTGCAAAGATGGCGAGAATCAAAGGAAAATTAATCTAAAGGTTACTATTAAAACATGTTTAAGGAGTTACCATCCCTAGAACCTTATTTACTAGAACTACCAATCACCTTACGCATCTCTTGCTCGTTTTAGAACAGCAAATCATAGATTACCCATTGAAACAGGAAGATGGTATAATATTGTAAGAGAGGAAAGAAAATGTACATTGTGTAAAAATTTGATATGTGATGAAATGCACTTTTTATTAGAATGTCCAAAACTCTCAGAAATTAGAAACAAGTTTTTGCTTCAATACTACTGTATGTATCCTTCTGCCTTCTGCGGATATTGACTTGGTGCTTACTACAAATAACTAAATATTTGAAAGTTTTCTCAAGTTTTAGTTACATACCTCTATGATAATGAAGGATAAAATTTTGAACTTATTATCAATGACAATGTAGTTGTTTTGTTTTATTTGCAAACATCAGTTAGCGCTTGTCTGCAGATTTTGTTTGTTTGTTAAACGCCGCACTCAGCAATATTCCAGCAATATGACTGCAGTCTGTAAATAATCAAGCCTGGACCCGACAATCCAGTGACTGACATGAGCATCGATCCATGCAATTGGGATACAATGATATGCATCAACCAAGTCCGCGAGCCTGACCAACCAATCCCATTAGTCGCCTCTTACGACAAGTATAGCCGCCTTTTATGGTAAGCAAGGGTTTCTGAAGACCTATTCTATCCCGGATCTTCACATCTGCAGAAATTATGACATGTAAACATGAGCAGATATAGGGTCCTTGCAGACTTTGCTGACGCAGCTGTAACACAAATAATTGATCAGTTGCAAGGTATATATAACTTACTATATAGTACATAAAGATAGGAACGTCATTATCTAATAAAAAACATACATTAATGTTTTTGCAAGGAATTTATCTTCCAATACTGAACAAGAAATGAATATACTCAAACCTCAGGTGTTTTCTCCTTTAATTGTGCTAATGGTAACATCTTTGTTACAAATGTCATCTTTATGACGAACTTATATGATTCCATAAAATTGAGTGGACCTTTCATGATATTCAATGGTATCATTGGCATGCATTAGTACTGACTGATAAGCAGCCATATACATCATATGGCAAGGTAATGCAGGGATTTACATTTGTCGTATAATGATATGGCGATACAGTATTACATCGCGATATGGGGCAAAATACATTAATTTTCTACCCCTTTGTCGTGATACATACAATACATGTCATTACAAGTTATATACTGGTTTAAAAACATGTTAGTAATAACAGAAACTGTTCAACCACCAGCTCATGCAGATTCGCCAGTATTTCATGGTTTCCACAGAAATAGCATAACATTCACTGTGAGCTCTAGCCAATATGTTTCTGCCCTGCAATATCCCATCTTTGATCACTGAAATGTTATAACAATTGATTCAGGGTTGGAAGAATATCAACTTGGGAAATATAAGTACTGTATTGGGATATGAATCATATCACACCCATAGTATCCGGATATGTATCATGTCGCTACCCCATCATATCATTACACCTTTAATTTACATAGGGCGATCTACGTAATACGTATAGCACTGCACATGACATGAAGCCATAATCTAATCATAGCTTTTCTGGTTTGAAACCATACTTTCTGATTTAGGTGGAAAATCAGCGATGGACTGACTTAACTTTGATTATTTCTGAACAGAATAAAAACATTTTCATTTATATGACCTGATGTTTTGTATCTGGTAAAACCCTGTAGAGATTTGAGAATGAGTTCCCTTTGATCAGGTTATGGACTGTTTCTGTTTCATAAAGATACTGTATGTGTATCTCAGATTGCAATTGTGATGATGTTTGTTTCAGAAGTCTCACAGAAGTATGTGATCTGCAGCGTTTCCGTTATTTAAGATGCTTATGGCTGAATGGTAATAAGGTAAGCCATGGCGGCTGGTTGTTGAGATCCAGTTATAAAACTCAAACATACACAGAGAAGGGGTGAAATTTTGACTCGACAGGCGGGCCATCTACTTTACATTTCAGCAAGCCCTTTGTAATTTTAACTGACTTGGTTAACTTGGTTGATGCATTTCATTGTATCCCATTTGTGTAGATCGATGCTCGTGATCGATGCTCGTGTTGGATTGTCTGGTCTGGGTCTTTAAAGTACTATTGTGACATCATTATTGCTGCATGTTAAAAATTGAAGGAAATGTCTAAATGAGAAAGTGTGTGTCTTTTTGTTAAATTAATAGCACTTTATATGGAAATTATGTTTCTTAAAGAGTAAGACTTTATACCTATGTGAAAAACACATTGAAATTAGATACTGTTAATGATACTTGTTTGCACAAATGTGGACACGGTGTGGGATTTCCTTATGTACCTCTAGTCCACCATAGTGAACTGTTGATTTGTGTGCATTCTAAACGAGCAGAAAGCACCCTGACCCAATTTCTTGTATTTCATTTGAATAGTTAGATTAAATTATTTTCTAAAATATTTATTTATGTATGTACGTTATGTCATCAATTATGATTTCTGAAGATTCCTTTTACAGCTACGGCAGCTAAATTGTTTGAGTGAGAACTACCAGCTGTCAGAGCTGTACCTTCACAACAATGAGCTGGTTGATATCACCGGGGCTCTCCATCACTTGACGTGTCTGCAAGTCCTTATGCTGCACAACAACCAGCTCACAAAGCTTGACCGGATCCTCACCGAGATTAAGAAGATGCAGAGCTTGAAGACACTTAGTGAGTGCTAAAGCTGACTTAACCTGGGCATTAATCATTTATGTCACAGTACAATAGTATCCCGATATTATACTCCAACACTCGCTTCATGCAATAGTGCCGCTTGACCCTCATGTACCTCAAGACGTGGGTTTGTGGGCTTTTAGTGGAAAGTGAAAAGCACTGTTCCCTATATATACGCACATAGATATTCTATTCAGTGAGTATTTGGCTCTCAGATAAAGGACTTGTGACATTACTTCATGAGGATTAAAAGGAACGGTTGCGAGAACAACAGGTCTTGGCTTCTTCCCCCATTTTCCCGAGGCAAGTCCAGTTTCCACTCTTGCTGAACTAGGATGGAATTATGGAGTTATGTTTTGGCTGGACTAACAAGTCTATGCGTAGTTCAGTCAAAATCACACATCGAAATCGACATCCAGTTTATGAAAAACATGACGACTGCTGTGCAGATTTCAGTCGATTGCAGGGTATTAAGAGCATGTGTACCGTCAACTGGGCGTCACCTGATATTTTCCAAATCTTTTCATGTTTTTAATCAAGGTCCTCAAGTGGTTTGATGCACTTCGCGAGGTAAACCTGGTTACCTTGATTATCAATCACTTTGTCTTGACTGGATGCTGCCATTTTGTTATAAGAACATGTAAGTGATAGGAGAGGTGGAATCTGATCGGTCAATAGCAGGGACATGGAAGGGACATAACTTATAATAGCCACAGGTGGCGCTTCCATCAGACCTCAAAATTCCAGCCTAGTTTGGCAGTGTGGAAACTGGACTTGTACTGTCAGTTAACTCCCTTGCCTCAGGAAGATGGGCTTCACCTCAGCATTTATTCTCACAACTGTCCCTTTATATCCTGATAAAGTCCTGACACTCATCCTCATATATAGTAAAGTTGTTTTATCAAACACTATTGTTTTATACAGTGTTATCTTTACTATGTATATAACACTTTATGTTTGTAATGTCTTTTTATATCACAACACTCTTTCACTTTCTTTTCATTTGTTCTTCAGACTTATTCAACAATCCAGTGGCTCAAGAAAGTGGTTACAGGCTCTTTGTGGTGCAGTCTGTTCCATCTGTGGATCTCTTGGATAGAAAAGGTAATGAGTGTGACAACATGCTGCATTTGTTGCCATTAACATAAACTGGCCACACAATGAGACTACCATGAGACTACCACCAGGTTCATAGAGGTTATCACGCGAGTGTGTTTGGGGATGGTAAATATCCTGCATTAGGAATAAACATTGTATTTAGCGAGCCTTGGCGAGCTAAATACATAGTGTTTATTCCTAATACAGGATATTTCCCATCCCCAAACACACAAGCCTGATAACCTCTTTATCATATAATGTCATTCTTTAATTCTGTGCTTTAAAATCGCTTTCCCTCTCTCACAAACATTACCGAAACATTGTGACTTTTCCTGGAATGCGTGCATTAATATTTATTACGTCACAGGGTAGGTGATGTGTCAGTCGGACAGTGACAGTAGCCGATATAGTTCCAACTGAAATCTGTTTTTTATACAGTGGCGAAGCAACATATACGCAAAACAACAGTTGTTTTTAATTGCCTTTCGCGGCATTCCATCGTTCTGTCCGCTATAGTAACTGCCCTTTGTCAAAGGGAAGCTACTCTTACCCTAGTCTATGAGACGTCACGGCCAGACGTTGTTGACAGTCGGTCTGTCCTGTTATAACGTTAAGAAGTGTAGTCAGATGTACACACAGCGTCAAATCGAAACAAGGTAACAATTCAGACTTATTTCGGCCAAATCCAACTATTTTAATTTGTGGAGAAGGTTTCGAGCCGCAGAGGTCTACAAGCACAGATATGGCTACTGATCCCGCTTGGCTAGGCCTCGTGCCCTCGCAAAATTGTTTCGAAATTTATATCTCCAAAGTTGCCAAAACTTATAAATTGCCTTAGCTACGTCACAGTTAGACACTGATTTTCAGTATATTAGACTGTTCTTTTGATAATGATAGCAATTATCCCTGTAGTTTATCCAGATTCCCGATGGTTAATTCTGACTCGATCGCCGAATGACGAGGGCGACGCCATGTTTGTTTATAAACAGTGAAAGTAGTCCTACTTGACCTTTGATATTTGCATCTCTATCCGCATATGATCCCAACGGATATCGTTTTTATCCGTTGGCTTTATCCTGCCGAGAAACCTACCCATTATATGATAAAAATCTTTATTTGTATTCTTTGATTGTGTTGTTTGAAGCCTTTAGCCAAAATTAATTTAATGAGAGGTGACATAATATATTCAGAGCAAGTAAATAATTTATGAGACCAACCATGAGATAAGGGACTTTATAGGTAAAAAATCACGTCTTATGACTAATTTTTATGACTTGTAATTTCTAGTACGCAGACATAAATTTGTGAATTCAAGTTTATCTTTGTGTACCGAGATGTGTACAATACCATATGAATGTAGTTAGGTTGGGGTTTTTATGTTGTTGATACTAACCCAGCTAAGTAATTGTCTTACAAACTAATTTTCACAGAGGTCTTAAAGTCTGAGCGTGATAAGGCGAGGAAGATATATAATCAAGAACAAGAGAAGATCAGCGACACTGTTGCCTTTGGTCGTAGATCAGGTGGTCCCCCATTGCCGAGCTATAATCCCCTTCACATTCACATCCCAGTCAGAGCAGGTGAGTCCCAGCACTATCACAAACAGAGATAGTCTGACCCATACTCAGAACTTATAGCTGGACAAGTAGTTCACCACAGAACAGGATACTCTGAAAAGTATGTGGCATTTGTCATGTTCATACAATATATTCTCATATTGACAGTAACAGCTGTTTTGTATAGTTTGCTCATGTCAGTGTGTTGGAGGATGATATGCAATCATGATATAAAAAAAAGTATGAACGAAAAGCACCAGAATGACTAGTTGTGTTGATGTGTCTAGTTTTCAGTATTACTTGTTACAGAATCTAGCTATCTGATTAGACATAGAAGCCATCAGGCCAGCTTGGTGGTTGGGAAATCACTTGCTTGACCCTATTCACACTTTGACTTACACACTGAGAGTCTGCTGACAAGATAGATCTAATTGTCACACACAAATGTAACAGAAAATGAGTATGGACTCTCTGTTTGTGAAGTAATGTAACACTAGCGGAGCGTACAGGATTTCATATCATGATGAATTGTCTACCTTGCAGATCCTGGAGATATTGGCAACAGCTACTTGAGAGACTGGTAGGTGTATTTGGAAAATAGGACATGTTAATATGGTTCTCATAACCCTATGTTATAATATAAATGTGGCAAATGGTAATTACTTTTGAAAAACGTGTCCTTGCCTGAAAAGTATGGTAACAGCAATGAATCAGACATTTCTGTATTTTGCGAGACAGCAGAATTAAAGGGCTTTCAGACAGGATGTTATTGAAGTGATACAGCTTTAATCCTCATTAAAGAAATAATAAGAATGTAAACAGAATCTTTGCTAGACTTGTCAAAATATAAATATCCTATTTTCTATTGGCAGCCCGCCTAATGAAGACCCAGAAGAAGCAGTAAATGCACGTCGCCTGAACAAATCAATCACAGTTTACACTAGCTTTGACTGGTCAAAGGTTCCCCGAATAAAAGCTCGAAGAACAGCTGAAGAGATGTTTGACTCTCCAGAAATCATCACACATGTGTATAGATGAAATAAGATGGTGATTATGTCTGGAGATACAGGCTACTAGTAAATATTGCGACACTGCTGTGGTTTATGCATTCACTCACCTGCAAGATAACCAGCTGTATTCAAACAGTGCACTCAAGCCTGCCACAGACCTCAGTATTCAGATGTTGTCTCTTCAAACAGTTCCAATTGAATGTAACTTTTTAGATTTGCACATTCAATTACAATGATCAAAGGGAGACAACTCCATCTCAGATTTGATAATCATGGTCTTACTTCTCTTCAGTTTGGTTCTTATTGGTAGATCTTACTATGATATTGTTCATTTGTATACAATGGCCAGTAGGGTGATTTCTCTTTACAAAATCAATAATGTCTTAGAAATCAACAAAGTTATTTTTTACCGTCACTGAACATAATCATGAATGTCTGATTCCAGTATGATCCTACCTGATTTTGTGCATTTGATACAGTGATTAATTGGTTATTTCCTTTTCTGATTCATTGTTTTAGTATCCACCACGGTTATTGTCTCTGTTACTGAACAAATCAACACTAGGTTATATGTTTGTTTTGAAGTGTTGGTATTTTGAGTTTGTTACAAGTGAACTTTCACATTTATGTCTTCATTGAACATTACATAACATGAGCTACTTCACCAAATTTAAATACAGTACTAGCCAGTATTACACACAGTTTTCCAGTCTGTTTCTCAGTATTATTCAAAGAATCAAAGAATGTCAGTATTGGAATACTCTAGCCATTTCATGTGATATATTTTTAACATATGTATATTTGATATTTGTATGATTATTCTAATATGTACAAAAGTCTACATATCCAGTATTAACATTGATGTGATTTGATGCTGTAACAAATCTGTTCCCTACTTACAGTATTTTGTAGTACTTATTGATAATTCAGTTACGTAACATCTATAATCTACTGACCAATTATATGTTATTTATCCTTTTATACAAACATTTCTTATAAATTGTATATACATGTATACAGAAATACAGAATTTGCAATATAATTAACACATAAACATTTATATATTTAGCATGTTTAGAATGACTGCTTCTACAAATGCATTTTGTTTCTACCATTTCTACATGGCTCTTGTCCAATTATTTTACACATGGCATTTCTGTAATAAAATATGCATTGCAACACGTCTTCTGAATCTTTTGAAAAGGTTTCCAGTTACATATTTCAACATGTTAAGAAAAAAGAAAAGAAAGAGATTGTCGATCACAATTACCCAAGCCTCTCACCCTTTTTACTGTTTGTCTCAGTATAGACACAAGAACATATGTAGTGTCATGTGTATGATAGTCCATTTATTTACACAATTCCAGTCATACAAACACAATTAGTCCTCATACAAGCCATCCACTCCTTACAGTAGAACATAGCATGATTAATACAAGACATTGTACACACACAAACACCCTTATGAGCTAAAAAAAAACACCTGACTGGTAGGTAATGAAAACAAATAATCTACCAACCAAACTGAGCTGCACCTGCAAGTACTGCGGTAAAATGTATGTACACATTTTCACTGTAATAGGACTGATTCCCATCATCAGGTTTCATGGTTATGCTAATGCATCACTTTCTCTGAGAGGCATATACAGCCAGAGTACTTCCTTGATGTCACAGACACTATGTTGAAACAACTCGCCAACACCATGGGTAAGTCCTGACGCAGCTGAATCATCCCTCATGTAATATTCATTTATGGCAGTCAAGTTGATCCATTGCGATGCAATCGGAAAGCAGAGGAATCATTCCTCATCCTTGCTGTAAAGTTGAGTAACACAATGTCCATGTTCACACTTCAAGGGCTTTCAATATTGCATCCCTCTCCTTCAAAGCTTTCTGTGCTCCATCTTTTTCCTTTTTTGTTGGTGTTTTCTTCTTCTGTTTAGCTGCCTGAATCTTTCGGTAGGCTTCCATCACCTAGACAAATGCCATCTGAGATTTTTAGTCAAGTCTCTACGTAATATCCAACCAAAACCCTCCCAGAAAATACTACGAGATCAACTCTGATAACTTAGTGTCAAGTACACACAAACACATTCAGTGAGAGTGAATGTAGTTATTCTCAAGTCAGCAATATTCCAGCTACATAAAAGTGCAGTCTGTGACTTTAGCCACTTGTCCGAAGCTCATAAAATACAATTTTTTTTAAATTATCCTGCATTGCTCCTTAGACATCATAATGTAGGATAAGTATACAAATATATAAAATATTTAGATTTTACTAATATGATAACACTAAAAGTTTGGGCTAGTACACTCCGATGTTTTGGCACAGACTGAAAGTGGCCTATAAAAAATAGCAAACCAGGAGCCGAAGACTCACAATCCGTCAGGTCATACAGGGTGAGTGAGTGCAGAAGATTGATACCTAGGCAACACAACATGGCCAGGGATACACCTGGGCATGTTTTTGAGTTCTGGGGACTTATAGGTTTGGGGGGTCCCAACATTAAAACATGATTCATGGGCATGACCTTAACATTTCTCGCGATATGTGGCACACTTCACTTGACTCGCAATAATTTAATGACATCAGACCAGGTTCTGAAGCCTTATCATGTTTTACTAATCATTGATTGATATTGGATTCCTTTGAATGAAGTTTGATTATTGTCCATGAATGCTTTTTTCATTCACTCTGAACTTTTCTTTTCACAATAGGAATGTCAGTTGAAAGTAACATGGATGACACAGTTATATTTGTTTTAAGGATTCAAACAGCTGCATCCCAAGGGACTCACGCTGAATAATATTTGCCTCCATTCTCAATAATCTCCAATAATCTTTTGTGTATAGAAAATAATATATTGTTTCTGAAGAAACGTCGTTCCACTAATATATATGTATCATTTCATGTTGTAAGAAAGATCACAGATGAATGATGTTTTCAGTGATGGTCACTTGTCCAAAGACGATCCAAACTCTGAATCTGTAGTGGCCAGCTGATCTCAACACGTTATCTCAGCTCTCAATGTAAGTTATGTCGGCTCTCAATGCAAGTTATGTCGGCTCCCAATGTAAGTTATCTCGGCACACAACACTAAGGGACCAAGGAGGGGAAAGACTTGTACTGACCTCTGCATCAGCTGCTGACAGCTTCTTTCTCATCTCCTGTCTTGCCATCTCTTCCTTGGCAAGCTTGTACAGTGTTTTGGTGATAGTTACATTTCGCTGGCTCAATGCCTTCAGTTCCTGTTGCTTGCGACGCAGCTCCGCAAGTATCTCATCATCTGGGTTGTCTTCCACTTTGTCATCTATCTCTATTAAACCTGGAAACGAGACATCCGTACTGGCAAGCCCTTTGTACATCATTACAAACAAACACATGACTATGATGATGACACAACACACCATCAGCGCACCCAGACACTTAAGACAGAAGGCTTTAACTGGACTCAAGAATAACATAATTTCACACCAAACCTGTCAATATCTGAGGTTTTGTTGTAGATAAATATTCAAAGTAGATAACATGACTGTATGATCTAATTCATTGTCGTCATACTGAATAGGTGTGAATCATTGCTCACGCTATCTCACTCACTTGAGTGAATGTGTTCTTGCCCAGCATTCAACAATGTTCCTGCGTTATCATTGCCGTCTTTATAAGCAGTTGGAAATATTAAATATGATGAGAAGTCCACCCACCTTGTTCCTCTAGTTCTCGTTTAATCCTCCTCTCTAAGTGGGCTGGGTTGACAATGTTCAGCTGTTTGGCCAGCATGCGTGGGGAGATGGCGGGCGCCTCCTCAGCCGACTCTAAACAGAGGAGTTGCAAACGATCACTGTTTAATTTCTAGAGTCACAGCAGTTGATTCACATCAAAGAAGTGACCGAATTCACCTGACAACAACAGCAACAGAGCAGCACTGACCTTTGCCCCCTGCAATGTCCGCCAGGGAGTCATCTATAGGGGTCATGATGTTCTCCTCAATCAGCGCAGCCACCAGGCGCTGGGTCAGGTGTCCGAACGGGGACTCATCCAGGTTACTGGTCAACAACCACAAGCACATGTTACAATGCCTTAAAATCTCAACAATCACAAGCACATGTTACAACGTATCAAAATCTCAACAATCACAAGCACATGTTACAACGTATCAAAATCTCAACAATCACAAGCTCATGTTACAATGTATCAAAATCTCAACAACCACAAGCACATGTTACAACGTATCAAAATCTCAACAACCACAAGCACATGTTACAACGTATCAAAATCTCAACAATCACAAGCTCATGTTACAACGTATCAAAATCTCAACAACCACAAGCACATGTTACAACGTATCAAAATCTCAACAACCACAAGCACATGTTACAACGTATCAAAATCTCAACAACCACAAGCACATGTTACAACGTATCAAAATCTCAACAACCACAAGCACATGTTACAACGTATCAAATTCATTTGGATACATTTACAATCATTCCTTTAAATAAACTGCAGCTTATTGTGTGACATAAATCGCCAGGTAAATTTACCACAGGACATAAGGACCCATACAAATCTGAACTGCGGGCCCCACACAAGATCTACCTGCCTACCGGCACGCGCATATTTCAAAGCTGCTTACTTTGCTTCTGCCTTCTTGAGCAATGTGGCTGTTTCAGTGGGACTCATGACAGAGTTGTTGTGATTGGAGTTGGAGTTTCGCTTCTTGTCATTGATCTTAGCACCTGCAACACAAACCCACTGACAGTAACAGGGGAAATATTCAACAACACACACAAGAACAGAGACACCACAGAGTGACTTCATCTTCTTTATGTGGTCAGATAACGTACATCTCTAACTATGGTAACCTTCCTGTAACCTAACAATTAGCCAATTATGCGAGCATTATACACCTTCCAAACTGCAAGAATGATGTTCAAGATGGGAGTCCTAGTGTCATAGGATGAGTCTTGTCCAGCTTACTTTCTATAACACTGAAGTGATTCCCGGACAGGATAGAATAACTCCCTAAGCATATCAGAGCAGGCTAAACATCCTCCTGGGACCCATCCCCCACCCATCCCCAAGCTGCTGTGATATAGCTACACCCTGGGAATTCCCCCCATTCTGCTCACCATCTCGCTGCTCCTCCTTGAGGTCCTCCTCCGCCCACTTCTCGGCGTAGTGTTTGCCCAGGGCGGGGATCTTGTAGTATTCACACTCGTCCTCATGTGACTTCAGTATTTCCTCCAGTAATTTCAAATCCTCATTTGAGATCTCTGCACAGTAAGGCTCAACCGACACCCAGAAGCGGTTCACAGCATCATTCTTTGGCAGTTTGGGCAAATCGGCTGGAGAGTCCACAAAATCAAATTCCTGATTCTTGGACTGAAGCAGTATCAAATGTACATTGCATCACACTGACAGTATGTTCTGGCAATAATACTATGACAGTTCATTTAATAGGACTTGTTGCTTATACGCATCCCAAAATGAGTAGATATTGTTACATCAGAATCTTTTCATCAACAGATTTCTTGAACTTTGAGTTTTTGGAAGTACAACTGTTGTTGCTTAAAACAAACATACACAATACCATGATTAAACAATTCCGCCTAGTCTTGCATCCTCATACCTGTGCGACCTTGCTCTTGGGTCTGCTCGGTGGGGGTGGGGTAACACTTGAACCTTTGCCATTACTGTCTTTGAACTTTTTGCTGGGCTTGTCCTCGCCACCGCCCTTTCCCCGCTTGCCAGATGTGGGAGTCTCTGGTTGCTGGTGGAGAGGACAAACATCTACATTTGAAACCAGCCACCATCGTCTGTCATTGTTATCATTTCATAAACATGTGCTATTACAATTGCAAGTATGATTCAAAACTTAAAGAAAGACATTTTGATATATTAAGATTGGAAGCCCCAAAGTTACGTCAATGAAACTCCCTTACAGCTCACAACACCCTTTTTAAAACAATATGTACAGCACTTTGACTTAAACTTGCATTGAAACCCACATGTTCAAATAAACATTCTTGCTATTCCTTACAGACTACACACAAACACATCATAGTCAGCCAGTTCATGATTAGCACAACCATGTAGGCCTGTTTTGGGATAAAGAAGTGCTTGGAATGAGCTACTTTAAAAGATACATGGGGAGAATAATGTGTCCACAAAACAACACATCTCATCCAAGGGTAACAACCATAAAAGAAAATACTAACAGGTATCACATATTTGTCATAATCTTCACATTCTTGTAAGCATCAAAGTCTTGAGAGTTGCTGGGTCACAACTCATCTAAAATCTCTGGAAGCCTGATTCATGTTACTGAAACAGTGATTCACACGTCTAGATTTTTTTATCTTGTTCAATATAGGAAACACTAACCTTAATTATGCAGAATCAATGTCTGAATTTCAAAGAGGGTACTTATTGCAGTGTTGCTAGTGTAATGAAACAAATCCACAGACTTAGCCTCTGACAGAAACAATGGCCATTACCTGTTTGCCTGGTGTGGGCTTCTTATCCTTCTTATCCTGCCAGTTAACCAGGGTCTGTATCTCACTCTCCAATAGCTTCAGCCTCTTGCCTGCAGCCGCCAGCAGTGTTTCCAGGTCAGTCTGGATACTGCTCATCTCATCAATATTCACCCCATCCTCCTCACTCCTCTCTAGAACTGTACATGGATACAAATAGGGCATGGTGAGGTGTTGTCATGCCTCTGGAAAAACTGAAGGGGATTACCGTATTTGACGTAATAAGCGCCCTCTCTAATAAGCGTGCACAGCAATATTTGCTAATATATTGGTTAGTGAACAATCCCAATTAGCAAACCTTCTGATTGATCAATGTACACAAGACTTATTTATTCGTGCATAATACGTGTTATATGCATCCTTAATTATGGGAAATTAAATTCTGGAAAAATATATCTGTCGAATATATAAACATTTCAGGCTGTCACCATAAACCACGAAATTTACGATCTTTCAACTCTGTTGTTTTTCACCAAAATAATATTCTTTTAAGAGCTCCCTATTTCTAATTTTGAGAGCACCCTAGGTGCTTATTATGTCAAATATGGTAATAACAATTCCTGTATTGAGAGAGTGTCTTGAAAGGTTATTTTCAGAATGGATTGACATGTGTTAATGTTATTAGAGGTGAGTGTTCACATTTGAGGCATGAGTTTGGAATGAATAATGAATTTGAAAACAGATCTTTATTTTTATGCTATGCAAAACACAAACTCTGGACTTGAAGATGTTGTGGGGTCCTTTGATTAAAAGACTACAGCCAATACTTTAGGAGTCTTTGGGTGATCTATCATCTCTTAACACTGCTCTAATAATGCAGCTTCTCACTATCAATACTGTACCATTAGTAAGCTTTGGACAGTCTTTAGTATGGTCAACAGGCTGAAGGTCTGGGAATTGTAGAGGACAGCAATCTCCCTTTGATTCCTGCATGCCTTTGCCTTTACCTTTCATTATATTCTATTGAAACACTGAAATATGAAAATATTATTGGTGTACATAATAACTTTACATACTAAAATATTTTCTGAAGCACCATTTAACCTTAAATGATCCCTATGGCACACCTGGTACAGGTAACAATGAAACTACATCAACATTACAGGTTAGAATTTGTCTTCTACAACCCATGTTTGTCAGAAGGGGCGACTAACAGGATTGGTGGTCAGGCTCACTGACTTAGTTGATGCATTTCATTGTACCCCAATTGCATAGATTGATGTTCATGATGTCAATCACTGGATTGTCTTGTCCAGACTCTATTAATATTTACAGACTGCCATGATATAGCTGGAATATTGCTGAGTGTGGCGTTAAACAACAAACAAACAAACAACTTCACATCCCTCGCTTCACATGTTAAAGATACACTGGATAATGTTAACATTAAAGATGTGGGTGAAGTTTCTAATGTGACTTAATTAAAGGGGCATTAGACTCGGGCAAATAGACAATCCTGCCAATTTGTGTCTAATGTGTTCGACTCTTTGTCTTCTAACACAATGTTTATGATGAGAATATCCATCTGTGAATGAGTAAACTATTTTCATAGAGACAAAGGAGTACTAGCACAAATAGTACAAATTACAAAATCTAGTCCTAGGCTCTAGACCACATAGCATAGCCCCTCTATTAATAGTACAGAGATTACACTTTAATATTTCATGATCGTCCACTTAATTGTGCATTACAAACGACCTGTTCCTTTGTTTCATAAGCATATGCTGGCCATAACCATTCACCACATACACTGCATATATGGTATGCTTATATCATATAGGCCTAACTCATGTCTTCTCCTAATGATGACAGTCACCATACTCAGAGAACATATCGGTATATAGTCTCTGCTATACTATTTAATTGTGCGTCCAAGCTAATGCATAAAAAACTGTTTTAATAACTAACACTTTATCGTACCGCATGTGTCTACTGTCTAGGGAAAGTATTTAGGAAAAACAATGGTGTAATTCCATTTGCAACACGATATACAAATGTTTATTTGTTATCAACTCCATTGGGCTTGCCTACATCACTTACCGGAGTTTCACTGTTCACTTTACAGTTAGATCTACTCCATTGCGTTAAATTGTATATGTATCAGGCAAAATTAACAATTTGTTTATGAATGGAAATATATCTACAGCGTCGATTTCCACTTTCACGAGAAATAATAACAGGAGACATTCTCATGTACGGGTTCATATCACGAACAAAGCCGCAGGTGAACTGTCGGCCATTTCCTGCATATAACCAATGACAGTGAAGCTTCTTTAGTTATTCCACCAATCAGCGTTGTGGATGCAAAGAAAACACCGACAATGGTTTATCTTGTAAGGTTGGAGCAAAAAGTCGAAAGTTTTGCATTGCAAACACGACTGATCATCTTATTTTTTCAGGTGAGTAGATTTCTTTCATCCGCATGCACTTTCCTAAAGGATATTACCCATATTTAGTTGTGTTTTGTTGGATAGCAGGTGCTCACTTTGACCGGTGAATGAAGCCCCAGTACAATCCTGAACATGAACTACCTGTAGAAGTTGTCCTGCCGGGACTGACCATGCACTATGTGTAACATTTCGATATAGTTGACCATGAACTGTTGGACCTTCACAGAAACTAAATATCAAAACAGTACTTTGATATCAATAAATATGTATGTGTCTTTTGAAACAATAAGTGTATTCATTCTAGAATAATGATTATTTTTGTAACCTTTTTTAGGATGGTTCAAAGATGTACATCTTTGGTTGGTTCAGTCACTGGACCATGTAACTAATATTCTATGCCAACAAACTCGCAGACAAGAAATGTATTCTATCTTTCAGGTGATCTTCAATGCTGTTATTCCTGACCATGATGCTGAAGTGTTCAACCCTCCAACATCCCCAACCCACAACCAGACAGCAGTGGACAGTATCTTGGACATCGGAGTGGGTGGACTCCGAAGATGGGATGCAGTGTACTTCATCCATGTTGCGGAGCATGGTTACATCTATGAGAATGCTGTAGCATTCTTCCCCCTATACCCAGTCATGGTGGGAAAAATCGCCGATGTTTTCTACTGCTTCTCATTTGCAGGTCAGATCATGTCCAAGTTAAACCTCTGCTTAATCATTGGCGTGGCGCTGAATGTCTACTTCTTCACAAAGGCAGCATCAACGCTGTTTCACTTGGGAGTCCAGGTTCTCAAAGATGAGAGATTAGCATACAAGGCAGCTTTGTTGTTCTGCATCACCCCAGCCAGCATCTTCATGACAGCTCCCTACTCCGAATGTCTTTTTACCTACCTCTTCTTCTCCGGACTCCTGGCTTTTGCCAGTGGTGACACAATGAAGGCAGCATTTTGGTTTGGACTAAGTGGAACTACACGGTCAAATGGCCTTGTAGCAATCGGGTTCATCTTGTTCAGGAGAGCTAAGGGGTTTATGTCCAGTATGCAACAAGCGACAAAAGCGAGATTTGAAACCATGATCGAAAAGGGGATGATGATGGCGTCAATGACACATCTGTATCTGACACCAGCCATTGTTGCGGTTGTGTTATGTGCTGGCCCGTTCTGTTTGTATCAATATTACATTTACAGAATATTCTGTTTGTCAAATGATGCAGATTTACCAAATCACCTTGTTCGCTATGGCCGCTCCCAGAACTACAAGCTTGTGAGTGATGCTCCATCCCCATGGTGTTCACAGTTACTTCCCTTGTCCTACAGCTACATCCAGAAGCACCACTGGGGTGTGGGCTTTCTCCAGTACTATGAGCTGAAGCAGGTCCCCAACTTCTTGCTTGCCACCCCCATGCTGGTGCTGAGTGTGTGTGCATGCGTGTACTACTACAGGCTCAACACAGACTGCTGCCACAGACTCGGCATGGTACAGGAGGGACAGACCGACAAGAAGACAGACTTACAGAAAGGAAACTTTGGCTTCAAGAACACCAGACTTTTCATCTATGTTGGTCATCTAGTGTTCATGACTGTCTTTGGAATTTTCTTTGTACACATTCAGGTGAGGTTTTTTAGGAATCTATTAATGCTCCTTGCATAGTATACATACATCTTTGCACCAAGAAATATGATCATTCCCATCAAAATCGGTGTCCATGGATTATTATCTCTGTGGCGTTGTTCATACCTGTTTGTTGTATCTACAACATGTACAAGCATGAAGCAAATTAAAATATTACCACCAAAAGATTTTATTAAGATTTCAAGCTAACTGCCTATGGAAAGGAAATGTGTAAAAGAATTTTTGTCAGTTCTTATATTCTTATAATGGGGTATTCTGACATTACATAAATCTAGAATACTAAATGAGCCCCCGTGTAATACCAATTTCATGAAACGAGTGAATAGTTCTGGTATCTGACGAGCGAAAGCGAGTCAGATACCATAACTATTCACGAGTTTCATAAAATTGGATTTACACGGGAGCGAGTTTAGTATTTTATTTATTACTGGCCATTTATAACGTATTTAGAATTATACTGTTGAGTGTGAATAGGCTAACACCTACACGATCCACGGCATAATCCAACTGAGTTTAACACAGGTATACTTCAAATACGTCAAAAGTTGAAACGTATGAATTTAATACCATCCAACGGTCCACCTTTAGAATTCAGGCGTCCGTTCCACAAAATTATCGTAGCGTTAAGGTTATCGCAAATCATATACTTTAACTTAGACCAACGACTGTCGTCGCGCTACCGTACGATCGCTTTGTGGAACGGGGCCTTGCACCTCAAAGTTTACAATCACGTCACAATACCCGATGACGTAATTTGTGGAATTTTGTTGCAAGATCCTTCGGTGAAACAATGCCATGTGACGTCAACCTAGCAACAAGGTTGCTGGGGTCATTCAGTGTGCATAAGCTCCTCTCAGTGATCTATCATCTCCACACGCAATGTCGTTGAATAAGCGAAGGGATGTTGAGAGCTTTTAATATTTGTTCGTGAAACGTGTTCCGAGAGTACATAAGCACACGTTTTGGTATTACACAATGTGTAATACATCTGTATGTTTATTAAACGGGTGATCTCTTCACGGGCAAGTAATAAATAGAGGATATTATATGAGTGTTCATATCATACTATGTTTAAGACACAAGTGTCTGAATACCGGAAATTAAGCACGAGTGTCGTAAACATAGTATGACATGAACTCGAATATAATTTTCTATTTATTACCAAAGAAGATGTCTACATACAGAGACAAATTATAGTGTTTACCTATAAGGACAGCAAGTCGCAACAGCAGTGGAAACACAATTTGTCAAATGACGTCAACAATCTCCATCTATCACGTTGTTTCTAGTGTGACGTCATTCCAACTTCACAATAAGATTCAAATGATGTCAACAATGCTGTCCAGATGAATGAAATAATACACTGTTGTCTCGTGACGTGATATGACCCTAGGGCACATATGATTTTGATGAACCTCGATATGTTTGCCCTCGTAGGTAATAAAATGCAATTACACAAGGGGTGTCTGAAAAGTGCTGAGTCTAACTACAATTATGTATAGTACACACTTAATATTTTGCATGTATTAAGTAAAATACTTTCCATGCTTACAGGCTGCATTTATCTGCAGGTATCAAAGTGACTATTGTTGATGAAAATGTACAAAATTGGCTTCTGTACTGTCATTAAGCATCTCCCACTGAAAGTGCTAACTCCAAACATCAATCCATACAGACATAGTGTCCCCATTTGGGAATAATGCTCCTTCCTTTGATACTTGTGAGGTGGGCAGCAGAGTTCAAGAGGCGAAGAAAGAGCCTTGAAGATGGGGATAATGTTGAAAAATAATTAGCCGCTAACTCCATCAATGCAGTCCATCATAGTTAGGCTCAGAACTTTTCAGCCACCCCTCGTATCAAACTTAGTCACATATGAAAATTTATATCACACTTATTTCATTAAAATTTATTATAACTTTTATTGGAATATCTTCATTGCAGACTTAAGGCCGAATATTGACCTCTGACTCTGAGAGTGCCTAGGTAAATCCCTGACATTGCACTTTGCTGTTGGGTTATTGATGTCAGCAAATATTATTATCGATCATAACCAACTTACATTTATTGATTATTATTTTTCTCAGCTATTCTTTGGACATTAATTTTATGTATATTTGTCTCTTAGATAATGACCCGTCTCCTTGCGTCCACCTCCCCTGTGATCTACTGGTTTGCTGCTCGACTCATCACGGAGAGGACCTACCATGACAACTTCTCCTCCAACCAGTACAACATCTTCTCCCCACAGAGAGTCCAGCGCATTGAGAAAGGGGCCAACCTGCAGCAGGCTCAGAAGGGGAACCTGCTCATTGACCAGATCTCCGACTTCTGGAAGCAGAGCACCAACACTAAACTTGTGCTGTTCTACTTCATGTTTTACTTTGTAGTTGGGACAGCAGCTTTTGCCAACTTCCTCCCCTGGACATAATTACCCAATTACTGCGCTGCCATGTTATCTGCCATGTTATGGCTGCATCACAAACACTCATCTGTACTGCTAGAGAGGGTGCTATGTCTTGTCTTAGTATGAACATGCTTTGGGTGGGATGGTTTGTCCCGAGGTCTTGACCTACATGTGATCTTAGCACAAGTATGCAGTAGTAGGAACTAATTATAATATCTGTACAGGAAAACCTTCCAAAATGAAATACCGGTAGTTTACGCAATATTGATACTGTATCGTCATATAATAATATCATTCAGCCATAGGACTACTTCCTGATTGTAAGTATGAAATGGTCAGCTGTAGACTTAAGACAGATTATCAATTTATCCAGTTGTAAATGAAAGTCAATTACCAAAGAAGTGTTAAGCATTGATCTGAGGGTTATAAGTATGATCTCACATGAAAGTATTTGTAAATGGTGTTTATCAAGCGTAAGGTTCTTAATATTTTTTATACTCTGAAATTATATGATTGAGATAGTGTGACAAAATGTGTGTCAACCACACCGATGATGGCAAGACATCTTTGTGTAATTCAGACTACTCTTATTAGTACTTCCAGACAAGTATTCCAACAATGAATCTGTTTCATCCCTAGTGTTTTGAGGTACTGATAGTGACAGTGCCAATCTGTGAGGCACAACTTGCTAGAATTATGCACAGCAATAAGGTGTTCATTGCAGATATGGGCTTTTATCCACGATGTACTAGCAACATTAGAAATTAGCACTGGTCCTATAGTCCTTGCCAAACTGCCAAACAGTTAAGGTATCATAAGGACTAGTAGAAATTAGCCATTATTAAGGGTTTATTCTATATGTTATCATTATAAGGACTAGTGGACTAAAACAGATAGTTTCTATCCCTGGTACTAGTAATACCTGGAGACAAAAGAAGTCTTCTGATATTCAGTGTATTGGTACTATGACATTTTATGAGTCAATGGTCATTGTTCGAAAGGCAGCTATTATCATGATTGTTTCACTTTTAGATATGAATAGTACCATATTCCTCATTGTGTGTCCATCTGCATTATTTCTTGCTGGTTTGATCAGGGAAACTTTGTTGGTGATATCAGGAAAAATGTTGGAATTTTTCACAAGTTTAGATTTTGAAAAAATTAATATTGTTTCATGTCTAATATTGGCAAACAGATGTGTTTTATTTAACCATTATAACACTTTTAGGTGGTTATGTCCAAAAAATGACCCAGGGAAAATAAGAAATCCCCCCCACCCCCACACCACACACACACACTCTATTAGGTGGTCCATTATTAGGTCTAGATTTACATAATTTTATGCATAAAGATATGTATTTCCAACAAGAACATATACAAGTGTTTATTCACACAGCAGACAACATGACCTGCTCAGATTTACTCACTCATCAATCTACATGCATGACAAGCTGTGTGATGTATGAAAAGCAGCCCTGTACTCAAGGCAGGGCAGCGGCCACACACTACCTCACTGTGTGTCTCACGCTGTCAAGTGGAATACTGGAGTGTTTCAAACATTTTAATTTTGAGATTGTCATCATTCTAACATTACCATGTTTTTTTAATTACCTGTAGCTTTTTTATGTTTATGTGTGCTGTTGTGTATCTGCTGGCCACTCATGTAGTGAGTTTTTAGATGGGCAGTTGTGTGATGATAATCACGATTGTCATGCCGCCATATTTAGTTATATGATCATGCTATTAGTGATCAGTATCAAAAAGGGCAAGTATACAATCCTTTTAAAATGCCATGAATAATTGGCCTACTTTTAAGGTGCCATCAATATATTTTATAGAATACAAATAAAGAGTTCCATGAACAGTTCTCCAAGATATTTGTTTTTTGTCACAAAAGCAGAGATTTTATAATTTGACAGCTTTTGAATAGTAGTTATATCAAGGGTATTAGTTGAATATGGGAGAAAATTCAAATGTGAGAAATTATACCGTCTGTTCTTACCCTTACTAGAGGATCATGTCAATGATCACAAAATTCTAATGAAGAAATTATGTTTTTAGACATGAAATTACAAAGCTGGTATTTCTAGTTAGATCAATGATTATAATTCAATAATAACCCATTTTCATTGCATGATCGTGTGTAATGGAAAATAATTGTGTAAAAGCGGGTTGACAGACTATGGTATTGGTGCAAAATTGATTTGGTGGTTCACACGTCACTATAGAGGCACCTGATCTGTTAATTTCACTCGTCCACACCATGGAAACATGGTAAACACCTTTATCCTGCAAGAAGGCACACAAGAGAGAGTGATCTGCGTGTAGACTTAACGAGGTAGGCACAATTTTATGGATAACTTCTTGAATACTGTAAAAAGCGACGTTTTTTTTATTTCATTATAAGAAAAACTAACAGAAGCAATCCACCGCAACAAGTCATCAATCAACAGAGATCAAGGCTATTTCATCCCATCCGCCTACTCTGAACTCATCAAGCAATAATCACTTATCCTGTTTAATTGGCTTCCACCTATGTTTTCTGTCCATCGTGTTGTGACAGTATTATCCCCTTGTTGTCAACACCTTACCTATGTTATCCCACTCATATATGCAATTGTTGTTACTGTTAATCCTGTACCTACTATATATATTCTGTACTAAGTCCCTCATTCAGTCCTGCTTGACAACGGTATAAGGATCTATACCAAAAAGTCGCTTTTTACAGTATTAAAGAAGTTGTTATCCATAAAACTGTGTCTACCTTGTAATCTGTCAACTTCTAAGTAATGCCTATCAAACAATTTGTAGAATTAAATTCAGTGTACCATGTCTGGGTTGAGCTTGGACACATGGTCACAGAAACAATCTTGTACCATAAGATCTTGGAACTCTGGATAGAGCTCTCATTTGGAAGGGGAATGTCACACCTCAAAAGTATTGTATTGTCAATTACTGAAAATGAGGTTGGTAATAATTAGAAAGTATTATTTCACCACTGAAAATCAGCCACCAACACTCCAAATATTTTGAATTCATAGTTGATAATAAAATATAACATGTTTGAAACAACAAAACAAAGCTGAACATTGTAACAGATTTATTCTGAACATGAGGTCATGTGCAATGATTTATTTTCTTCAGGAATAGCACAACCACACGTCGTAACACCACAGTGATGAAAATCTGAACTATGTTACAATCCAATACAAGTTTTCCTGGCATTTGTCCTGAAAATTCATTTTACAATAAACATGGTCACCAGTTCTTACACACCATCTTCACGGCTACCACAAGCATGGCTGACCCTGAGACCACATCACGGGCAAAGAACACAAAACATTTCACCACTGCGGCAATTTACTTGATAAGTTATCATGATGATAAATGGTTTGTACAGACTGGTGACACAAGGCAGCTAGATATCACTTGCCCAGGTGTCGGGAATACTATTTACAAAAGATTACCAAAAACGGCATGTTATGAAGTGATTGATTGGTTAGGGCATCACAAATCCTATTGGCTTATCACAGTCCCATGCAAAAAAACAAGATGTTAGAGATATCTATGTGCTTACATAGCTAAAAGGGCTACCTACAGGTGCTCTGTACACCTTGACTGCAAGGGGCCTATTTATGTCATGTTTGTATGCAATGTAGTGGATGCATGTCATAGAATATGTAATATTTGGACACAAATGTTGACTGGGACAGACAGAAATAATGCCCCTTCTTCATGGAAGACAATGTACAGATGTATTGACCAGTTACTTTTTCACATACGACCTTCAGCGACAGAAATAGGTTTCTATAAGAAAGCACAAAGTATTACACAAAACCTATGTAAAAGAAAAAATACCCAAAACAAAAACCATCAAAAATATTTTTTCTCTTTTCTCACATGTTGATAAGAATCCATAAGGAGATGTCTACGAATCGACCAAATATTCCAGCACTTTCTGTAATGCACATGTGACTAAAGCACTTAAACTGACATATGACATTACTCTGCAATAACAGTAACCCAGATCCACATTGAGACTCCTATTTGATAAGCAAGCAAAGTTGATCTCCTGGTGTAGTACATGCGATGTCAACTCGTACCCTGTGCAGAGCAACAATATCAATGTGCTTCACTGCTGCAGGAATGCTGCATTGCATGGTGGGACTGGAGCTTGGTCACGACGATATCGAGTCACTCAGTCAAGGACTGAACACTGTCTCATGTCTAAGATGCTGCTGATCTGCCTCGAACTGAGCCTGATTTGGTTGTGAGTAGCCTTTCCACCATAGAGCGAGCATAACGCAAGCGCCCACTTAGTTCTTTTGAGCATCCAAACTTCTCAATTAGATTTAGTCTGAATGTGGTAGTGTCTCTCTTTTCATCAATGTATGTCACAGCTGCCATCAGAGGGCACAGAATGATCTTGGTGTGGTCAGAGAAAAAATTGATCTGCAAAAGAAAGAAGAAAAGCATTTATTCCATGAAGCTTTTCCTCAGGTCTTGATGAAGTACATAAATGTACACAAGGATCCATACCATCGGGGGGACACAATGATACACAAGGACCCATACCATCGGAGCACGATGATACACAAGGATCCATACCATCGGGGGGCACAATGATACACAAGGACCCATACCATCGGAGCACGATGATACACAAGGACCCATACCATCGGAGCACGATGATACACAAGGATCCATACCATAGGGGCACAATGATACACAAGGATCCATACCATAGGGGCACAATGATACACATGGATCCATACCATCGGAGCACGATGATAAACATGGATCCGTACCAATGAGGCATAAGGATACACAAGGATCCATACCATCGAGGCACAATCGTCAATGATACACATGGATCCATACCAAGGGGGCACAAGGATCCATACCATCGGGGCACAATGATACACAAGGGTCCATACCATCGGGGCATGGTGATCAGCCTGTTCTTGTATTGTAACCACCCAGTCCTCATTTTAGGACTTTCAGGACATGAAACAGTTATTGGTGTTATTGTGCCAGTGAATCCAAAGAAAGAGAAATTGCCATACCTGTACAGTTCCATTGCTCAGCTGCAAAACCATGGCACTCCTTGTCCTGAACCATGTTCGCAAGAATGGCAGGCGAGCAATCTGGTCCGACTCTCGGGGAGTCATGTTGGCTCCAGCCTTGAGGAGGTGTTCATTCATGTAGTTCCTGAAGTACTTCAGCAGTGTCACTTTCTTGGTGAGATTCTCGGGGAATGCCCTCAGAGTGTGGTAGTGTTCTGTGCCATCTCTCTCAATGTACTGTGTGTTCCTTCAAATGCAAATACAGATACATGTACTTCATTACCAAAATGCTCTTCTTTGAATAAGGATCCGTTCTCAATCTTTGATATATATAAAATTGGTTGTCTTGCACAGACACATTGTAAATTTATGATTTTTTCTGGAAATGTACTCTATTTAATTGTGAAATATTCCAATTGATTGATGTTAGCAGAAGGTACTCACTCTCCATTAGCCAGTAGTATAAGTCGAGTTGAGTCATTGAAGAGTACTCCTACACTGTTATCACAAAGCTGGTAGCCGAGGCCATACTTGTCTGAGTAGTCCACCCACTTGCTCACCCAGTAGATAGGGATGCATGCAGGATCAATAGCATCATCTAAGGAGGAATCAAACATTGTTTCAAATATATTCTTACAGGAGTTTCAGCTGCATTAACAGTACACAGTATACATGTTTTACTTGATCTACAGTTATAGCGATTAATGATAAACTACAATTGTTAAATACATTAGGCTTAAAAAAATAAAAGAATTGGTTCTCAGGCAATGGCTTTTGAAAATATAGTGCGGGCGGGCAGTGTGATTTTTTTTGGCTGTTCTAACTAGTATGCAACCAAATAAACAGTTGTGTACAATCAACCTGGGAAAGGGCCTCCCTGCATAAATGTATTCCTTGATGAGTAAAATACTGGAATACAGTTGACTACCACTGGACTTGTAATATTTAAGGATTTGTTTTTTGGGTTTTTTAAAAATGGAAATATAAACGAAACGTGCAGCAAACTTTAAGATGATGCGGGCGGTGCCTGAGAACCAAGACTTATTATTTTTTTTAGCCTTATGTACATGAAGGGTTCATTAATCATGTTAATCGTCACGATTTACTCAAATATAAACAGAAGGTATGTTGGCTTACCGTCCTGTATACAGATCTTCTCCCCTGGTTTAGCTGCCACGACAGCTGACAACTGTCCACACAAGTCAGTCAACCAGTTGTCCTGAGACTCACTGCCTGCAACACAATAATACTCATATGTCAACATGAATAGACCAAAGCTGAGTGAGAATCACTCGTATAGCAGTATTGTAGGGACTGAGGTCCCCTTATCTTACTGACATCAAGACTAGATGTCCTTACCACATCTTGCTTGTGCCTTGTCACTCTCTTTCTTCTCCATTTCCCTCTTTGTAGGGTCTGCTGACTGAGCACGCATATCTGGAAACAACACAATGGGTCAGCATAACAATTGGGTTTTGTAAGTGTTGTGGAGGTGATGAGATTAAACTTCTAATGTAGAACACTGGGCTACAACAGGATTCACAGCAACAGGATTGTGAATATCCATCAACACTCAAGTAATGAAGACATCCATGATCAGGGCCCCACTGCACAGAGCGATTTTACCTCTAAGGTGATTGTAACATCCATACTTTAACCTAGGCATACAATAGTCATAAGATAGCTTTGTGCAACAGGACCCTGCATCCGGTGACCACTTACATGTAATATTAACAATGGACCAATTTCCTTTCAATATTGTCACACAGCCATCTTTCTACACCTGCACCATTCACAGTATCCCCTATCTACTGTTTAATGATCAGCAGTGCGATATGACACTCATCATGGTCATGTATGGAGAATTAACACACCATAAGGAGACGGACACATGGCAGTAAGTTCATTCTATGGACAAATTAGTAAGGAAAAAAGTCTCACCATTAATCTCCAGGAGAGGTTTACGATGAAGACCTTCTGACTTGTAGAGCGTATCAAACCGAGGAGCCATAGTGAGGCAACTGGTGGGCAGATTGTTGGGGAGGTAGCCTGGAAAACAGAGCAGCATGGATAACTTGTACAGATTACACAAAGCATGTCTATTGCATACCTTCTTTGTTCTTAGCCAAAAATGACCACTCTCTGAAATAATTGTATGATATAACAGCGAATTTGCAAAAAGATCCCAACTTGTGCATGCTGCAAGACATACCCGAGGAGAAGAACTCTTCCTCCATGATCTGGTCAATCGTGGGTCTGTCTGTGGGGTCGGCCTTCAGCATCTTGCCGATCAGGTTCCGCGCCGGGAGACTCACACGGGACGGGATGTTGTACTCATTCTTCTTGATTTTCATGTATGTATCTCTGAGACACGAGGTCTCAAATGGGGGCTTGCCTACCAGCAATGTGTATCTAGGAATAATGTGAGCCAAGTTATAATCCGAAAAATGTTCCAAAAAGAATTCATAGTGGTAGGTGTGAATACAATTGTTGTCAGTAAAACATTTTCCCAACTATCAGCTGTCAAGTACACTTTTTGTGCTGGGTATAAGCAACCACAACGTAATTTGAGCAATAGAGCAGCCTCCAAATCAAAATTTGATGTATTGAGTCTGTGCAAAAGGGAATTGGTAATGGCATTAAACAATTGTCTAAAATCATTGCCATTTCTTTAAAATGACATAAATGTGACTACGTTGACATGGATTTCTGACCCCCCTCTAAAAGATATCACTATTGCTATTTCTTGAATGAAACATGATTCACAGAAAATATACAGCCACATCGTCATGAAAATGGATGGGCACCTGTTAAGCTACTGAGGGACAGCAAATTTGATTGCATGACAAGAACAATTTATCTGGTGACAGCTCTGTTACCTGAAAGGTCCAAAACATCAACTTGAATCAAAATTATCCATAGGTCATGTAACCTTGTGGCAGTAGAAATACTCACAGAATACAGCCCAGTGACCAGATGTCCACCTCAAAACTGTGGCCTTTCTTACACAGAACCTCTGGTGCAATGTAGTTAGGTGTTCCACACAGTGTTCTGAAATACACAAGTCACATTTGTGAACATCATGTTTGTTTGTTGTTTAATGCCAGTCAGCAATAGTCACAATATATAACGGTGGTCTGTAAATTATCGAGGCTGGACCAGACAATCCAGTAATTGACACCACAAGCATTGATCTACACGATTTGGAAACGACATTCACCAACTAAGTCAGCGAGTCTGACCACCCGATCCCGTTAGTCATCTCTTGAAGACCAATTCTAACTGTGAATCTTCATGGGACATGAAGATCTTGTAAAAAATGTGTTTGAAGAGACAGAAGAAGAAAAATTACACCCATCAACAGGAAATGAAACAACTACTGGTGTTGTGCTAGATATTATGGGTAGCACCAGGCATCTTCGGGTGTTTATCTCTGATAAATATAAGGACACTCCAAATCAGCACATACATTACAAATATGAGCACAGATTTGCATACAAGTTATTGTTCACTGTCTTTTTATATCAGATGAAAACCAATCTGAAATTACTCAAAAACAACTGATCCGTCTCAGTGTGAAGTGATTACCTCTCACTTCACAGAAGAACAAGCTTAGGTGTAATCGTAAACAATGACTCATACAAGAACCCTTGACTTTTGAAATAGATATTGAAATTTATGTGAAATTATTTTCAGTAAATTTCATGCTGATTGACCAGAATGCACTAATTGCTTCATTATTTTAAGATGACGTAATTCCACAGGCACTTAGGAATCCTAGATAAATCCCTGAACTGTCCTTTCAAATGTACATGAAATCACGGACATGTCCTAATGAAATCACTGGTTGCCAGCCTGTGAATGATACTGATGAAAATGCTGAGTCGTGTTTGAAATAAAGAGAGGGCCATGGGTTCCTTGCCAGTATAGTATTTGAATACAGGGACCCAAAATGTTTAACTCAATAACTTAACATTAGGCTTATGACAAGGACCCCTAAACCTTCATGCTGAATTTTGAACACTGCTGACAATATATTTCTTGACTGTGATGTGAAGGTCCTTATATTACCCATTAAAGCACAGATACAAGGGAAATTATCCCAGGTAATTCTCACAAGATCTTTTCTAATTTTGTTTGTTTGCATTAGAGCGTTATGTCATATGAATGCACTGTCACACTGAATTGAAAATGTCATCCATTGTTCATGACGTTGCCAACAAGTTTGTGTTCCAACCATAGACTGAAAGGTATGATGTCTCCATTTGTGATCAAGGCTTTGAACTTAGAAAATATTGAAACGCTGGAAAGATATGTCCTTGCATCTGAAAGATTATTCTCTGAGGTCCCAGCTGCACAAACTCACCTTTTCCTCTCTCCATCATAGCCTACTTTAGTGGCCAGACCAAAATCACCGATCTTGATCTCCATCTCGTCATTGATGAAGAGGTTGCCTAACTTGAGATCCCTGTGTATAACCTTATTGTGATGGAGGTACTGACAAGCAGTGACCACCTGCTTCACAAAGTACCGAGCCTCTGGCTCTGTGATGGCTTTCCTCCTCTTGTGCAATTCCATCAGTGACTGCAAACAGACAATACAATCAATACATAGATTTGTATTGTGTGGTAGTTTTATTCAGTAACTAACAGGCACATATATCTCCTTTACAATTCTATGGAAGTAAATGACTTACCCTTCTTCGACAAAGTTCCAGTACTATGTAGACATTATCAGAATCTTCAAAGAATGATCGAAACTGTACAACATGACGATGGTTCAGTTCTCTGTGAATTGCTATCTCCTGTGCCATCTGGAAAATAACAGTTGAAAACAAAGTTTTAAAAAGGCCACATTAACCACAAATATAACAAACCTATCTACATGACACTACATGAAAATGACAATCAAGTCAGCCACTGATCACATTACACAGCTCGACTTAACTATATGAAACATGCATAAGTACAACCTATCATTGAAAAATGCAACCGAATATTTATGTCTACAAAACAAATTACAAAATATCAAAACACTTCAAATTTGTGCCTGGCTAACAAGGCTTGTCCACACAACCTTTTCTTTGAACTCACTCAGTACCTCTAAAGTTAACTTTAAACACTACAACACTAATCTCTGTGTTACCTGCAATTTGTCATACCACTTTAGTCTTGACATCAAACTGTGGGTATTTGTTTATTTAATATTGTGTATATGTCCCTATTACATTTTACAGCAATATGCTGTTAACTTACGCGACGACAGCAGACAGGTCTATGTTTCAAATTTGTATATTTATGGGACCAGGATGCACCCTGGTTTTGTTTGTTGCAACTTGATTTTCATGTCAACATGCACCTGGTGAAAGTTAAATCAAGTTCCTTACACAAAGCCCTGCACTAGCAAAGACTGCTAGCCTATAATGTACTTTCAGCAGCTTTTCCCCAACACAGGGATTTATCTGGGATTCCAAGTTAAGTGGCATTGGCATGCATATTAGGAAATAGCGTTAATTTGTTCAAAATTGGGATTGTTTTTCAAGTTCTAATTTTCCTAAATCTAGAGGTATTTTAATATTGGGTTCAATGCAATAATGTTAAACTGAGCATTGAAAACCCTTTCCCCATATTGGTCCTGTAATCAGATAAACTACAAGTCAGCCATACAAAACCATAAGATTAGATGATTACCCGGTAGTCATGAACACAACAACATATTGAATATTGGCCTCTAATCTGGTCTAGATAAATCCCTGTAACAGATTGTGATTTTCTCCATATTGAATAGTATATAAGGTATGTGTCTAGTAAAAAGAATTGCAACTAGATTTCAGTTTTAGATTAGTTGTTGCAGTCAGACTCTTCAAAGTTCACTCATGTCAGTTGCCATTGTTTCATATACAAGGATAAAAGTCAACAAACCTTGTCTTTTTGATGTTGTTTCACAAGTAGAGATTTGGACACAATCTTCCCAGCAAACACCTCCTTTGAGTCCAAGTCTGTTAATTCGTAACATTTTGCAAATCCACCCTAAAAGAAAAAAATAACATGATGAATTTTGTTTCAAACCATATTAAAAATAACAAAAATAACACTTTATAGAATTGGAGGTATGAGGGAAAGTTTTATGAATGTTGCTTATGCTACAGACAACAATATTGCAACTACAAAATGGCAGCCAGTAAACAGACAAACCAGTTGTCGATCACATAAGCAACAATCCACATCAATAGGGAGAGGGTGGGGGTGAGGGGAGACGCAATCACACACCATCAACCAGGTTACAACATTTAGCTGCTAACACCCAATTCTCATGACTAGTCAGATCTTTCAACAAGCTTAATTTACGGGGGACCCTGTTATTTGTATATAAGTATATTTGAAATTAAGGAAAGGTAACTACTTTCTCTATGATCACTTTGTCTCCTGGTATTGTTTTATACTGGATATGGACAGCATTAGAATAGAAGACCTTGGCTTTGCTGCAGCTTTAGCTAGTAAAAGTTTACAAAAACTTGTTGTATGTGAAAGGTCACCACTGCCCTGCATTCTGCAAGTTCATGGAAGCCGAACACGTCCTATACCTGTATAACATATAGATATACTTGGGTGGGTTTTTTTTATTGTTAAAACATTATGAAGACAGTCTCAAATGATTTCTGTATGTATCCCTTTTCCAAAAGTTATACATGCATTGCCACTTGGTCCTTTTAATCATATATAATTTTGTTTTGGTGGGGTGAGATATGGGCAAAAGTCTTACTGACTGTCTTGGGCTTATGAATTAGTCTCAAAAGTTACCATGGTTTAATACTAGGATGCATATTAACTGATGCCGATTAATGATTTATAAAATCCAAATTTGGAAGAAAAACCAAAGGAACTGCAGTTAGCATAATAAAATCTTTACATATGTTACTCATATAACCAAGATACCATAGACATTTAGATTTGTCCAGGGCCTATCAAATATTCATTGATAAAAATTTGAATCATGGGACGATGTTCAGTGACCCATGATCCTTCATATTTACATCGTTTAACATTATCGAAATCAGTGACCTTAAAATCTATAATAACTCACAAAGTAAGTTTACAAAGGCAACTAGAAATACAGACTTTTTTGTAAAGGCATTTAAAATAAAATTCATGTTTGTGACTATGGCTAACGATTGTTGAATTCAAATAATTATCACTTTTGACATCATTGGACTACAAAAATGAAATAGGGTGTCCGATATGTCAACACACATTCAAAGTGATCATACTTTCAACGTTTATTATTGAATACATTGTCAGCCGTTCGAGCAATAACATTAGCTCAGAGACGTGTCTGAACAGATCCATACCTTGCCTAGAAACCTTCCTTTCATGTACCGCTTTCCACTTGGGTCTACTAAAATTTCTGGTATTACGTCTTTGGGGCGCCCATCGTCTTTTCTTGCTGCACTACTCATTCTGGACTTATGGCACCAAACTTTTTGCTCTTCAAATAATTTTCTACCTCTCAAAAATAAGAAATAATCGCCTCAATCTTCCCCTTGTCACTCTCTGGTCATCGTCATTTCAAATTTGCCTGTTCTCGGTTGTTGTGAGTGCGTCGTAGCTGATTGGTTGATTCTTGACAAAATGGTTTTGATTGGCTGTGATAACCGCCATTAGAAAGGACAAGAGCAAGCACGTTTCGAACTTTGACCTCAACTTTGAACTTTGTAATTGTAACATTCGATTTGATTGGAAAACACACAAGCGGCGGACCAATCCATTTAATCGTTACTTTTGAAGCACGGGAAACTACTTCCGTTCAAAATGGCGATGTTGGCTGAACCTCGACGTAAACAAAAAATATCGATAAATCCTCAAGGGACAAATTGGAGTAATGGTGTGTAACTACGATCAAATACTGTTTTTGAGAACTGTTACTTGTATCATGTCTGATGCCACTACCACAAAACACAGATCGAGAAAACTGCCAAAGGCATTTGACCACGTGGCCCAAATCATAAGGATATCGTTAGGCCTATGTTGTGCAAAGTAAAGGTGCTTCGAGAAGTGTGTGTTTTTGTGATATATGACATCATTAGGGTAATAAATTGAAAATGCTGAAATAACGTGACGTCTACGAATGTATGTCTGATTAATACAATGTCTGATTGATACAGCTTCTCATTGTTTATTATCAGCTGTGTCCCAGCAAGTGCAATCAACAACAGAGGGTGGGGATAACCGAAGATCGGGTTATGTATCTATAATACTCGAATCGTATCATAAATATAAATACAACTAATTTTCGGTATTTACTTCATTTATTACTTCGTTTACGATTCGTTCACAACCTGTTCAACATGTCATTTGAGTGTAACATAAAAATATAAAAATATCACTTACATATTATTAGAGACAATTTCCTCTCATCAGAAATGAATATTACTAAAAAATAATAGTTTTATGAAAATTCAGGCTAAAAAACGATAGGCTGTTTTGGTCATATTTTGAGTTGTTGGGTGCAGGCTAAGACGTTACCTCAGCAAAACGTCATCTGATCAAATTTACTAATTGTTGAGGGAAAACGGCACCTAATATTTTGAATAACGATAAGGGTGATTTATTTAGTAGTATATAAATACACATAATAAATATGTCACTTGTTTATACTAAGTTAGTTCATCAGTCTGGGTTTTTTTATATTCTATTGTAACCCAATGTCAGAGTTCATGAAATCAATCACCTCTTCTATAACATCTTACACAAAGGAGGGGGAAGTCTTCTTCGATGCTGCTTATTTGGTGCTGGCTTGAGGGTGGTTTACTTAGGGTATTTAGTGATGGCAGTGTTCCATGTAGCATAGCACTCTGTCATGAATCTTAAACTCAGTTTCAGCTTGACATTGAGTTAACTTGAGTAAAGGTACTTAAAACTTCAAAGCATGTGCTGTTTTCAAAATAAAGTAAGTTGCGAATCCCTTGTAGAGTCTGCAAGTAAATTGGAGTAGAGACTAATTTCTAATGTTGTAAGGCGACTAACATTTCAGAATTATTTGCAACTGCATGTGAACATGTGTGTTTTGTTTTATTTATTTATTAGTACTGAAAACCAAGTCTTAAGGTTAAAAAGAAAATAGGTGCCATTTTAGCCTGGCAATAGTAGCCGTTTTTACATCAGTCAAAGTGCTTTTTTCGCCAATTCAGTGGTTGCACAATGTGTAACCTGCTTGATTGTGTTTTGTTGTGCCCAAATACTGTAGTCATGGTATCAACCATGGAATTGCCTGTTTGGATTTGATTATTTGCAGACTCTCATTATGTAGCTGGAATATAGATGAATGTGACATATACCGGTAATAACATTCTCTCACACACTTGATCTTACCTTGCCCAACACAAACCGTCCCTCTTTCTTCTCTGATGCCTCCTCAGGCCCCTGTGTAGCTGTTGTGTCACTATTGTTGGAAGCTGCTTGGATCAGTGTTGCCAGATTGAAGCTTTTCTTTTCACAGTCCATTATTTTCATGCTATCTACTGACCATACAGCTCTACAAGGTGATTTTCCTTGTTCTGACTTGGTGTAGCCAAATGATTTAAGTTTCTTTTCAGCATATGGTTGAAGTTGTATAAAAGGTAACACAGCTTTTGTTTCCTGTCTTCCTGGTTTTACCAGTTGTTCAATCCATGGTGTAAATTGAACAAGGCTCTTGATAAGTGTGATTGTACCCTCATCAAGATGACCAATTGTTTGAGCTTCAAGCATTGCTTGAATGTGTGTCATGAACAGACCTACTTTCCCCTGTAGCAGAGGAGGATGTGGTATGTCTTTTGAAAGTTGAGTAAGAGAAGATTTGAATTGAATGCATTCGGTGAATCCTGTAAGTGATAATGGAGCATCTGGATGAGATATGCTAGGCAGTATGGCCTCCAGTTGCCAGGCTCCAGAGCAGGCAGTCAGGGGTTGATGTGGGTGAGCCAATGGTGCAGTGAGGGAGACCAGCGTGTAGGGAGAAGCTGTTGCTGGCTTGGGGAGGAGTTGTTGCTCTGCTCTGAGCATGGCCTGTGTGCTGTGTGATAGTTGCATAATGGTGGTCACCTCAGGAAGGTGTTGAGACAGAACCAAGACTTGTCTTCCTTGTTTGGCAATACATGTAGTGTGCTGGAACTGACCATCAAGGCAGACTATATGCTGTTGTTGGCTTTCTTTGGTACTCTCTGTAGAGCAACAACAGCGTTTGATCCCAGTATTACATATTGGTTGGACCTCAGGACTTGGGGAAATATTGGTACATTCTGTAGAGGGTACTTTCTGTTGGACCTCTGTTTCCAAGGGAGATCTGATGCCATTTATTGGTACTATTTGAGAAGCTTGGTCAGTTTTGTTGCTTGTGTATTGCTTGGCCATGCATGACATTTGAGTGTCATCACTTGAACTATTGAATGTTGCTTGAAAGTCATCATCATCATCATCATCATCATCATCATCATCCCTGCTCTTGAGGGAATGTGCAGTGGATATCTGAATCTCGGTACTGAGCAAAGGCTGAACAGAACTCGTGAAGCCTTCTCTGGCAGACGAGCTGTGTGTTTCAACTTGAGGGAGTGGCGAGATGTGAGTGATGTTATTGATGGGATATTCTAGGGGATCACTGTAGGTCTCGACTGCATCATCAGTAGATGGCTTTGTGTATGAGGCCGACTTTCCCTGCCACTCTAGGGGCTGTGTATAGGTTGTCACACCTCCACACGGTGGCCGTGTGTAGCTGCACAGTGTGTCCTCTGTGATGAAGGTCTGGCTGCAGGCTCGGTCCTCTGTAGACACAGGAAGCGTGAAGGTGATTGGAGTTTCTTCAGCACTGGCTAGGGGCTGGGAGAAGGTGATGAGAGGTGTGATAGTGTGCCACCAGGAGGACACCGCGCTGCCCACAGCCTTCATGGACACACTGCTCAGTGACCGCCACAGGGACTCAACCTGTCAACACAAACAATAGAGTTACAGAGTACCTCTGATAAAGAAACTTGTGGGTATCTGTGAGGTTAATGGTCACACTAGGAGAAACATAAAGGTCGACATGGCAGCATGAAGCTGTGTATTTTAGTTTTTATTTTATTTTGCAGATGGCAGCAAGTTTGGCCAGAAAATGTTGGAGAGAATGGGTTGGTCAAAGGGAAAGGGCCTGGGAGCTAATGAAGATGGCAGAGTTGAAAATGTGAAAGTCAGCTTTAAAAATGACCAGAAGGGTATGTGAAAATGATTGATGTAAACATCTGAATATTAGCATGGTAAAAGTAATCATGGTAAAAAAAAATCATAAAATGGGTTGTGAAGCCCCCCCCCCCCCCCAACCGTGATATTGCTGGAATATTTCTAAGAGCAACATAACAACCTAACTCACTCACTTATAAAATGAGCTTTGTTTGCTTTGCGAGTTCAGTTGAGGTTTTTCGACATTGCATCAGCAATTGTTTAGCTTTTTTCTAGTGATAATGCAATATAAGTTGTAGTAGGATCACGAGGAGTAAATTAGGTTTTATGCATCCAACGTTAGGTTTTATACCACGAGCCGGAGGGATGCAATTCCATATTGATAGAAAACAGCTTGATTGCGGTGTCGAGGCTACATCACGTGACTTTCGTTATCCCGGAAAAAGCATGCAGTTTTTTGCTAGTGGGGTTTAAGGGAGTTGCGTCCCTTGGGCACGCCAGAAACCTACGATTGTGGATTCGAATCCTGGTTCACCCCGATTATGTTTCTAGGTTTGTCCGCACCATACCCGTACTCGTGGGTTTCACCGAAGTGGTAAACATCAGAGACATGCATCACTTCGGGCTTTCCTCCCTCATTAAGCTGACACGCTGCGATATAACTGGAATAATGTTAAAAGCGTCGTTAAACCCAACTCACTCACTCTCACGCTCAGACATTTATTCCCCTTACAGGTGGGATACATCATAATTTATCAAGATCACATGAACCAATCAGATCTTGACATTCTGACATTGAGGAATGGTAATAGACATTGGGGCTACAGTGCTTGGGTCTTTGTTTGTGTTGCAGGAGTTGGGGCTACCAAGAACCAGGCAGATAACTGGATAGCTCACCAGGATGACTTCAACAGCTTGCTAGAAACACTGAATGAGGGTCACGGAGGAGGGGAGGTCGACTCCCCCACCACTCACCAGGTGGCCAACCTGGAGAAGAAGTCCCAGTCGTCACGAAGCAGAGTGCAGTATGTAATCAGGGTATCTCCAGCACCCTTCTGGGTGCTTCTGTTAGGGATCACTCAGATGCAGCGATATTGTTGTACTTCAGACTGACTCCTGACACAAGTGGATGAATGTCTCATGGTTTGAATTTAATATGTAACAGTTAATACAACCTTGTTTTTGAGACAAAAATTAAAAAGCTGCTCAGCTTATTTCTTTCTCCCCATCTCTATCTCTCTTTTTTCTCCCTCTCCCCCTCCTCCAATCCTTATATTTTATTATTTTAAGGGTAACGGATCTGTAAGCAATGTCTGCTACTCATGTTTTTGATGTTAGGATGTTGGTACAGGGTTGTCATGAATATACTTTGCAGTTATGGCAAGTTCACTAAAGGCAAAGACTTATCTTCAAGATCACATGAAGATCTCAAATGTATATTTGGTAAACGGGCAGTCAAACCTACCTCTGGAAAGGACTCTCCAGCACTGGAATCAGCAGTGAGTTACTACCAATGCATAAAACACTTGTTACACAAACAAGTTACATAGAATATGGAAACACGCTCTGTTGGCCTGTCTGACAGGCTTTATGTTCTGAGTATGAGAAAGCATTTAATATTTCTTCAGGAATCTTTGTGAACTCCAAGCATTTGCCAAGTGGTGAAGTCACGCCATTTGCAATTTGGTATGTTTCACATTTTCATTCACATTATTAGGAGAACAAGTTGAACCAAAGACGTCATAAACTTGATTTACATGAAAACAACTTTGACTTGAAATTGAGAGGGGATAATGTGTTATGATTTTTAGCAGAACTAAAAAATATTTAATGCTAAGTATCCCAATGTTATGTGTTTTCGGACGCTTAAGAAACATTCATATGTTTCTTGCTAATCACAAGTACAGCTGTAAAACATCTCACTCACTTATCACAGACAACTTTATCTTAAAAAACAGGCCATCATCTGAACATTATGGTTATTGCGCGAATAATCGCGATAAACATGGCCATCCGAAAACCTATGATCCGATGATGGTAATGCCTTATTAACTTTGAGATTAGTGCATAAAATACTTCATGTGTATGCTGTCTGAAGATGAGATGACTATATTTAGTAAATTCATCAACACTCACAGTAGGTGTGGTGGAGGAAATCATGATTTCTTATCAGTCATGTTTTTCAATGGAAATTCATGTACTAATGATTATGATTAAAAAAACTTTTAGACTTAGTGGTCTTACAGTAAGTGAATACTATCGATCTTTTGTAGGAATCCTCAGGGTCCGAAGACTCCAAGGCTGACACGTCACATGGCTTCAATACCATAAATAGCACCTCTACCATGCAAGAATACTTTGCTAAAAAGATGGCTGCCCTGAAGGGTCAGAGGTCATCACCATCAAGGGAAAATAACTCTGTACTAGTATCAGATAATATAGAACAGCCATCAGATAATATAGAACAGCCATCAGAGTCAGCAGCTGACACTCACAGTAGGAAGAAAAATAAGAAAAAGTCAAAACGAAAAAATAAGGACATAGAAGAAACTGAGAAAAATAATACAGACATGCATATAGAACCAGATAATATAGGCAGTTGTGACGTTGAGCCTCAGAAGAAGAAAAGTAAAAAGTGTAAAAGGAAACACTCAGAGACTGCAGACTTGGCTGGTGATGAGGAGCAAGTTGTGGACAACACAGATGGTGGTGAGGAGGAGCAAACACAGAAGAAGAAGGCCAAGAAGAGGAAAAGGGAGGACGAAGAGAATGAGAAAGAAGTAAAGGAACAGGTGACTCAGAAAAGCAAGAAGAAGAAGAAGAAAAAGAAGAAGTCAGCAGCTAGGCAAGTTGAAGGTGAAATTTGTAGTTATGGAGGTGGTATTGTGTTGCCAAGTGTGTGAATGAAACATTCACTTCCTCACCAATCTTGTGGCCAGTCCGCCACCCATCTAGTGTTGTCCCCCGCCTATCTAGTGTTGTCCCCCACCTAGCTTGTTGTCAGTCCCCCGCCCATCTAGTGTTGTCCCCCACCCATCTAGTGTTGTCCCCCACCTATCTAGTGTTGTCCGCCACCCATCTAGTGTTGTCCCCCACCCATCTAGTGTTGTCCCCCACCTAGCTTGTTGTCAGTCCCCCGCCTATCTAGTGTTGTCCCCCACCCATCTAGTGTTGTCCCCCACCTAGCTTGTTGTCAGTCCCCCGCCCATCTAGTGTTGTCCCCCACCCATCTAGTGTTGTCCCCCACCTAGCTTGTTGTCAGTCCCCCGCCCATCTAGTGTTGTCCCCCACCCATCTAGTGTTGTCCCCCACCTAGCTTGTTGTCAGTCCCCCACCCATCTAGTGTTGTCCCCCACCCATCTAGTGTTGTCCGCCACCCATCTAGTGTTGTCCCCCACCTAGCTTGTTGTCAGTCCCCCGCCCATCTAGTGTTGTCCCCCACCTAGCTTGTTGTCAGTCCCCCGCCTATCTAGTGTTGTCCCCCACCTAGCTTGTTGTCAGTCCCCCGCCTATCTAGTGTTGTCCCCCGCCCATCTAGTGTTGTCCCCCACCCATCTAGTGTTGTCCCCCACCTATCTAGTGTTGTCCGCCACCCATCTAGTGTTGTCCCCCACCCATCTAGTGTTGTCCCCCACCTAGCTTGTTGTCAGTCCCCCGCCTATCTAGTGTTGTCCCCCACCCATCTAGTGTTGTCCCCCACCCATCTAGTGTTGTCCCCCACCCATCTAGTGTTGTCCCCCACCCATCTAGTGTTGTCCCCCACCTAGCTTGTTGTCAGTCCCCCGCCTATCTAGTGTTGTCCCCCACCCATCTAGTGTTGTCCCCCACCTAGCTTGTTGTCAGTCCCCCACCCATCTAGTGTTGTCCCCCACCCATCTAGTGTTGTCCCCCACCTAGCTTGTTGTCAGTCCCCCACCCATCTAGTGTTGTCCCCCACCTAGCTTGTTGTCAGTCCCCCACCCATCTAGTGTTGTCCCCCACCTAGCTTGTGGTCAGTCCCCCACCCATCTAGTGTTGTCCCCCACCTAGCTTGTGGTCAGTCCCCCGCCCATCTAGTGTTGTCCCCCACCTAGCTTGTGGTCAGTCCCCCACCCATCTAGTGTTGTCCCCCACCTAGCTTGTGGTCAGTCCCCCACCCATCTAGTGTTGTCCCCCACCTAGCTTGTTGTCAGTCCCCCACCCATCTAGTGTTGTCCCCCACCTAGCTTGTTGTCAGTCCCCCACCCATCTAGTGTTGTCCCCCACCTAGCTTGTTGTCAGTCCCCCGCCCATCTAGTGTTGTCCCCCACCTAGCTTGTTGTCAGTCCCCCGCCCATCTAGTGTTGTCCCCCACCTAGCTTGTTGTCAGTCCCCCACCCATCTAGTGTTGTCCCCCACCTAGCTTGTGGTCAGTCCCCCGCCTATCTAGTGTTGTCCCCCACCTAGCTTGTTGTCAGTCCCCCACCCATCTAGTGTTGTCCCCCACCTTGTTGTCCCCCACCTAGCTTGTTGTCAGTCCCCCGCCCATCTAGTGTTGTCCCCCACCCATCTAGTGTTGTCCCCCACCTAGCTTGTTGTCAGTCCCCCACCCATCTAGTGTTGTCCCCCACCCATCTAGTGTTGTCCCCCACCTAGCTTGTTGTCAGTCCCCCACCCATCTAGTGTTGTCCCCCGCCTAGCTTGTTGTCAGTCCCCCGCCCATCTAGTGTTGTCCCCCGCCTAGCTTGTTGTCAGTCCCCCACCCATCTAGTGTTGTCCCCCACCTAGCTTGTGGTCAGTCCCCCACCCATCTAGTGTCGTCCCCCACCCAGCTAGTGTTGTCCCCCACCTAGCTTGTGGTCAGTCCCCCGCCTATCTAGTGTTGTCCCCCACCTAGCTTGTGGTCAGTCCCCCACCCATCTAGTGTTGTCCCCCACCTAGCTTGTTGTCAGTCCCCCACCCATCTAGTGTTGTCCCCCACCCATCTAGTGGCCACAGTCGTCCCCCGCCCATCTAGTGTTGTCCCCCACCTAGCTTGTTGTCAGTCCCCCACCCATCTAGTGTTGTCCCCCACCCATCTAGTGGCCACAGTCGTCCCCCGCCCATCTAGTGTTGTCCCCCACCCATCTAGTGTTGTCCCCCACCTAGCTTGTTGTCAGTCCCCCACCCATCTAGTGTTGTCCCCCACCTAGCTTGTGGTCAGTCCCCCGCCCATCTAGTGTTGTCCCCCACCCATCTAGTGGCCACAGTCGTCCCCCGCCCATCTAGTGTTGTCCCCCACCCATCTAGTGTTGTCCCCCACCTAGCTTGTTGTCAGTCCCCCACCCATCTAGTGTTGTCCCCCACCTAGCTTGTGGTCAGTCCCCCGCCCATCTAGTGTTGTCCCCCACCCATCTAGTGGCCACAGTCGTCCCCCGCCCATCTAGTGTTGTCCCCCACCTAGCTTGTTGTCAGTCCCCCACCCATCTAGTGTTGTCCCCCACCTAGCTTGTGGTCAGGCCCCCGCCCATCTAGTGTTGTCCCCCACCCATCTAGTGGCCACAGTCGTCCCCCGCCCATCTAGTGTTGTCCCCCACCTAGCTTGTTGTCAGTCCCCCGCCCATCTTGTGTCCCCCACCTAGCTTGTTGTCAGTCCCCCGCCCATCTAGTGTTGTCCCTCACCTAGCTTGTGGTCACTCCCCCGCCTATCTAGTGTTGTCCCCCACCTAGCTTGTTGTCAGTCCCCCACCCATCTAGTGTTGTCCCCAACCTATCTTGTGGTCAGTCCCCCGCCTATCTAGTGTTGTCCCCCACCTAGCTTGTGGTCAGTCCCCCGCCCATCTAGTGTTGTCCCCCACCTAGCTTGTTGTCAGTCCCCCACCCATCTAGTGTTGTCCCCAACCTATCTTGTGGTCAGTCCCCCACCCATCTAGTGGTCCCCAACCTATCTAGTGTTGTCCCCTACCCATCTAGTGGCCACAGACGTCCCCCGCCCATCTAGTGTTGTCCCCCACCTAGCTTGTGGTCAGTCCCCCGCCCATCTAGTGTTGTCCCCCACCTAGCTTGTGGTCAGTCCCCCACCCATCTAGTGTTGTCCCCCACCCATCTAGTGGCCACAGTCGTCCCCCGCCCATCTAGTGTTGTCCCCCACCTAGCTTGTGGTCAGTCCCCCACCCATCTAGTGTTGTCCCCCGCCTAGCTTGTGGTCAGTCCCCCACCCATCTAGTGTTGTCCCCCACCTAGCTTGTGGTCAGTCCCCCACCCATCTAGTGTTGTCCCCGGCCTATCTAGTGTTGTCCCCCGCCCATCTAGTGTTGTCCCCCACCCATCTAGTGGCCACAGTCGTCCCCCGCCCATCTAGTGTTGTCCCCCACCTAGCTTGTTGTCAGTCCCCCACCCATCTAGTGTTGTCCCCCACCTAGCTTGTGGTCAGTCCCCCGCCCATCTAGTGTTGTCCCCCACCCATCTAGTGGCCACAGTCGTCCCCCGCCCATCTAGTGTTGTCCCCCACCTAGCTTGTTGTCAGTCCCCCACCCATCTAGTGTTGTCCCCCACCTAGCTTGTGGTCAGGCCCCCGCCCATCTAGTGTTGTCCCCCACCCATCTAGTGGCCACAGTCGTCCCCCGCCCATCTAGTGTTGTCCCCCACCTAGCTTGTTGTCAGTCCCCCACCCATCTAGTGTTGTCCCCCACCTAGCTTGTGGTCAGTCCCCCGCCTATCTAGTGTTGTCCCCCACCCATCTAGTGGCCTTAGTCGTCCCCCGCCCATCTAGTGTTGTCCCCCACCCATCTAGTGTTGTCCCCCACCCATCTAGTGTTGTCCCCCACCTAGCTTGTGGTCAGTCCCCCGCCTATCTAGTGTTGTCCCCCACCTAGCTTGTGGTCAGTCCCCCGCCTATCTAGTGTTGTCCCCCACCTAGCTTGTGGTCAGTCCCCCACCCATCTAGTGTTGTCCCCCACCTAGCTTGTTGTCAGTCCCCCACCCATCTAGTGTTGTCCCCCACCTAGCTTGTGGTCAGTCCCCCACCCATCTAGTGTTGTCCCCCACCTAGCTTGTGGTCAGTCCCCCACCCATCTAGTGTTGTCCCCCACCTAGCTTGTTGTCAGTCCCCCACCCATCTAGTGTTGTCCCCCACCTAGCTTGTGGTCAGTCCCCCACCCATCTAGTGTTGTCCCCCACCTAGCTTGTTGTCAGTCCCCCGCCCATCTAGTGTTGTCCCCCACCCATCTAGTGGCCTTAGTCGTCCCCCGCCCGTCTAGTGTTGTCCCCCACCTAGCTTGTTGTCAGTCCCCCACCCATCTAGTGTTGTCCCCCACCTAGCTTGTGGTCAGTCCCCCACCCATCTAGTGTTGTCCCCCACCTAGCTTGTTGTCAGTCCCCCGCCCATCTAGTGTTGTCCCCCACCCATCTAGTGGCCTTAGTCGTCCCCCGCCTATCTAGTGTTGTCCCCCACCTAGCTTGTGGTCAGTCCCCCACCCATCTAGTGTTGTCCCCCACCTAGCTTGTTGTCAGTCCCCCACCCATCTAGTGTTGTCCCCCACCTAGCTTGTGGTCAGTCCCCCACCCATCTAGTGTTGTCCCCCACCTAGCTTGTGGTCAGTCCCCCACCCATCTAGTGTTGTCCCCCACCTAGCTTGTTGTCAGTCCCCCACCCATCTAGTGTTGTCCCCCACCTAGCTTGTGGTCAGTCCCCCACCCATCTAGTGTTGTCCCCCACCTAGCTTGTGGTCAGTCCCCCAGCCATCTAGTGTTGTCCCCCACCTAGCTTGTTGTCAGTCCCCCACCCATCTAGTGTTGTCCCCCACCTAGCTTGTGGTCAGTCCCCCACCCATCTAGTGTTGTCCCCCACCTAGCTTGTTGTCAGTCCCCCGCCCATCTAGTGTTGTCCCCCGCCTATCTAGTGTTGTC